CCCGGAATAAAAAATGAAAAATTGAAAGGTCTTGCACACTCTGGGGGAAGAAATGGGGTTTTCAAAGACCGCCATGGCATGGTAAAGGCGAACCTGTCTAATGATGTAATCAGACCAGTTGTGTGTAGAGGTTTGTGGCATTCTGGCCTTGCTTGTGACCCTTGTAAAGCTTACAAGAAGACTCTGTTAACCATGCTTTCTAACCAGAAGTCTAACAATGAGAAATTGAGCATAAGTAGCCATTGTGCTTGGAGCAGATTAAGTGAAAAGGAAAAGGAAGAAAGAATTAAGAATTGCACACTCGGAAGGAAGATTGCAGCTAAAAAAATGCACTCCCTAGAAGAAAAGTTCAACAATGTATGTAACTAAAATATCAATTAAACATTTAGGTAAACAAAACATACATACCCCTTTGCTTTTGCCTTACTCATAGTCTTTCTCTTGGCCAGTAATACATGTACCAATGCAATTGAATGGCACAATTTTTACTTACAACTGTCGTACGCGTCTAGCACATGTCATGACTTTATGACAGATTGTCCAAAATGAGACACATGATGCATGCTAGTCACACATGATAGTCTTAAGCAAAAATCATACTGTCTAAATCGGCCTTTATTTAGTGGTCCAATATTATTAAAAGTACAAAACAGGTTACATGTATGTAGGGATTCAGGAGCAAGCAATGTCAGTCATTGAACATTAACAAAAACATTTATAATAGTACTATCTGTTCTGTGGATATTTTGCATGTTTAATTCAAAGAATGCAAAGAACAGTTGAATTGTGAAATTAGTTGTAATATCTTGTGTTTATACAACCACTACATATTGCAGGCATTTTTTAGGTGGACCGTAAATTTAAGGAATTTGTGGGAGGAGTTTGCAAGTTCTTGTTCCATTTGTACATGTATCCCATTCCGGGGTTGTGTGGGTCTTTTGCAATCTATTAATGTGCCTTAACCTTGGGGAAATTTTGTAAATTTTCGTGTTTTTTCTTTTACAGGATTTGATCCCCTTAAGTGAAGAAGACAATGAAGTTGTGACAAAACTTTTTGCAGAAGTGGAGAAGATTAGTCAGGAGGAACCTGAGAATTTCAAGTCCCTCTTCATCCAGCAACAGCAGAAGGCCTTGACATTTGCAGATAACAGAGGCAGAAGATGGCATCCACTCATCATCAGATGGTGTTTTCAACTTTATTCATCATCTCCAAAAGCTTACCAGTTCCTTAAGGACACTGGAGTATTACTTTTACCAGACAAAAGAACTCTTAGGGACTATAGTAATTGCTTTAAGGTGGACTCTGGGTTAGATTCAGGCTTCTTAGATTTGGTGAAGAAAGATTTTAACAATAGATCTGACCCTAAAGATTCTGATGTGTGGGTGGGTATCATTCATGATGAAGTTTCTCTGAGAAAAGATCTGGTTTTTGATGATTCTGGGAAACGTATTGGTTTTGTTGATTTAGGATCAGTCCAGAATAGTATTGATGATCTGGAGCAATGCCTGTCTGCTGAACAAAATTCCCCGATTACCCCAGAAGAAGCTACACATATGTTTGTTTTTATGGTTGTTAGTCTCTTGTCAGACTGGAGAATGCCAGTAGCTTTCTTTCCTACTACAACCATTAAATCATATGCTTTATTCAATTTGTTTTGGAAATGCATTGAGGAATTAGAGCAGCGAGAGTTTAGAGTGTTAACTAGTACATCTGATGGTGCTTCACCCCCTCGACTTTTTGATAAGTATCATATCCCTCCTGGTACACCAAAAGGTACAATTACCGGTATTTACAAAACAAACAATCATTATGCATTTGAGAAACAACCTTTGTATTTTATTTGTGATCCAGTGCATCTTTTAAAAACAACTAGAAATAACTGGGAAAATAGCTTTTGGAGAAACAAGACCAAGAAACTGAGAAACAATGGCATGTGGATAACATGGCTGCAGCTGATTGATGCATTTAAAAATGATGTAAATTCATCAAATGTGTCAGGCTTGAGGTTATTCAACAAACTAACTCCTGATCATATATTCCTTAATCCTTACCTAAGAATGAGGGTATACCTGGCTGCACAAGTGTTTAGTAACAGAGTTGCACATGCAATCACCGAGCAAGGTAAACCAGGTACAGAGGAGACAGTTAAATTTGTCCAAAATATGAATGACTTTTTTGATTGCTTAAATGCTAACAGAATGTACACACAGTATGAATTTAAAAGTGTGTACCGCACACCAACAGATAGGAGGCTGCATTGGTTGGAAAATGATTTTTTGAAGTACTTTCAGGATTGGAAAGACTGGGCCATGGGGCAGGAAGATGTCCCCTTATTAGAATGGAAGCAGTATTTTATAAGTGATCAGACATGGGAGGGCTTACAAATCTGTGTCAAATCTTTTGTAGAAGTTGTAAAGTTCTCTCTTAATATTCCAGGGGTCAATTTTGTTGTGGCCACAAAGTTTAATCAAGATCTACTGGAGAAATTTTTCGGGAAACTTAGGCAAAAGAGGGGAGCATATGGGGCATTCACATGTAAGGAATTTAGTCAGAGTTATAGCAATTGTGTTTTCAGTCAATCGCATGCAATTAAGACTGTACGGCGCATTAAGCGAAGGGGAGATGCCTTGGAAGATCTTGATGCTGATTTACCATTGCCAAAGAATAAACGAAGATAGTGGTAAGTCTTTATGCTTACTCTCTTGGCTATGATAAGCAGTGCAACACAGTTAGTCCCTGTGATGCTACATGTATGTTTGATTTTGTTCTGTTTTCAACAACTAGGCTTGATTTTGCAATACCGGTATTTTGTCACATGCAACTGCCATTGCACCATGTTTCAGGGCTGAATTATGTTTGGTAAAAGTTTATTGAATTAACGTTTTCATAATACAGCTGGTGAAAATTAACTGATATTTGTCTTCTTCAGTTATTGTCACCCTTTCATTGTTGTATTGACTGTAATGAGAATTACACGTACATATGTATTAAAGTGGTGGTGACGTTGAATAAAATGTGTCTGAGGATTACTTGCTCTCTTTTGCAAACAGTGGTTGATATTTTTTCAAACCCAAACATTAATTATACGAAGGATATTCTATATCTAGTAATAAAACCACTATTTTATTTGGGTGTTCTAATTTATTAGTGTCTTCGCAAAATATCTTTTCCCTTTTGGAAAGCTGGCACTGACTTGCCATAAATTAATGAAAGCACATGTACATTGGTACCCATCTATACTCTCACACACATACCCTATAAAGGTCTTCTCATGATAACCTAACAGAAGAAGCTGGCAGTCTTTTACTCAGCTGAGCATGATTCTCTATTAGATGTCTGAGATCAACTGCGGCCTGTTCACTTTTCTTCCACTCTGCTTGATAGATATGCACAATGCAGAAACATACAAACTAAAGTCACAGACCACATGTGCAGTGTATTTCATAGTTGTTTTGACCAGAGAAAAATATTTTTATCTTCAATTTGTGTTTTGGAGCAAAGAATGAGGAATGAGAGTCAAAGACTGCAGAAAAAAAAAACGAAAATCCTATTCCTCAGTCTTTCACTGCTCTAAATCCTGCATGGAAACGCTTGCTATGCAGGTTATTTTGTATTCAGATTAGATGTACAGTTGAAAAGCTTAAACATCATTGTGTTAAATCTTTTTGCAAAGCTGTGCTTTAACAAAAATTAAAGGGAGGCCAGAGCTCTGAACCTGTGAAATCTACAGCGGTAGGGTGCCCAGCATATGATTTGTATGAAAAAAACTAAGATTTTCTAGTCACCCAAGAGCAAAAGTTAGGCACCAGGGGCCACCGGGCTCTGCTAGAGCACAGCCCTGCATTGGTTATGTCTTATGCTATGTCATTGTAAACCATGTCTAACTTCATTTCCTTTGTAAATGCATTCTTGATGCAGATGTTGTGGCTCAATTTTACCCTTGGTTTACATTTATTTATTCTCCTTTGTTATTTTAATGTATGAAAATATATAAATGTAAGAAAAGAAAATGGAGTTTTAAACCAGGCTAAAAGGAAACCACAACAAAAAGATGACTACATCATCAAAGAGTAAAATGTATTACCCTTTAAGTCTTAAGAGTGCCCAACGTCAATTTTCTCCTAGCAATATCTATACGTCATCAAGGGGAACGGTGATAAGAAAAATTAATTAAACAGTCATTACTGGAAGTGTTATATTGGGTAGCGTTGGGTTTATAATTTGTAGGTCCACATCAGCTCTATGCTGCCTTAGTTTGACTTATGTTAACAAATAAACCATGTACATGTACATAATAAACTCACACCAAATACAATAAAAACCCGTATATAAGAACCCAAATTTTTCCATCTTATTTCTGAAATAGGTTCTTATAGATATGGCATGTGGTAGGCTACTTAAGTCCTTAAAATCAATAGGTTCTAAATTCTTTAGAGGCACGAGCAATTAGCACAGATAACCACTACAGGGCATATATGCATATGGTTTTATGCTGCAGTGTCCATAAAATGCTGTGTTGCCAAGACATGATATGGTCCTTATTTGTTCTTTCTTAAATCTTAATGAGAGAAACCTGGACTAATTTTTTTCTGTGCTTTCATCTGTGCCTTCTTTTTTGTAAAAGAACCTATTAAAAATTTTAGGCTAAATAGGTTCTCATGAAAATGGGGTCTAAAATGAAAATTTTAGCCTAACATGTTCTTTAATTTTAGGTTCTTATCCACAGGTTTTCACTCTGTACGTGAATTTAGCCAAGTGTGTTATGGTGTTTCCACGGGGGTCCGCAAACAAACGTTTTCTTCGCTTTGCACGATATTGTAAGCTATTTTTCAGGCACCATGACACCTTTTCTATTATTTTACATTAAATTTAGAAAACTGGTTCGCTTGTAGCTTAATTATACAGAAGAAAATTATTACTTATCACTGTTTGAGCTGGAGCTGGATGACATGAGAGCTTTCCTAATACTGTCTTTGCCGTGCAACTCTTTGTTTCCCGCGGAGCATTTCTTTTCTTTCACTTTTCTCTCCTCCTTGTATGTTTTCAGGTACGACCATTTCCTCACTCGAAAGTAAAGGTAAACGAAAAGTTTAAGAAGCACATTGTTGTCCTCAGATGAAAGTATTGTTGTAAATGGCCAGGTTTGATTAAGTAAAGGCGAATTGTGTATCAACTGGTCTAGAAGTTCAGTGTCAGAGCGCCGAGTGCTGCAACGAAATCTGGCTAAGTTTAAAAAAGGTCGGATTGAAACTTCGACATAGCAAAAGAAATTAAATATTGAATAATCCACAAGCGAAAGGCCACCTCTGGAAAGAGAGAGAGACATTAAATTCGGGAAAGACATTGCAGCAGCTGGTGCTGTTTTCATCCTTGGCAACCGCTGAATCAAAACTGACAACACTCTTGAGAACTTTTCACTGTTAGACCGCTGAAGTAGATCCCTTGTTTTGCGACACACATAACCAGCGATGTAACCAATGACATTTCTTTCGACGGTGGTGAGGGATGGCTTGATGGACGTCTCTCCGGCGTACTCTTGTCTGACTTTCAACGCGTCGACCACAGATCTTTGTCGAAACGAAGAGATGTCCTCAAAAATCTGGGTTATCGTCATCTGTAAAAGCAGGGTATCGACGGAATCTAATCGTAAAAAACGGCACAGTTCGGTCCACTTCAGTATCAGTGCCTCGTCTCGTCGAAACTGGTTTAGATGTTGTGCGACATCTTGATGCCTCTTAGATGAGCTAACCAGATCATCCCGCGAGAAGGTGATGGACAAAACTTTGTTGCAAACGAAGCGAAAAAATGATGTGACTTGCTCGTCTTGCTCTTCTTTCTCTAGTTGGTACCTGAGTTTTTCTGCCTGCAACTGGGCAGAAATAAATCTGGAGCCTCTAATACCAGCTGCTTCAGCGCCCGTGGAAGATATTTTTTGAAGCGAAGTAACCAAACTCGGTACGCACTTTTCACTGAAAAATTCCTCACATCCGAGGGAAGACAGCACCGTCCTGGTTTTTTTCTGATGTTCAGACAACCGGGGTTTCCGTCTGTTTTTAGGCCTTTTTCCTTGGCAAGATTCTTCGTGTTTTTTCAACCAAGCTCTCAGATGGTACGGCTTTTCACACTTGCTACATTTTATGACCACATTTCCTTCATCGCCGCTGTCACTTTCGCTATCAATACAGTCTTCTTCCGACTGAACTGCTATCTCACCGTCTTCCTCAGCTTCCTCAATAAATTCTGGCCAATCGTCTTCCTCCCACTCTTCAAAAAAACTCTTCGACCTCCATACTAAAGTGCGGTTTTACGGATTATTTTCTTTGTTCATCTTTGTTAATTTTGTTGCCGCACAAAAGGATCACGAAAGATTTCGCGTGCTTAATATTGTGACGTCACATTTTTCCACTATGTTGGAATCGATCGCGTCAGCCAGTTTCCTATCCAGTCTTTCTATTATCCATGGTGGGCCACAACTGTCACGGCAAAACAAAGAACCTCACGGCAAAACCAAATACTTCACAGCAAAAACCAAATACCTCACGGCAAAACCAAAGCTATTTTGCTCTTGCTGTGAAGTATTTGGTTTTGCCGTGAGGTTTTTGGTTTTTCCGTGAGGTATTTTGTTTTCGCCGTGAGGTTTTTGGTTTTGCTGTGACAGTTGTAGGCCACCATAAGTTTGTCTGCTTTTTCTTGATAATAAAATCGAGATTTTGAAAAAACTATCGCTACTTGGAGAGGGTGACCCTAGCAAGTTTTAACAACTTATAGTGGGACTAACTAACTATTGAAGACATCTCCCAGATCAGGTTTGAATTTAGAAAACATATTTTGCCAGTCTCTTAGCCTTTAACTACCTAGATTTCACTACACACAAGCCGTTTGGGGACAGTTTTTAAATTAGAATAGACACCACTGCGATATACCTTTTCTGTTCTGCCCTGTTTAATTATAATAGGATTCTCATCATCTTCAAAATGCTTATGCAACTCCTTCCTTTTGCCAGCTTTGCACGCTACATTTCGAGGTGTCAGCTGACAAATTTATGCAAAAAGTAATTTATTCCTACCTTGGGAACTATACCTGTATAAGCAGTGGCAGTCGATTTTCTTATGCACAAGGAGGCATGTAAAATAAAATTTCCGACTCATCCTCTTTCAAAAAAAGCGTCGATCAAATAGGATATGCATGGAACCTACAGTGCCGCCTACAGTCTTCTTTGCTGTCAACCATCTTGGCGGCATCTTGGCATATTTGGCGCGAAAAGACAAAGCACGTTGAAAAGACAAACGGGAGTGTAGCCTCGATCTCAAGTTGAACTTAAACCCAGTCCTAAAACTTCCTAATTTCGACGCGCGAGACAGGCCGCTCGCTCAGTTCGGCGCTCGACACGCGCGCGCGTACACTCTTACTGAATCTAAAGAAAAACAGAGACTGGTCGCAGTCTAGTTATTAATATCAGAAAGTTTGAAGCGTTTGACTATCAGACGATAAGAAAACAACTGGGGGAAGCCAAAGGGGGATAAGGATGATATATTGGAAGGCGGGTCGCCGTCTGATAGTTATCTTCTCTCTATACCACCAAGGAAGCTCGAATTCACGTGTTCAAAGCAATTTTCTGTGGCATTAAGAAGTAGAGAAGTAGGCAGTTACAAAAAGAGGGACTTATTTTTAACTACACCCCCTAACCTGTGCCCCCCCCGGCGGAGACGTATTTGGTATTTCAGGCTAAAATTTGTCCTGTTTTTCTTCTGATAATTAATTACTCCAGATTGGATTACATGTACACAGCAAAGTTTACCAAAAATCCGCCAAGCAGCTTGCAGAAATCCTATTTGAGAAACATGTAGCAATCTTTCAGATAGAAACACCCATTCAAAATAGAGTTCAAAATACTGTAAATTTTCATTTCGTAAAATGTTTTTTCTCTAGGTCTTAGGTCATGCATTCTCTGTGTAAAAATGGAAAAAAAATCATCTGTGAGGAAAGTACTTTGCCTATAAAACAAATTGCCTTTTAGTTCATTTGCCGACAGTACTGGGTTAAACAGCTGGTACTGGGTTTATAGTCTTCAGAGTTGAGTGCGATGTCAGTCATGCGTGAAGTACCTCTATTGATTGACGCGTTTAGCGGGAATCCAGTGAGCTGCGATCGGAAGTGGATATGGCGGCGAGTTGAGTTGGTTTAACATTGTGAAGAGCCTTTTGGGGCTTTTAACAACAAATACCCCTGGAGAAGATGGCTAAATGGGATTCTAAAAACCTGGAAATTAAGAGCAAATCTGTGGAACTAACTCTTGTACCTTTGGTTACTCAAGTAAGGGTGGCTGTCGCATTTTGACCTTTGATGAACAAGAGGACATTATAAAACTTTTCAGCAGAGATCTATTCTTTAGCGAAGGAGAATCTTCACTTTAGCTTATTTTTGTTTCATCATGGAATTTATATTTTAAGATAACTTTTGCACGTCTCAGTGTGTTTTTCGGCCATTTTCGAGCGGTCTTTAACATGGTGCTTTATTATTTTTCGCGTCGTAGATTACAACCTTAGTTAACCACAAAGACCACGGACGCAGAACAGACCGAGCGAGGAAAGCAATTCACGAAATTGGAAAAGTTGTAGCAATTGCCGTGGAGCGATTTGTAAATGTTGGGGAGCAAATCGCTGAAGAAAACGAAGATGTGGCGAATGAAATGCGGGAAGCATGTGAAGAAGCTAAAAAATCAGGACAATCTATTTTAAATCTCACTTCATCAGCCGGAGCGGAATCTACGAGCGGCGATGATGGCGTGAACTTAGCTGATAAGAATGGGATGGTTCGTGCGGCACGTTCCCTGCTTTCCGCCGTTACCCGAGTTTTGATCATTGCAGACTCTGTTGTTGTGAAAAGACTGCTCAAGGCGGTCAAAAAGGTAAAGAGCTTACAAAAATCCCGCGACGTTAGCTTAAATTTCATGAATTTTGTCTCGCTGATGGACATTCGCAAGGTCGCTAAGATTGTTAATTGAAGATCATTTGTTCGTTACAATTGCTGTTGGCTGGTTCGACCTATTTATGCAATGAATAAAAAATCTTAGTGCTAAAAAAGTTTATTTTTTCAATAACGTATAAAGTTGGATGTATTTTCAAGCCAATTGACGTCAGACATTTGTTTATTTCTTAATTCAAGCACCCGCAACAAAGAGTAAACGGGAGTTCTTTACTATATTTCCTCTAAACAATTCTCCTGCTTGAGTAGCAGTAACTTTCCCTTCTCTTTGAAAATATTGCAAATTAGTTTGGTCCCTTGTTATTTAATTGAGTTTTAAGGAAAATAGACTGCTATAAATTCTGCTGTCTTTTACGTGTTATTTGCAAATATTTTATGCATGTAAATCGAGAATCGCAGCAATATTGGTATGCTTGAAAATAATATTAGCGGAACGTTTAGGGCGGTTTTTAAGAGCATCCGGAGATCTGTTGAGGAAGTATCTATCAAAATTCTTCCCGCAGATTTCATTCTCAAGCATGATCTGGTGTTTAATAAATGTTATTTAAAGCGTTTTAGCTGAAAAACAACTCACTCTATGCTCTTTTGCAAATTTTTGCCTAACTTTTTTGAAAATATTGAATAATTGGATTAACATTATTGCATCTCTAAACAAATTATGCCCACCTAAACCGACATATGGTTTTCTTTGTAAATTCCCTAGAAAAACTGTTTGCAAACAAGTGAAGAATACCTTTTCAAAACCCAAAAGGTTGTTTACCCAACTTTATTCTAGTTTAGAATTTAAGTTTGGAAGATTTCTGCTAATTGGTAATTCTTTCTAAGCACCAAGATATTTTGATACATTTTTTCATGGTGGTAGATATACAGAGGTCACAATTTTCTAGTGTTTTGATAAGGGGATGATTTGAGCATTTTCGAGTGACTTTTCAATTACCTGTTTTTAAGGCATTTAATTTGAACACTCTTGTGTTAAACAAATAGGAGTTGTTTGTAATTTTAATCCACCTCAACCATTACAATGCTTGCCAGTTTGCTGTGTTAATCTCTTTAATTAAATCATGTGACCAATTGGCATTAAATCTGAATAACTCAAGATGCAAGATGTTGTGTTTTTAAACTTAAGTGCATGATTTAAGTTCTTATAGTTAAACCCATAAAACAAACTCCAACTAAAAAACTTGAAGGTTTTTATGGTTTTCATCAGATCCCATTCAATTAAGAAGTACTTTTTACAAATCTCTCAAGTACTTTTATTGTTTTTAGGTTTGATATTCTTTGGACTTAAAAGTCAAGTTAAAAGCATTTGTGAGTCCTAACAGTTTTCAGCTTCAAGTTTACTATTTCACTTTCAAAGTGACAATTTTGAAAACATAAATAGAGTGTTGCTATTCATTATCTATCATCAAAATGTGCTGCAAAATATACGCCAATGAGTTCCTGAAAACTCCTTTCGCCTTTTCTTTCTGTCTCTATGGGACTTTGATTAAAACAGAGTTTCAATGATGTGTCAGTCTTAACACAAAAACTAAATGTTGTTGTCTTTATTACTTAACTATTCCACAGGTGGATGATAGGCTGAAGGAACTAGAAAATGTGAATACATTTACTGATTTTGTGCAGGCATTTAGCCAGTTTGGTTCTGATATGGTGGAGTTGGCTCATTTATCAGGGGACAGGCAAAATGTAGGTATACCATATTTATTTAATTAAATGCCTTGGAATTAAGTGCCCTGGGCACTTATTAATTTTTTGGACCTTATTTTGAAGTAGGCGGTTATTCAAAGCTGGGCACTTATTATCACACTGAATCAGGCTAATAATGCATAGTAAGCAGCTTTGGAACTCGCTCCCAAGGCACAAGTTCTTAAGCGCCAAGGCATCTAGGGACATTTGAAATTTGGAGTTTCGGAAATGACATTTGCAGGGGTTTTTCAAGAAGTATTTTCCACCACAGACTCCATGTTGTTTCGTCAGAACACAGGTAAGACTGGGAACAATGTCATTGAAATGTCCCAGGCATTCCACGACATTGCACAGTTCGAACATTTCACGGATCTAAACCTGTTTAAACATGCTTTTAATGTCATTCAAAACTGAGAAAGGGATGCTTTACAATTTTATTCAATGGTGCTTATTTTTTGTTAGAAGTTATGGTAGGAGGAGATTAAAGTAGCCTGCTAAGGATGGCTAACTAGCCAGTGGTTTTGGCTGGTTACCGGCACTTATTGACAGCCCTGATTGAATGTTGTTGGCTGCATTAAACCCCTCTCTTATGTGAACAAGTTTGGAGGCCCATTTGCAAACAGTATTAAACTGATAAAAGCTGTAATGTTGATACCATGAAAAGTTATTTTCTTTTATTTTTGCAGGATTTGAAAGATGACACCTTAAAAGCTGAGATGGGTGCTGCAAGATCAGTATTGGAGAAGTCTACAATGATGTTACTAACAACGTCGAAGGTATTCAGTTATAATTTAAAAATTGCCCTGAGACATTGAGTTGGGTACAGCTATAGGTTGAAAAAAACTCCTCAAACAGATCAGACATAGCAAAGTATAGCAGTTTAATTTCAAGTAGACGGTATGTTAAACTTTATTTTGCACAAAATGTAGTGAGTAATTTTTTGTGAAACTGATTGCAACAAATTTGATTCAAATGAGCTTTATTTGATTCTAATGTGGTTTGATTGATTGATTTATTTAATGTCTTTTTTAGACCTGTTTGAGGCATCCAGACTCAAGATCTGCAAAGGGAAACAGGGAAGGTGTTTTTAAAAAAATGAGAGAAGCTATGGCAACAATAACATCTGTCGTTCAAGATGAACCGAAAGAAGAGTCAGAAAATGGAGGGTTAGCAATGGATCTTGGAAATTTTGAGGCAAGCTAATTGCTAAAACAAGCAATTTTGCCACAGTTAGATGTAAATTTAACATAGTTTATGACTTCAAGGAACAGAACAGGGCTGTCAAAAATTTTCTAAGTAGCAGGCTGATAAGGAATAGTAGGCAGCTTAAGGACCGAGACATCTAGGGATATTTGAAATCTAGAGTCTTGGAAATAGCATTTCAAGAGGCTTTCAAGAGGTATTTTCCTCCGTGAACGCCATGTTGTTTGGTCAGAATACACACAAGACTGGGAATAATGCCATCAAAATGTCTCAGGCATTCCACAACATCGCATGGTTCGAACGTTTCACAGATCTAAACCTGTTTAAATATGTGTTCAATGTCATTCAAAACTGAGAAACGGATGCTTTACAGTTTTATTCGATGGAGCCTATTTTTTGTTAGCAGTTATGGTAGAAGGAGATGGAAGTTGCTGGCTAAGGATGGCTAACTAGCTGGCAGTTTTGGCCACTTACCAGCCCTTATTAGACCTGACAGAAGTGGCATAAGATAATAATTCCCCATTTGAATCACAATGATAATAAAATTAACATTGTAATGACGCTTCTAACAGTGCTTGTCAATAAAGAAAATAATCTATTTTACAATCAAGACATCTAATCTTTGGTGATATATGTTCACTGTATGTTATTAATTTTAATGTTCCATTCTTAAACAGAGCATTATGGAAGCATACAAACAAAGTTCTCCAGGTGACAGTGAATGTAAGATTAGATTCCAAAAAGCCTTCACAAAGATCCTGGATGATGTACAGTCTGTTATAAATTCTCCTCACACAAGAAAAGAAAAAAGAGAAAAGATACTGGCTCTCTGTGAGAATGCACAGGATATAATGAAAGACATTTTAGAGAAGCACAAAGACAACAAGAAGGTAACAGACATATTAGTGTTGGGAATTAGCTTAGATTGCATGATTTATTTCAGAAAAAAATGAAATAATCATTGATTATTATTAAAAAAATTCTTTAATAGAATTTCATTCTTTTATCATTATTTGTCTTGGAACCTGGGACAGCTGGATTGTGAGTATGATGTGCTATTCGTTCAATATCAAAATGCCTCTAAATTGTTATTTAATCTTAGATGGCACTGCTCTTCCCATCGCTTATAAAAGAGGTAATAAACAGGGCAATTATTCTTTTGAATATTGCTAAAGAACAGTAATAAAATGCAACATAACATAATACATAATTTATACCTATTTCTTCCCCTATGATTCTTAGAGTGTGCTTGTCAATGGTTTGGCCACTATGCTGCAAAATAATATTATGTAGAGATGTAATGTATAATTTTTTTTATTGTAGAACGAAGACACAACCAGCATTGACACATTGGATATAGCTTTGCAGAGGATATCTAAAACATCAAAAGATCTCAAACATGAGGTAACTGCTAATATTATTGTTCACCTCTCTTTAAAGTGTTAAACCCACGAGTGGCTGAACTAAATTTACATTTCATAATGACTGTATTTACCCAAATGATATTGTGAATGAATTATAACTTTCAGCATTCTTTAATTTTCTTTACAGGTTCATCAAGTAGCAACAGACCAAGTGTTCGAGACTTTTTCGCATTTAGGCCACAAAAAGTCATTACCTGCTTTGAGAAATGCAGCAGCATCTGGAGGTACAAGTCAACTGGAAAACCTAGCTAATGTATTCACACAGGATGCAAAACGATTACAGGAGGTGGGTGCAAACAAAAGTCATGACAGTCGCTTGCAAAATATAATCAATTTACTGTACTGAAATGGTACAGTCTTTACGAACTCTTGCAGAGAATGAGCATGTTGATAAGATTTTTATCCACAGAGTCTGAGTTTCGAATCACGTCGCTCAGAGAAATACACAGTACATGTATCCATGTACCACAGTACAGGAAAGTACTGTTTGGTAACACCAAAGGATGTCCTCCACAAACTCCAGAGTTAGAAGCCCTCCGGCTTGTACAGCAGAATTAACAGTTCCACAAGAAAGTACTGTTCAGCAGCTACCAGTTGAATGGTGGCACCAAAGGATAACATCCAGACTTAAAAGTCAGAATCACCTTTATAATGTACAATTCACAGGAAAGTACTGTTGCGATTGAGAGTAAGATATTTTTTTCCTTTTATTTATCAGGTTTCTAAAGTAACCAGAAACATGGCAACCAATAAGCCAATTGCAATCACTGCAAAAAAAGTTGAAGAAAACATTGATACACTCTGTCCACAGGTTAGTGATTATTTGAGTCAGTAGATCACACTATTCATACATTTGCATGTATTAAGTATATTGGCAAGGCAGTGGTGATGATTAGGAAATTAGGAAGATGGCAAAAACGGATGATGATGATGGTTATTAGGGTTACCAATATCTGTTGCAACTAGCTTTAGAGATCATGGCAAAATAAGTGGAAGTATGACTTCAGGTAGATATCCATTGACAGCCTGTGACCACCTTGTTAACCCCGAATCAGAGTGATGAAAGGTGAACGATGGTAATGACCATGATGTAAATGATGAGGGTAATCGTGATGGTGTCAATGATGATGGTGATAATGATAATGATGATGATAATAGTGATGATGATGATGTACTGTTGAGGATGGTGCTGATCGTATTTGTGGTAGTGTGGTAGTTATGATATAAGAAAACTTGTATAAACATTATAATTCAATCATATATCCAATTTCTCCTTGAAGGTTATTCATGCTGCTAGAACACTTGCAGCCCACCCTGTTAGTAAAATAGCACAAGAAAACATGGAAGTTTTCGTCAATGTTTGGGAAGCGCAGGTGGAAGAGCTGGGTAAAGTGCTTCGACTCATTACAGCTGGAGGAGATCCCAGTAAAAGTTAGTGTCAAGCAGACATACATTCATTTAACCCCTTTATTTTGTCTGTTATTCTTTTTACATTTTGAAAATCTAATATCCAAACCAATCATTTTTTATTAGATGTACATGTGTAATAATCCAAATATACAGCTCATGAGAAAAACACATAGAAAAGTTTAAATGTTTCTGTTTAGAGGTGAAAGAATTAACTTTCTACTTATTTAAGAAAGGGCTCTACCGAGGGTGATCACCATAATTATTTGAAGTAGTATGGAAAAAGGGGAGAGAAGTTGAGGATTTGAATATTATTATTTTCGACAACAAAATATTGTATTAGACAAAAGAAGCCGAGGCTCCATAAATTGTTACTACTCAAGCAAAATCCCCTTACCCTGGGTTCATAACTACACTGCCAGTTAAGTCTTTTTCCTTTGGGTGGTTTGGCCTCAACAATTTCTGGATGAAGTATGGTACATATATAGATGATGATGATGATGATGATTATGATGATACTTTTATTTAAGTGTCAAACTGTTATAGCTTTAATATAAAGACAGTATACCAACCTAAAAACATGATTAAATGAAATGAATGAATCTAAAATCAAGCAAAAAAGTGATACATTTAAGAGTAAAATTTGATTTTAGCATGCGTTTAACATTCAAACTTTTCAGAAGTAGTTTATTATTTACATATTAAAAAATTAGCATTGTATACGTTACTAATAATTTGTTCTTTGGACTATTAGGATGGTCTTTTCGAATGGAAACCTCCGTTTAAAGCCTGGACTCTTTAATTAATGAACAACATAAATTGCATATTGATTATTAAATTACTAGAGGTTACAGTACTATGTCATAATGTATTATAAAAACAATAAATAAATTTGCATAAGCACATTGTTTAATAACAGTGGCAAAATGTTCAAACAGTAAATCTACTGATGGAGTAAAAATGAGCTCTTTGTGATTTTAACCTTAGAATAATAATTATAAACAATAACAGTAAACCTATGAAATGATAACAATATAGGAATTTGTGGTTGCTGCTAAAATTCTTTCAATGTGTGCTGCTGTCATCGGGGCCTGCAGCATTATTAGTATGTACGTCATGAGTATAAAAAGAGAAATCTTTTAAAAGATCACAATAGTATTTGTGGAGTAACATTTAGCATTTATTTTGTAGAAAGAAAGTTTTAATGGAAAATTGACGTAGTCAAATGCCATAAAATACACTACTTAGGTTGTCCTTAAATTTCTACTGTTTACTTTATATCACTGTAAATAATAGCAATACTTTTCTGCTAATTACATTGTTTGAGCTTTCTAAGAAATATTTCTGTCATTTTCTATATACAAGTGATTCTTTTGAAGCACATACTTTCATACATGACAATTTTTATAGTAACTGCTAGGTATTTTTTGTGCAAATTCTTAAATAAAAAGTCATTAAAAGTAAACTAAAAATACCTACGTATTGTAGTATCATCTCTATTTCTTGAACCTTTGTTTCTCAAGACCTCTGTTGATTCCATCTACAACTAACTCCAATCAAAGACCATAACCTCTATTTTAACCTTGATGTTTTGTGAAATTGGTTAATGTTTTTTGAAAACTAAAAAAACAACAAACAAACAGAAAACATTGTTCATAAAAGCCAATAAAGCTACTGAAAGCTAGGTTCTGAATTGCTATCTGATCAGTGGGCATGACATTCTTTCCATTGGTGTTCTAAATAAATTAATAAATGTTAGTATCATTTACAATGTACAATTCTTAACTAGTATTTAAGCATTTGCCAGTTTACTCTATTAATAGTTGTTAAAAAAGAGAATAAAAATTAACGTGTTTCTGTACACTTCTTGAAGTTGTGGTCTCGCGATATTATAAGATCTATAATAATGATAATGGTTATAATGGTGTTAACCACAGCAATTAAATTGATAGTATTTGAAAGGGGAACTTTGAAGAGCATTCAGTGAAACAGAGGAACTGAAAAAGTTTATTGCAGTGTCCTGCAGACTGTCAGTGCAATACCATAATAAACAATACCCTTACTACAACACAAAAGCTAACTGACAATGCCAAAAAACTACAAGACCTCACAAAAAATGGTTTCTGTGACACCAAAAAACACCATATGCCTAAAGTACCAGAAAGTCCTACATCTCTTCTTCATGGATCAACACCTGCAAGAGACAATTTAGTGTCACTGTAAATCCTTCAGTGGGCGCCCTCCTCTAGGCACACATTATTTTGGCACTTTGGATGATGTGAAAGATCAATAAAGAGAGAAAGAGAGAGAATAAGTCAGTATTTTCCCCAAAGTTTTTAACCAAAAAGTTTTTGCCTCATGGTTATATGGCCATGTAGGTGCTGCATGCGCCGTAGAGGAAGGGCGCTTACTAGAGGTGGGTGCTTCACAAGGAGTTATGGTGAGTCTTGTTTACCTTTATTTTTCATATGCAGTGCAATTTTAAGCCGAAGTATTTTACACTGTCAAAAGAGGCATGCAAGGAAATATTTCCTCCTTGCTTTGTTTATTGCTTTTCCTGCAACATTTGTGTTCAGGTGTTTGAAATCTTTACCTTTCCCAAGCAAGTATGTCCTTAGTGCCTTTTAAGGGTACAACTGTCCTAAAAAAATTATACAAATAAATTATTATTGTTAAAAATATCATTCATTTTCCATGTAAAGTTTGATTCCTACTGAGTAATGTAATGTTTTCTAATCTCTAAGTTTTTTGTCTCACATCACCCTTAACAATCTAGTTAACATTTGTCTTCTTAAATGAGTGTATAACCTTGAGTTAAAGTAGTGTAGCATAACCTTTTAATACTACTGACTTAGCAAAACCTAACAATCTAACAGCACACTGATTTAAAGAAACTGAAACAATCTTGAAGTGACAAAGAAGGAAAATAACACCTTAATTACTTACTGGTAGATTTAATAAAGGCTTATGGCCTAATATACAGTGTTCTAGACTGCAATTCTGAGTGCAAATCTTCTGCAGTTCATTGGTTTTATGTTCTGGTCATGCTAAGAATCATGATTTTGTAGAATAAGAAGTTTGCATGGTTGTCCTACCCCACTAAGAATACTAGGGTGATTCTGAAATGAAATAATGCCTTTGTCACAGGAAAGGAGCAATATTCTAAATGGCAGTTGCTCTACAATAATGTATCTCACAAGAAAATAAGAAAACCCTTTAGTTCACGAGAGGGCAGAAAACTAAAAATTCAAGAAAAGCTGAACTACCGTATTTATTCGATTAACCGCCCTGGGCGTTTATTAAATTTTTGGACCTTGAGAGTGGGCGCTTATTCAAGGTGGGCGCTTATTCCAGGCTGGGCACTTATTAAATTTTCACCATTTTCAGCAAGTGAAGTATGTTTATTTTGCAGCAAAACAATCAATGGTAATAACAAAACGCAAAGAAGTAACAAAGCAAGGGTTCTGTAAAATACGCTGAAGAAAACTCCGTACTCGGGGAAGTCTCTTTTTAGAATTTATTCACTCAAGTGGGTGTGGTGGGGGTGAGCGCTTATTTGAGTTTGATTGGGAGGAGGAGGGGTGGGCACTTATTCAAGGCTGGGCGCTTATTCGAGGTGGAAGCTAATTTGAGGTTGGGCGCTTATTCGAATAAATACGGTATTGAAGAATGAAAAAATTGATACAAAGTGACATTTTTGTTAAAGAGGTTTCATGAGTCACAAATATTGTGGGATTTCATTTATAGAGTCAAAAGTTAGAACTACCAAATTTGATACAGCATTACACATTTCCACCGACTATCGGAGTAGAAGGTCGTCATCAGTAGTAGAAATTTGGTTGCAGTAAAATTTCCTAATATCCTTGATCTAGAAACACATTTTAGTGACACTTAATCTTGCATTATTTTTAATTTTCAGGGAGCCCCAGTTCACGACATAAGAGAAGTGCCTATAATGCAGTGTATGCCACTCTTTGACAGATGGAGTCATGTTTGGCTTCGCAATAATGTTATCCTCTAGGCTTAAACTCTTGTAATTCGGTATTCACTAGAAATCAGTGTATTATGAAAAGGAAATACTGTACCGATCATATGTAGTCTCTCGCATATTTTTGATTTGTTTTTCTTTATTTGCCACTGAACCATGGATGGTGAATCTATAAATTTACAGGCGCCACCAATGACTCTTGGGCCAGGCCTATTATTAGGGCCTTGTATAAAGCTAAGTTAAAGAGTCATATCAGAAATTCTGAGATTATGTTTGTTTCTGGAAATTTGATGTGAAAGGCATTAATTTAACTGGTTGAAAGCAAAATATTGTACACTTCACGTGAACTAAAGACAGACAGCACGGAGGAGAGGATTGTTGTAGACATCAGTAAAATTGATCATAATTCACAAGGCAACCTATGTGAGCCTTTTCCTTTTTGCTGAAAGTTTTAACATCTGTTATTATAATTATGTAGTATATTATTACTGTTGCAGCTGAAAATGAATTTTATTGTGAGTCTAGTTTTAAATTTGAGGGTTTTATTACAGTGGGACATATAAATATTTTTCTCTATTGGTATAGCACTGTAACCGGTCACAGTTGGCATAGCAAATTAGCTTTTGAAACCATTCCAATGGCTGTTTTGTCAATCATATTAAATGTAAGTTTGCATAATAATATTAATATTGTTTTAATCACATGATTAAAGATTAAAGAATGCTTGCCTAATTATTGCTTTAATAAGAAATTTACATTAGTATGCTGAGCAAAATGATTTAAAGTTTTATAGTTGGTTAAGCTACAACTCTTAATTTTAATAAAGAACAGTTTTGTACATGAGTATTCTTGTTCTCTTTCTACCTTAAGGGTTATGATATATGTCTTTGCCAATTTCCAAATTTTGTGGGGATGGGACCCGATGGTGTTATTATGTTATGCTCACAATCTGCAATGTAATCCTTACGTAATCCTGGCTGGGTAACACTCCTGTAGATAAATCATATATTATTTTGTCTTCAAGCTGCATATAAAGGTTGAAGAAACTGCATCAACAGTGTAAAGTGCCCTTTTTTCTGTAAGATTGCTATGATCAAGTTCTGACCAGAAAAAGAGTAGACTTGCATCCCTTGGTCTTGGTCATGGCAGTTTTTAGCTTATGAAACAATAAATTGTGAGCTTTAAAAATACTACCCTGTTTGTAAAGAATCTCATTACTTTCTTACTGGAAAGTTGTGTTCACCTCAGGCAATGGAACAGAAGAAGAATCAGTGAAGAAGACAAGTGAATCCCGTGTGGAGCAAATCTTGGTGAGTTTAAATATTCAAAGTTTAAAATTATATAAGATGTATATTTTTCTGCAATTGGTGCAATTAATTATATAACCATGGCAACAGTAACCTTTCACATGTGAAGATAACATGTTATTTTCACATTTGAAGTTGTCATGTGTTTGCACAAAAGCTCATGCCCACCCAGTATTTCATTGGTGTTTATATAATAAATAATAATATTGATGGAGTTTACAATTTTTATTATTTCATCCACGTGGTGATTTCACAGCAAAGATCCTCCAGCAGACGCAACAGTTGTGATTCTACGGAAGACAATGAGGAGCCTGAGAAAGCAGTGGTAGATTCTAAGGTATTTTTTTAATTATGTTACTTCAACTTGATAACATCCTCTTTCAAGGATAATGAAAATAATATTGAACTGACAACTTAAGGCATACTTACCGGTCATGTTAAACTTACAAAACCAATCATAATGTCCTAAGCTGTAACTGGTAAAGAATTTGTTTGATTTTATCCAAACACAGGAACAAGAAAAGCTTGGAAAGCTGATAACGAATGTGAATCTGATGACATCACAGCTGGAGCTGCATTACCTTGAAGACACAGATAATGAGATTGTGTTTAGAGCCAGAGAAATGTCAGAGATGGTCAATGAAATGTATCTTTTTACAAGGTTGGTCCTTAGTGACACTTACTGTATTACGCTGTTCAATAATATCAATTTTACAGTATTTTTTGTACAAATGTATGTCTTTGATACCAAATTGTTGACATCTTTTTCTTTCACAGTGAACTGATGCATGCACTATATGCTACTTAGTTTTCACGCAGTTGTCTTAAACAAATTTAATATTATAAGGCAAGATTTAGAGTGTAAAAATAAAACTGTATGCCAAAAATGAGGAGAAAAAGCTGATATTTTTTGAGGAACTTTTTTAAAGAAAATTTGAAAATTTGGGAATGCTAAACTGGCACCAATTTCAAGTGAAACTGAATAAAATTACACTTAAAACTGTTATACACTGGTAAGAAACAATACAATAGAAACTATACTTTAGTCCTCTGAACATAGGTAAAAGAAAAGGAATATTAAACATACAGAACTAATCTGGACTAGTAGAAAAACACATTAAATTAATTGTTGTATTTTTTGGCTTATTCTCTACTGTAAAATTCAATAGGGGAGAGGGTCTGCTTCAGAGCACAGAGGAATTGTTTGAAGCCTCTCAGGTAAATAGCAGTTAAAGCAAAACTGTTGGTACTTTGTTTGTTGGTACTTTACTTTGTATCTACAGTGGAACCCCACCGTACGACCACCCTGTTGATACAACCACTTTGTTATTATGACTTTATTCTTTCGACCCAAACAGAAAAATCACTGAGTCATTTTATCACGTTGAAGACGCTGTTAATACAACCACTTCATTATTACGACCAAGATTTTATGGCCTAACAGTGGTCACATTAACGGGGTTCTATTGTACTAATTCCTGAAAATACTTTAAATTTAAGGCCTTAAACATAGCAAGGAGGCTTCCTTGAATTTGTTTGTGCAAAATAAATTATATTAAGTTTTGCAAAACCTTTCTAAACACGATATATATGCTAAGTTGCTCCTATTTGAAATCTTTTTGAAAACCCTCTACCCACAGTCAAGAATACAAGCCATACTCTATCTATGCTAAAACAACAGGTGACTAAAATAAATTTTATTTTAGTGGCCTGTTGTTTTAGCCTTCTATTTAATAGAAATATACTTAGTAAGTTTTTCTACTCTGATTTTTATCATTTTTATTATTTTCCTTGTGTTGCAGAACTTTGCAGATGCAGGTCGGGCACTTTATAGAGTAGCAAGAAAATATGCCTCAAAGGTAAAAGTTCAGTGACTTCTCCTTCCAAGACTGACCTAAGAAAAATGTATATCATTCACTATATCATTCAGTATCAACACAGTATTAATATTGGACTGAGTGGAGTCCAATTCGGTCTGTAATCATATGAGTGATTAACAAAATCAGACTACAACCCTACAGAATGATTAGCGAAAAATAAAGCAGTTGATGCACCAATCAAATTTGAGGAAATGGTAATGGTTATGATTAATAGCACCATGTTACTCCCATTTTCACTAAGTCATCCACTGTTTCCTTCATTTCGAAAACTAATGGATGTTCCCTCTCCATAACTCATTAGTCACTCAGCAAACTCTGAGAGTGAAAGATTTACAAACTGTGAATTATAAGTTGCTCATTATAAATTTTCTTATTTTTAAATTGAGCCATTTTTGCTATTTACCCACTGCCTTAATTTTATTTCACTCTGTTGATAGGCAGAAGAAAATCCCATGAAAAAAGAACTTTTAAGATGTCTGGATAAAATCCCTGCTTACTGTCAGCAACTCATGTTTACCAGTAGATCATTGGCAGTTGGACAGTCTGCTTGTTGTCGCAAGGTTAGTGCAACATGTCTTTGGTTTATTTTTTATTGTAATCTCATGTTAGTTCCATCACTTTCACTAATACTCAAATCTCATTCTTCCAGATATTTTTTCCTTCCTTTTCCTAGATTTCACGCACAGAATTTAAGACAGCCTTGACTTTATGAAATGAGGCATTTAGCTAGGGCCAATTAACAAGATAACTTTTGTGGGCATGAGTGAACACATTGATTTGTCTTTTTTAGGTATGGGGAGTGATGCATTTGACAAAGAATATCATAAAAATTGTTGCACGAGTTGTTAACAGCTGCTATCTGTTAGCAGAAAGGGTAAGAAGATTCACTATACCCACCCAATGTAGGATCACTGGAAATCCAAGGTTGGGAGGAGATCTAGATGGTGCCTTAGAGGCCATGAACTTTTAATGAAAGTAAAAAGCTAAACTGGATTTTCTAAGGGAGCAGGGGGGGTGGTTGGTGGGTGCTGCAAACAGCAAACTCTTTTGTTGGAAGAGGCAGTATGACTACTTTCTATAAAGGCAAATTATATTGAATTTTCCACCACTGAGAAAACTGTTTTAACCATAAACCCCTGAAATTGTGTCCAAAAAAAAATTGCATAATCCTTGAAGTTTCACATTAACTGCATTTTTCTTTCTGTCAAAAATCTTGTGGTGCCTTCTGCTAAACTGAAATTTTATTTCAGCTCAGTCTCTTAATTTTTTTTTCAATTGTACTTGGACACCATGATGTTTAATTGTCAGCCTGTTTTCCGTGGCTATGAAATATTATAACAAGTGAGAGTGAAACACAAGTTTGCTTTCCTCTTTAGAATTCTCCTCTCAAGTTACCACCAGATCAAAGATTATGGAAAATCGATGAGAGTATTTTCTCAGAGGAATCATCAATAGCCACATTGTCAAGACGTTCCTCTCTACAGAGTCTTGAGTGTAGTGAATATGAGCCTCGAACTACCGTTGAGCATTTTGGAGGAACAGTATACAAGACAGAGTTGTAATATTTTTAGTGCCTGCTTCAGACAGCCTACAAACCAAGTGCTTTGTACCTGGTCTAAACACTCCCAGGGAGTTACCCTGGATTTCAAGTGACAGGGATGATTGAAGGATTTTGGGGGGTTTGAAATATTCAATTTTGGGATTTTTTCAGGTAGGAAATTTTGGCAAGAATTTTTTTGGGTAGCTTGATTTAAGTAGGTATTTTTAAAGGGTATTCAAAACAATATCAAGATTCATGATAGTTCCTGTATATCCTGCATAGTTCGCATAGTTCCTTTGGAAATTTTTACAACTCAGATATTCAGCATGGGATTTTTTTGGGGTATTGTGTTAAGCTGTAGGGATTTTTTGGGGTTTTGAATTTTGCCCCCATTCGATCATCCCTGTCACTTGAAATCCAGAGTACCCCCTAGGAAAACACCAGGTAGCATTCTTCTCTGCAAATCCAGGACATTTTCATATGCAAACAGGGAGATACTTTTCAATTAATGGACCAGGCTTTATAAGTATAACTGTAGCTTTGTTGTCTTTGCATAAATCATTAGGTTTGCTCATGAAAACCAGGTATTCTAATTTTAGAATACACAATATGCAGTTGTGTTGAAGACTACCATTTGAGGTGTAAAAGTGGCGTTCTAGCAAGTTTTCTATGGATAGTTTGTAATTCACACTACTTGACATAATCTGTGATAAGAAACTGTAGAATAAAATCCAAAATAATAGCATATTTGGGAGTAAAAAGTTTTACATCACGAAAGGATAAACAACCTTTTCTCTCTTAAGAGGGCAAAAGCAGTTGCAACAATATTTGGGTTTAGGACTTGGCCCTTTGTAATAATATAGAATGGTAATATATCTGAAATACTGCTACACACAGGTTTATAAATTCATTACACAAGAATCAATCCTAGCAGTATTTTTCATTTTTTAGGTTTTTACTTTTTACAGAAGTAGTTATTACTAAGCTAGGTATACTTTGTACAGGAATGAATTTTATCAGGTTTTTAGAGTTTTATATTATTTATTGTACGGAAAAAAATGTACGATTTCAGAAAAATACATTCCCCTTTCCAGATCATACATAGTTCCTTACGGAGCAGGCTTCCTCTTTTTTTTAAATCAGAAGGAAGGATTACAGTCAAGCCAGTTCAAACATATATGTAGTATTCTATTAATGAACTGATTATGTAAAAATTGAATCCATTATTAATAGGGTGGGTGTCACATTTACAATAATAGTAATGCATTCAATTTTCAAATAATGAATTCTGTATTAGAATCTATGGGGATATCTTGATCTGTCTTAAGTAACTGTAAAACTAATCTGAACCTATTCCTTGAGAGATTTATGTATCGTTTTCTGAATTATCATCCTCTGAGTAGCAAAACAAGCAGAAAATGAGAAAAATGTTTTATTTTTATCTCAAGTTTTATTTCTGAGAATTCATACATCTAAGACTCCACAATATTGCATTACTGGCATGTGTGGTTTCAAGGGACTTTAAACTCCCTTCAAAAATTCAGGTTATCTCAGATAGTCAGATTTCCATTTACTTGACCCTGGGATAGGGAGAAGTTTTATTCTGCGATAGACATTAAAGCCTTTTTAAATGACCATTAAAGGTAGGTTGGTTTACCCTTCATCATTTTGGTAGCCATCCAAACAGCTTACCTCTTCATAATTAATACAGCTAGAAGTGTGTAAAAGGAGACAAAAGATTTTTTTTGTTAGTTATGTTCAATGTAAGTTCTTAAGGTCCCCAACAGAGTAGCAATAAATTTATTGTATGTTGTAACATTGTAAAGTGTTGTCATCTCAAATTATGAAAATGAAAGACTTAATATATGTTAAATTGCATGTGATAAAAATAGAAATAGAAAAAAGAGGAAATATCACAAGCCATCAACAGACACAAGAAAGGTCACAACAAGTCTAGTGCTGCCTGGTTTTGATGGCTTTCTTTAACTCTCTCTTGGGTGAAAACATCTACATAAATTTACAAGTTGGTGTCCTCGTGATTACCAATATTTTTATAGCAGGTGAGATTATTATGCTATTGAGTGCCACTAGAGTTTGTTTAAGGCTTGTACTTCACCCCAGGTAAAACACACAGCATTTCAAACAACAGGTTTGCAGCGGTCAGAGCTGTAGTTCCTGTGGTATCATATGGAGGTGAAACCTGGAATCAATCATTTGAAAGAACAGTCAATTCACTACCTCATAATAAACACCAGTCTATAGTGGACAACACAATGGACACCTCCCTAAAAGAGAAACCTTGTTGAGTTAGTTTGTGGTATTCTTAGTCATATTTTGTGACCCTATATGATGGACATCTCTCTCAGATGGAAGCAAAAGTGCTTGTCCCATCAAAAGTGTCTCTTCGAGAGAAGAATAGGAAACAGGCTCTGAGGAGGAGATTTCTCAAATATGAAAAGAACTTAAGCTACACACTGAAAATTGTGTACAATTAAACTGGATAGTAGACATGCTTCACTACTTCTGACTTATAGCTTATTATTTTTGTATATTGATTATATTTTACCTCAACCATATCTCCACCTACAACGTTCATTCCACGACAACCTCTTAATATTTCAATTCCTTGTATAGATGTTAGGCCTCCTATTTCTGGGGTACCTGGTAAGAACAGAAAAAGGAAAAATCCCAACCAGAATCTTTGCGGAAATTATATAATATCATGGGCACTCAAAGAAAGTCCAGCAGAGCTGGTACTTTAGTTCAGTCTCCAAGTGTCCAAAATCAAAGTTTCAAAGAACCGATAATTTTATCAGTATAAAACTCGAAAGAAATAGTGTCAGTCCCTAAAAATTAACTGCTAAACAGGGTTGTTTTGCATGGTCACACCACACTGATGTGATTTTATTTATATAATTACAGACTCAAGACTTAAATACATGATTGAATGGGGGTTTAAAAGAGTTAACAGAGTTTGTTGTATTCATTTTGGAAAGAAAAAACTCCATCACCTGTTCCTGGAGCAAAAGCTGGGTCCAAGCCATCAATATCAAATGATATATACACTGGTCCACTGCCCATCTGCTGTCGAACTTCTGCCATAAGTGGTACCAGGGACTTGTGCCAGCATTCATGTGCCAGAACTAACCTGAAACCCTAAACAAGATAAAGATAATTAGTGAATGGTATGAAAATCATGAGTCCCTGAAACACTTGAACTTTTGCTGTTGAAATCTTCGAGGCATTTATGATGACACTCATTTTGGCAAATTTTTTCCACCTCTGACTCTTGAATTCTTTGCTAAAGGGGCTTGGATTAAGAAAAAAGGTCTTGGCAAGTCTGAGATACTGTCATAATATATTATCAACCACTACTTCACAGGTAGTAATTCATGTGCAAGTTCTAACATTATTAATAATAATCCTGGTGCAACAAATACAATATAATAAGCAACAAGAGTTTGATAATCAGGATGATATGTCTGCAACAGCTGCATTAATATTATGCAAACCAAACAATCTTTAACATTATAATAAAGACTTCATTTATCAGTAACCAGTGATTACATTTGTTGGAAATATCAGTTAATTATGTACAGAGTACCTGGTCTTCTGCCCATTGATAGTCTTTTCCAGTGTAACCTGATCCACGTAAACCAATCTGTACAACACGTTTACAGTCCAGCAGACCTTCCTCTACTGCTCGGCGAAATGGTGTTCCATGTGTCACTTTCTCACCAAACATTGAATCACTAGTGTCTGAATGAGCATCTACATGGACAAGACCAACTGGACCATGCTTTTCCTTGTTAAAGAGATGAAAACAATTTTGTTTCTGCCTGAAAGTATTTCTTAGCCTCAAGTTAGCTTCTGATGTAAAAACTAAACTTTGCATACGCCATAGGATCTCAAGATTTTTTGGCTACCCCCCAAGTACCTTGTCAATAAAGTTCTGGGCGCTGAAGGAAGTGTATACCAACTCAACTCTTTGGTGAGAGTTCATAAAAGAAGCATTAGTTGATGGCAGGCGCAAGTGACCCAGATATTATCATGACTATTGACTGCCTTTTTGTGCCCCATTGGCTGGGTGTCCTGTGCAATAATTGGGCTAGGGCTCACATTCAGCAACTACTGGACTGTCACTGTTCAAAAAATTTTCTGTAACTGCAGCACTGAATTCAGTGACACAGATTACATTCAACTCTCTTAATGGACTCCTTCCCTAAGGGCTGGTCGTTTGTAACCTGTGAGGGTGGGCTGGCCATTTTGAGAAAGCTTGCTTTACCATTTACGGCTGTCACATATTTCAATTCATGCTTGTTACTGCTTTGTACTTCTGTCGCGAAATTTATTAAAATGACCCCCTAATACCGATCAATATTTTGAAAATGACCCTCTAGCCAAATGGCTGCCCCCTCCCCCATTCCCCCATAGGTGAAATGACCTGCCCCCTAAACTGGATACCTAGCAAAGGAGGTCTTTATTCACTTTCTTTTACTGTTTAAGCCAGAGGGACATTTGGTAATGGTCCCAGAGACGCATGATGAGATCGTCAGGAGAAATTTGACAATGATTATCAAAGAGGACTTTAACCTTAATTCCCTGCAATATTGGATAAGTGATGGTGTGATCACCTCCCAGGATCAAAGGCTTGCAGCCAAGGTTGGCAATAGCAGCAATATGTCTGCGTATAATATCAACTGTTGCAGCTAGGCTATATGTGTTGATGGGGATATCACCAATGTCAGCAATCATCAGACTTTCAAATGGAGCAGCTCCAGTGACATTGTTGTATGGACGAATCATACAAGACTCTGCTCTTATTTGTCTTGGGCCAAGGCTGCAAAACAAGACATTGACCAGTGATATGTTCCTACTAACACCTCGTTTATTTCAGAGTGGGAGCTTTTTAAGGAGAAGTCTATTCTGAAACAGCTTTCAAGCAGCCTAATCCAGGGTTCTCAATAGAAGGCAGCACCCGGCGATTGATCGCTGCTTACTTTGGGATTTATAGCCGCTTACTTTGTGTTTAAGTCGCTTTTCTTTGCTTTGTTTTGACACCTCTGGCTTTGCTGAAGAGCCTCCTACTTTATCAGTGATCACCTCCTACTTAAAAATCTATTGAGAACCCTGCTAATCCCCATGGCCAGGGTCTTTGACACAGCGGGGGGGGGGGGGTAAATACTGTGCCGCTAGATGGGGTCGCATTTTCACGACTGGATTGACTATAATGGGGTTGCATTTTCAATATAGTTACCAGAATGGGGTCGCACATTTTCTGATTTTGGGGTAACACAGTTCTTCATTTTTACGAGGGTCTCGAGTGAGGTCTCTTAGGGAAAACATGGCCTCCCGTGACGACCAAGTCACGCAAATGTGCGAGATTCAACGCGCCAAAAAGGCAAACATTTCCAATGCAACCTACCGAGTCCCAGACCGGTTTGAGGTTCCTGAATCCAGAGGAATTCCCACAAAACAGGCGTCTAGACCCTCTGCGTTGCTCGGTACGGGAAGGCGCATCATTGAGGCAATACCTCCAGAGCGAGGCATGTCGTTCGGACTGATTGGAAAGTTGAAGTCATCTTTGTTTAACCGACTACTAATAGTTATCTTACGAGACTGCAACAAGGGTTTGTTCCCAATAAGGTGGAAAGGTTTTGAACCTAGCAAGCGAACAATGAGTCTCTTCATGGTTTTGGACAAAACAGCACGGAGGGTAGAGTAGGACTGGAACTAGTCATTCATTTGCAATGTGAGCGCGCATACATGCGCAACACCAAGAAATATCCCCTGTTTAATAGACCTATTCGGCTAACTCAATGTTACGGAAGCCTGTAAGGGACATTCGAGATGCGAGATAAAAATGCGAGATAAAAATGCCTGATAAAAAAATGCGAGATAAAAATGCGAGATAAAAATGCGAGATAAAAAATGCGAGATAAAAATACGAGATAAAAAAATGCGAGATAAAAAATGCGAGATAAAAATGCGAGATAAAAAAATGCGAGATAAAAAATGCGAGATAAAAATGCGAGATAAAAAAATGCGAGATAAAAATGCGAGATAAAAAAATGCGAGATAAAAATGCGAGATAAAAAAATGCGAGATAAAAAAATGCGAGATAAAAATACGAGATAAAAATACGAGATAAAAAAATGCGAGATAAAAAATGCGAGATAAAAAAATGCGAGATAAAAAATGCGAGATAAAAAAATGCGAGATAGGAGAAGCTGAGCCCGCAATCTTACTTGCGACTGCTTCGCGTATGTCTGGTTAAAGAAAATGGAGTTCTGTGTTATTTTTGGTATTCTTCTTGTTTTGCCGGAGAAAGTTACGAGAAAATATCTCGAATCTCCTGAGAAAGACACTTACACGCACTACGACATGTCAGTGACCTGCCATCACTGCAACCTAGTCAGATACTATCATACCGGTTCAGCCCAAAAAGCATTTTTGACCTTGAAGGAAACACAACAGAACGCGGATCAAAGAAACGCCTACGCTATTGGTCACTTTTGCAGCCAATGGCAAGTCAGTATTTTCGATCCTAGCCACCAGTATTTTAACAGTCTGCTTCTCTCTCTGTACCTAAGACTTTACCATAGTAGCAACTGACGAGGAACGCTATAGTTCCGAAACTGCAGTCTTGCTTAAGAATCCATAGCAGTCGCCCAGATGACTGTTAAGCAAAAACTTAAGAAAATAACCACGAAGGAACAACAAGACATCGCGCTCTAGTTCAAAGACTCACTTATGTTAAGAAAAACTAAATGGACTGTGTGAGCGCTAAGAGAATTATCTTGACTGACGCACGGCATATTTCTCCAAACTTGGTGTAGCTTTAGTTTTCAAGCTACAGTGTACAACTCATATCTCAGTGAAGATCGCACTATCCGTGGAAATTCAAAATCCTGCAAACCACACTATAGAGCTGGGCCCAGAGTCATACTGACATGGCAGGAAATAATCACATTCACGGACAAAGAAACTTGCATGCATGCATGTAGTTATTCAGATACAGCCATTTCGGAGAAAACCAAAAAAACTAAAATCTTTATTCAGCCGTAATAAACAGAGGTCAAAGGATATAAAACACTTAACAACTGCATCTGAAATCAAATCCTGTCAGGGACACCTAGTACAGAAGCATAAACCACAGGAAATGATTACTCAGTATGCATGTAACAAACCTGCTTCATGACCTCTAAATATAAGACTTAGTGCGGCAAAAACAAGATTTACTCAAGAATGCTACACGTCTTGCACTGTGTAGTGCTAGTAACCTTCGCGCGAGAGAAAAAAGAAAGAGAACCACTGTTCAAGCAGACTCTCAAGGTCACGTTTCACATTATCACGAGCTTATGAGTCGTGTTTGGCCTGTCAACGCTTATTTCGCATTTTTATCTCGTATTTTTTTATCTCGTATTTTTATCTCGCATTTTTTATCTCGCATTTTTTATCTCGCATTTTTTTTATCTCGCATTTTTATCTCGCATTTTTTTATCTCGCATTTTTATCTCGCATTTTTATCTCGCATTTTTTTTATCTCGCATTTTTATCTCGCATTTTTTTATCTCGCATTTTTATCTCGCATTTTTTTATCTCGCATTTTTATCTCGCATTTTTATCTCGCATTTTTATCTCGCATTTTTTTATCTCGCATTTTTATCTCGCATTTTTATCTCGCATTTTTTTATCTCGCATTTTTATCTCGCATTTTTATCTCGCATCTCGCATTTTTATCTCGCATCTCGAATGTCCCTTACAGGCTTCCGTACAATGTTGTACCCAATTCAAACCCTTTGGGAATAAAACGTTTTGTTTCAGGAATTTCCATATCAGTTTTTTGTGAATGCCACATTATAATGCAAATACAATACACAAAGAATCTTATCCCTGGGTTAAATCCCTGGGAGATTTGAATTGGGTACAATATTGAGTTGGCCGAATAGGTCTATGACCGTCTATTGGGGCCAGTGCATTTCACCGATTTACTTGTGAACAATGAAAGTCTTTTTAAAAAGAGTTCTACGAAATGGTGAGTCTATGAAAATCAGTTTCTCGCGCTAGTGGGGTGGGGTGAATGTTAAACAGCTTATCATTTTAATGAAATTTTTGCTCTTGGGAGGTGGGCCGGGGGCGGGGGTGGGGGGTGACAGAACAAACATTAAAACGAAATGAACAGAAAACTGCCATTTTATTTTTCTTGTCTCTATTTAAATATCTGAGCTCGATGGTCTTCGCCAGCGGCTGGATTTATTTAGGAATTAAAACGTCTTATTGTACGGTCGTGTTTGTGAACGAAACAGATTCATCTGTAGTAGAAAAAATGCTTGAACATCTTGTCTTACATTAACAAAACCACTGAGCAAGTACTAACATAGCAGTGAAAAACAACAACTGATATCAAACACAAACAAACATGGAAAGTAAAGTTAGCTTCTTCACCGCCGATCAAGCTGGTTCAACGGACGAGATGAATAGAATAAGTCTTTCTAAATTTTACAAACCCAACATAACTTTACAGATGCCTTTATTTCTGTGCTACAGTACCACAGCGATAGTGTTTCCTGTATTTACTGACGTCTTAAAAATGACGGCCTGTTTATTGCCTTATTCCTGAACTGATATCTCCTATTCTGAAACCAGTTTCTAATCTGAAGCTCAGTCATGTATAGGATCTTTGATAACAGAGCGCGTTCGTCACGTGTTAGATACATTTGACGGGAGAATACATCCTCTAAATAGTTGATTTGCCTCTGAGTAAAGCGATTTCGAATTCTTTTCTTTTTCCTTACGTCTTTCTCTTCGTTGGTAATTGTCCCTCTTGTGTTTTCCTGTGTAGAATCTTCTGAATTCTTACTACCGTGGACTTTGTTTTCTAAAGGTGGAAAAAAAAGCATTCAACATTACAAGAATCGGTGTGAGATGATTTGTTTGACTGGGGATTTCTTGAGCACAACGGTCCATGCGCAACACTATTCACTGAGGTTAAATTTGGTGACGTGGACTTTTCCTTTATCTCACTTCTCTCTCTTGAAAACACGCGCACACAGTTACAAAGCCACTAAAATTTACTTCGTGATGAATAAATGATTCAAGAATTATAATCTAAATGAAATTTACGGGGTTTGATAATTGCCAGTTACGAACTTTCTAGTCGACAGTGTAGTTGGTAAAATGGTATTTGAGCTGTTTTCTTAAATTTCTTTAAGACCTTTAAAGCAAAAATGGTACTTAACCTGTTTGTAGCTCTTCAGGTAAACTGTTTTCTGGTTGTTTTCTTGTCTCGTGGCCAGAGATCACATAGACGTTGTGTTTGCACAATGTGCATACATGTCTGAAACCTCGTTCAAAGCAGCAGTTTGCTTCATCATATCTGTTTTCCTGATGGCAGCTGGACTGAGTGACCTGTTGCCATGATTCTTTCGTTAAAGGCTTCACATACAAAACCCTCGAAACTGGTGTTTGACTGAGACGAGAAGGGTGGGGAAAGTTTGGACTTAAAATGTTGGCAACGGCGAATGGTAGCTCGTGAGCTTGAGCCATGATGAGAAATCTTTGATAATGATCAGTTGCTAGTTCAGCAAAAAGCCCCAACCTGTCACTCAGGGACATGTTTGGACAAATCACGTCTCACGCGAATGAAAATCGAAAGTTGCTGAAATGGGGATTTACGCTCACTCGTCACACAACGCTTGTCAAATGCGTTACATGACACCTCTCAAATCAACCTATCGAACAATCGAAGGTACAAATGTACAATTTTCTTGAATTTCTCAATGTACAGTCATCCTGAAGTGCAAACTTTTTTAGTTAAATAAGACCAAATAAGTCTGGTGTGTGACATATGTGACAAAATTATCATGGGCGCCTGCAAGCAAAAAATGTCTCGCCCTGAGGTTTCTTTTTTGAGAATGCGCAGGAGCATTCGTTTTCCCAGCGCCGAATTCAAGTTGGAATGTTTCACGGTTCGGGAAGACGTGAAAAGTTTGTAGAAAAACTCTGTTTTCTTTCCTGGTCGAGCTTGTTTTGTATGGATCATGGTATGTGAGGAACCGATAAGGGTAAGTCATCCTTCGATTTGGCGCATAGCAGTATTCATGGGTTGACTGGTTTGTGTTGCACGCAACAGTGTTTGGGCGCGTAAACTTTTAATGGGCTAAGCTTAATTTGAAACTATCCCAGTAGGAAAGCGAAAATTGGCAGCCTTTTAGTAGTTTGTCAAATTATATTTTCGCTTTAGCAATACTAAGTACACGTGTTGTTTTATATTGTTTCGCATACTTTGGTAATTGGCATGGACAGTCCGAGGCAGCTTGTCGTTTATTTAAGCTTTAAGTACTGCAATTTGGTTACTTTTAGTTAAGCTTAAGCTTAATTATTTGAAAAAAACAAAAACAAATCAAGACATCCAATCTCGAAGCAATTTGTGCGACTTGTTAGTAACTGAATCAGCGTTATTTATGATATGTAAAAACAATTCTTACCACTTATCACGAAATGTTTAACTGACCTAGGCTTCGAGCTAGTCATTCCTCTTTTCTTCTGTTACAGCCCTGTTTATTATGCACGAAAATCTGTTTAACGAAGTTATTAGAATTACTGCCTCACAACTAGCCTACTACCTTACCCTTTGTTACAGGGAACACAGTGGTAAAATACCATCAGTGATGCATGTTTTTTTAAAAAAAGAAAAACACAGCCAGTTATATTTTCTAGCTGGCCATTCATTATCAATAATTGCATTGAAGATGGTTTTCACTGGCAACAGAAGTAGAGTGGCGTAATGTACTGTAGCTGGACACAAAAGGGTGACAGTGAAAATCAAAAGTCAAAGTTGCAGGATCAAAATTATAGTATTTCCATTTTCTTCTGATTCCCAGGGTTGTCACTAAAAGCCAGGTGCCGGGGATTTTCCTCGGCTACAGCACTTTCTTGCTGTACACTTCGCCTCCTACTAATCACATATACCTGGCAACTTGAAATGTAAGTGACAGCCCTGGATTCCACCTATGACCACATCCCTTGGTTATGGATAAGCCATTTATTATCTTGTTACAATTCTGCAAAGCCAAATCCTGGTAAGAACACTGAGTTATGGGGTGATATAAAATATGAATGTTATACTGAATCTCTTTTTAATCAATCTTAGGCAACCATATGGCATGCCCTTAGCCATTACGCCTATGATGATGCCATTTTCCTTGCTGAACGACTTTTTGCAGAGGGTAGGTAAAATAATTCTAAACCTCTCTTTCCTGTGGGCAAAATCCTTTAGTATTAAAGTTGGGTTAGCAGTCATCATATACCAATCCCAATTTGATAAAGTTAGATGTTAACTGATGAGTTGCAGTGATATTTATTTCAAATGGCACACTGATAGAGATGTTATTCAGTCAATGAGAAAGGCAACTCGGGTAAAAACAAATCCAGGTACTCCCTTTAGGTGTTGAACCTATAACCTTCTGGGCTCAGTTGTTCAAAGGCCGATTAGCGCTTAACCAGGGTTAAATTTAACCCAGGTTTCTTTTTCTTTAGTTCAAAAGCATTTTCCCGGATAATTTTCTCTGTTATGTTTAAGAGCATCGAATCATCAACTTGTTGACAAGAAGGATTAAACTGAATTTACTTTTTAAGCTGTCATGCCTGAATTCAAATTTCGCACTAACCCGGGGTTATCTTAACCCAGCTTTGAACAAACCTGCCCTGGTTACTAGTCTAGTCCAGATGCTCTACCACTGAACTACAGGAGACTCATGTGAGCCAAGGTTGCCAAACTAGGTTCATTTGAGAAACATCCTACATAAAGCTGCTACTTCATCAGTTATACAGTATGTGAGTCAACTACATTTCTGTCATCGTTGATCCACTTTGCCTAGAATGATTGCCAAGTTAGTAGCCTGCTTTGCAAAAGGTTCAAGTGTCAATGAGTTAACCTTTGTAGGTTATTGAATAATAAATTATTTTTTCCTTTTAATTTTTTAGTTGGATCTGATGATACTTTGTACCTACTAGCCACTTGTTTTTATCAAGCTGGGTACTGCAAAAGAGCCTATTCTCTTCTCCAAAGCAAAGGATGTCCTACACCACTCTGCCGCTTTCTCTTTGCGAAATGCTGCATGGATTTAAATAAGTAAGTGAACTTATTTTTCAGGGGTACAAAAGGAACTTAGTATTTTAATGAAGTGGAATTCAACTTTTTTGGTTCACTTTTGTGCTGACTTTCTCTAATTTTACAGACTTGCAGAAGCTGAGATGGCTCTTACTGGTGGCTGTCTTTTAAACAGTAAACCTCTGGAAGCCATTGCTTCAGAGTTGGGTTCCGCTGCGGGTTATGGACTTGCTCTCTTGGGACAAATCTGCAGGTTTGTTTAAAGTTCAGTGTGATGTGTGGACACAACTTTAAACTGAGTTTTATGTAGACATTTGGATCTGTTCTGCCTTGGGTGCTGATTAAAACTTGTACTTGACCCTTTAAGCCCTAAGAGTGATCAGCATCAAATTTCTCCTTGTAATATCAATGCTTTGTAAAACAGAGTGGTTGTGAGAATTACAGACATGATAACACAAGATGAATTTGCTTGATATTTTATCGACTTCTCCCCACTACTTCTGTAGGAAAGGAATATGAGCAACAAATGAGAATTTCAATTTTGCCCTTAGGGTTAAAAGGGCTAAATAAAATCCTTGATTTTTTACTGTATCGGACCTTGGGGTTCAGGGTGGGAGTCAGAATCTTAAGTAGAATAATCAGCAAGTCAAACATGGTACAGTTGATATCACACTATTGAAGGTGAGATCATGGCAATCCTATTTAGGACCTTTTGTGGCAGGATCTCAATTGGGATTCTCAGTTGGAGTTGCCAGGATCCTGCCTGAATAATGTCATCCTGCTTCATAAATCCCAGGGGATTTGGGGCAGGTAGTAGTCCAAGGACTCTTTAGAGTTTGGGGATAGACTTACAAAGTGCCCTCAAATTGAAATACATTTATTAAAGTATTGTTTCATAACAGTTGACTATTTCTGTGTAACAGTACTTGGGATGTAATAAGAATTACTTTAGAAGGCTTATATTCCAATTTTCTCCACTCGTTAGGAAAGGAGATCAGTTCATCAGAGCAGCAGAATGTTTCAAAAGCAGTTTAAAGTACAACCCATATTTGTGGAGTTCATTTCAGAGTCTCTGTGAAATAGGTATGTACTGTACTGTGCACTAATTAACTTAAACTATGTAATCTTTTTACTTATCCCCGGGAAGTTCCTTGCCAAACGTTAAATCTTTTTTACAGTAAATGAACTCATGCACATTTTGATCAAGGGATGCCGTCAATAAGAGTTTAGTAAATGGAAATGGTACAATGTAGGCATGGTATTCTTCTTTGTATTGTGCATGCATACAATTTCCTAAAAACCTTGATAGAATTTAGCTTTTAAATATATCTTTGTTGTTGACAATGATATTTGACTACACTCTAATAGTGTTATTAAGGAAGAAACTTGTGACATAAAACTGTTCAAAACTTTGCTTTGAGATCACACATATTTCACCTGGGAGTTGAGCATCTTGGCATCATTAGAGCATAGATCATGGGAAATTGTTGTTTATGTCAATGTGGTACCATGCGTTTGTGTTTTACAGGACAGAGGCCCGATCCTGCAGACTACTTTAAATCATCATCTTGTCCAAAAATCACATCTTCTATAACACACAGAGAGAACATGACGGTTGGGTCAACGACTGTTCCTATGGATACATCAACCCCATCAGATAACCAGCGGCACAATATCAACTCAGTTGCATCTGAGAATTTAGACCCATCCCAGCATGTGACACCAGAAAACATGAATGTGCTAATAGCGCCTACCTTTGCTTCAAATAGATCAGGTTCAATTGAATTGTCTGGAGGCAACTTTGCCATGCAACCTTCGTCTTTAATCACAGGAGAGAAAAGGATACGGCAGAGAGTTGGACGAAATCTGTTAGGAGCATCACAGCCATCTAGTCCACTTACGCCAAGGTAGGATTTACTGAGAACTGAAAACACTGAGAAGGTTGCTTCCCTGTTGTTCAAAACCTGCCCTTGCTAATCTACTTAGTATGATTATGAGGCCCTGTTAGGTTAAAATTCTGACAGGCAACATGGCCTTGAAGCAGCGACACGACACAGACAAGATGGAATGGAGACAAGCTACAGGGAGATGGCTAATACCAAGAGGGGACGGGACATGGCCTAGTCCTCAATATGCGAAACTTGTTTATAACTGTTTTTTAAAATGTAGATAAGGAACGTACGTACGTAACCCCTCCCCACCCCCCAAGGTGTCTTGATCATGTGATTATAAAGGAGATAAATGAAGGGTTTAGTTTCTAAAGACACTTTGGTGTTGTATAAGTGGGGAAGTTTAGTGCAGAGATGAAAGGCTGATGATCAAAGAGACAACTTATCAATTCCCCTAGGATGGCAAATCTGTCTTATAAACTATAAACTCATTTGATAAAACCAAATCTTTGTTTTTTGATTATCAGTTTTGGAATGCTGGCCTCAGATTCACCATCTACTGAGCAGAAGACATATATTACCCCTTCTCCTGTCACTGCTGATGGCCTTGCACCAAAAGCACCTGTAAAAAAGGTTTGTACATGAGATTTATTCCTTCCTTTGTCTTCAACTGAAGGAAATTTCAGTTTGATGTGAAATGCTGCTGGTTTATGACGATATTTTGCCTGTTTTCTTATCTAGGTTGGTACTCGAAGGAGTGATTCAGCATGTAAGCTTGTGACATCCAATACATCAAGTGTCCATAGTATTCACACCCAGTCATCTCAAGGTCCTGGCCATCAGACGTACTCATCAAATGCACCGGGTGTACGACGCAGTACCCGACTATTTGCACTGTCAACAAATAGTGGCTCTGGTGGAAATTTTGATTCAAACTATAAGGTACCATATTCTTTTATTGAGTGGAACAATCAGTGACAGGGTTCTAGGGTAGTTTATTGTTGTTGAACAGCTAATATTCATGAAGCAAACACCAGAATAGACTGCTAGCAGTCTGTCTTTTCTGTTAAATCCATCAAGTTCTCACTGAAAGTGAGTTCATAACGACAAAAAATGCTTTTATTCTGCATCCCCCCCATGCTCACTCCCCCATTTCTTGCAGCTCGCAGCTTTGCCGCTTGGGCATGCTACCCAAGTAACTTTGAATAAAATATGAAAAAAACTAAGAGACTGCTTGTAGTCTAACAACAGCATTTATTTACTAGCAAACACTTTTACAAATTAGGCATCATTCACAAAACTGATTAATAATTTATGAAGGAAATAAGAAAGGAACTAATTTGTAACTAATTTATTCTCCAATTTAGGAAAGAAGAGCAAAAAGTGCTAAAGTAACAGGCTCTCCTAGGACTGTTGTCAGCAATGTTATGAAAAAGGTATGCTGGATCACCTGGCTCTTTAGCAAATTAAATATCGCGAGTCTATGAGTGCACCAGCCTAGAAAAAAACTACATTTTTGTATGCATTTTTATAACTAAGATAATGTTGTTTATAATCCACTGCCAAGGCTGTACTATCTTCAGATTGTCACTGGAACCCAGAATTAAATGCAGGCTGTTAATTAGGCATCAGAGATCTGAGATTTCTCCATCTAATGTTCAGTAGCCTATGACTTTTTTTTATTCAGACGTGGAGCCTCTTTCAAAATGTTTTCCTGTAACATTACACCTTTCTCCTGCTACTAGAATTCTTTTTGAATACCTTTTGTGAGTACCACCAACATATCTGAACTGTTAATTTCTGCTTACACCATTTATGCAACTGTGCATTGATGAAAATGATATTTGATTTGACTTGAATGCAATTTTCTCATATGTCTGTCTGTTTCCAATTTATTGAAATTTATTGTTTGTTTCTAGACTAATCGTCAGACAAGAAGCTCCACTCCACAGCCTTTAACACCATGTGTTGAAAATGTGATTCAAGGAGAGTCCTCTGCACAACAGAACTCTGAGGGGAAGGGACAAGGGAAATTGTCACCCATTCAGAGTAGTATGGGTAAGGAAAAAAAAACCATTGTTAAATTGGAAAAACAAAAAACAACTACCAGATTTAATTAAATAAGCAGTATGATTTTCATTCCAGTTCAGAGCACTGTAAGGGAACACCGACAACTAAAAATCCTTGCTAATTCAAACTTATTTCCGTTATTTCTAGTAAAAAAGGAAATTGCTTTTGAGGTTGCTTCTTTCAGAGGGTCGTTTAAGGGGGTCACTAATTTTGGGTTTTGCTAACACCTGTGAAATTTTATTGCTACTTTCGAAGGGTTGCTACTTTCAGTGGGGCCATATTTTTTGGAACTTTGTGGTAAATCTGTCAGTAAGTTTGAACTCATTAGCTCAAACCCCCACTAAGGTAAATTACTTTTCGTCTCCCATGAGAGTTTGATTGCTTTATTTTGTTTGACTTTATTCACAGATGGTTTGATGTCATTGCTGAAACAAATAGGCCAAGGATATGTTTACCTTAGTTCTTATGAGTGCAAGCAAGCATTGTCTGCATTTTCATCATTGGCAACACACCATTACAACACAGGATGGGTGTTAACCCAAGTGGGCCGTGCCCACTTTGAACTGGCAGAATATCGCCAGGTATGAACGTAACATCATGTTGATTACTTGCCAGTGAGTCCTTTTATTAAGAGAAAGTTCCCCAAAAATTAGATCCTTACTAAATGAATGAGTTTGTATCTGTTTTATTTAAGAGTTCAGGGAATGGTTGTAATGTAATTTTCGGGATTATTAGAGTTCTTTTCCTTAATGTGGGAACTTATACATCATCAGTAGTCTTGGTGTACTTTAAGGAATAATATTGGCTTATATGAATATGTTATCTGCTTTGTAGGCTGAGAAGATTTTTGCTAAAGTCAGACAACTAGAACCCTACAGACTTGAAGGTAAAATGAGTAATATACAGATGCCCCAGTCAACACCACTCTTCAATCTGTTAGTGTAAAATCAATAAATAAAAAGTATTTCAAGTTTTTAAATGACAATAAAGATATTAAGATTTTTGTTTTAAAAAATGTGCATATTTATTTCTTACATGACAATGTGTGGTTTTGGTTCTGACTTGGAGCCTTCCATAGTTTGTTTGAGTTGTTACAAGCCCTAGATACAGTAATTTAGTATTATTACTTCATTCTGCTGTTTTTCTTTGTTTGTAGGTATGGAAATCTACTCAACCACTCTTTGGCATCTGCAGAGTGAGGTTACTCTTTCAGCTCTGGCTCAGGACTTAGTAGAAGCTGACCGTACATCGCCACAGGTGAGAATATCAACATCAATGACTACAGAAGACAAGCATCAAGTGACAACCTTTGAATGATTTAAAACCCTTACATTCCCAGTTCTCTAGTTGTAGTTCTGTCTTTTGAGCCTGTGTGGAAAATTTCCTGGTGTGAACATAATAAGGAAACTTCTTTAGCAGCACTTTTAGGTTACTGCTCATTTCTCAGATAGAAAAAAAAAAATTGGACTTCTGTCTTTTCATGAGTTTTGATTAATGGGGAACGTTTTTGCCAATGATCCTTTTAGGCGTGGTGTGCTACTGGAAACTGCTTCAGCTTGCAAAAGGAACATGATACAGCTATCAGATTTTTCCAGCGTGCAGTTCAAGTTGATCAAGGGTTCACATATTCCTACACATTGCTTGGACATGAGTATGTACTCACAGAGGAGCTGGATCGAGCCATGTCTTGTTTCCGTCAGGCAGTTAGGACTGATCCTCGTCATTACAATGCATGGTAAGTTTTCATAGCTTATTTTCACAAGTTTTAAAATTAATAAATTTTAGCAGATGTACATTGGACCTTTTTGTTACTGGTTTCTCTTAATTCTGTTTTCACCCACTAAAACTCTCAACATAAATTTTGTTTGCAGGTATGGTATTGGTATGATATACTACAAACAAGAGAAATTTAACTTGGCTGAAATCCATTACAGGAAAGCTTTGTCAATAAACCCATCCAGTTCTGTTTTGTATTGTCACGTTGGTGTGGTAAGTTAATTGAAAAAGAGAACAATCTCAAGTGGCACAAGGTATATGTTTTCCCTTGACCAAGAAGTATCTAGAACTTGGGAGCCATGCCAATGCTCATCCTCAAAGACCCAGGGGCAGAAAGTGGAGTGAGGCCAAGATGTCTAAATGGGCATCCTTTTCAACTTTTTAATTCAATGACTGCAAAACTCACCAAATGCATTATTAATTTATTATGTTTAGTGCTCACCCTTATGAAATTTGTTTGATGTCTTTTTGATAACTCTACAGGAGTATGTTGTGTACAGGTAAAGAAGAAATAACTTCAGCACAGAATTGACCTAAAGCAGCAATTTCCTTGTGATAAAGTGCTTTACAAATACCGTAAAATTCCGAAAATAAGCTCTAGGGCTTATATTTTTCAAAGGTCCCTTTTGAGGGGCTTATTTTGGGAGGAGCCTATATTCAGAGGGGCTTATGGATAGAGGGAAATTTGCATTATAAAATTGGTTGGGCGAGCTTGTAGTGGAAAGGAAATTTACCTTTTTTTTCTTTGTTTTACTTTGTATTCGGGGGGCGATTTTACGGAAAGTTTTTTGCGTTACAATTTTGGGGGGCTTATTATTTTTGGAATTTTATGATATCTGTGATCTTTGATGTATAATCACTAACAAACTTCTTTTACCTGTGATAAAACCTTAGGTTCAACATGCTATGAAGAAATCTGAAGCAGCTCTGGTCACAATCAATAAAGCCATGAAAATTGATCCTAGAAATCCCCTCTGCAAGTTTCATCGTGCCTCAATCTTATTTTCAATGGAAAAACATCAGGTACTTGGATAAGTAGTTTTTTTTTTTTTTTCGTTAGTTCTGCAGGGTTCTTTATTTGTTGTGCACAGTAATGTCAGCTGAATTAAAATGATTAAAAATTGTGCTATAGTTGAAGCAGTCTTGCATATGTGTGATGCACAATGCAAAACTTAGCCTCCAAGCAAGCCCTCCATGCAGAGTCTTTGTTATTTTGGATTTTTGGATTTTTTTTATTACTACTATTATTCTAAAAAAGTTACCATAATACAACAAAGGTACATACTATAGTAAAACAAGTTAGCCATGTAACTAAAAAAAAAACGCTAATGAAAGCATACAATTAATAATAAAAAAAGTACATAATTCTATGTCATTAACCCGAGAAGTCACAAGGCATGTCAGAAATGCACGAGGAGGTCCCCTAATTTCTGTATTTGGAGTGGTTTGCAGTTTGGGGGAGTCACATGACGTCACATGAGAGCTGCTCGCAAAGCATTCTCTTGCTCGCAGGCTGTGCAAAACTGTCTTGAGCTAACTGCCAACAAAAACAGACATCACCTAAGAGGGGAGGATTACTATTAGGATACAATTTTGTGTGTGAACCTTTTTCAGTGAGTGGTTATAGTATGTTTGATTCTGTTTTTCTGTTTTGTGGATCAGGAGGCTCTGGATGAACTTGAAGAACTTAAAAAAATTGTACCACAAGAAGCGTTAGTCTACTTTTTATTAAGCAAGGTGTGTGTCCCTTGTAGCATTGATTGGTACGGTAACCTTCTAAATGGATAGCGGAACTTTTTACTGATATTTTTTATCTTTGTAAAATTTTTATACTCACAAAACTTGTACTATGGAAATTTGTATTTTAGTCACTAGAATATTTTGTAATATAAGAAAGATTGTTTTTTGGAAGGGGGATGAGAGCATCCAAACATTGTACATTTTGTCACCCTGTATGTGTTAGAAATCCTAAGGTAATGCTCTGTGCTAAATTTTTTCAGGTTTACAAGAAACTGGGGCAGAATCATCTGGCACAGATGAATTTCTCCTGGGCAATAGATCTTGATCCAAAAGGAGCTAACAATCAAATCAAGGAAGCTATTAATAAGCGATATCTCCCAGACGATGAGGATACAACCATGGGACTTGATCCAGCAGATACCACATTAGAGCAATCTTTGGGAATGTCTGATGAAGATCACATGGGAGTGGAGAGTGACTGAGAAAGAACTGGGACCAACTAGTCCCAATGCTTCTCATAACCAAGTGGCCGCGCTGGTCAAGCAGCAAAAGTCGCCCATTTTCTCAACTACAATCATGCTTACTAGTTCTGTAATGTGGTTTAATTATTTGGGTCCATGACTATCATCTCGTTGTTTCAAACGCTCTCTGTGGATCTACTACTTGGGTCTGAATACCATTCCAATGTGTAACTCTTAAAATGACAGTTACTTTGCAGTAATATTCTGTGACATTGTTTCTTATTCTTTACAATGATCCTAAATTTTTTAATCCATGTGTGACGATTTAAATGGAAGATAATGAGGGTTGTTTCCTTTGGACCTGTCCTTTGAGGTTCTCGAGTTGGCTGTATTTTTTTATTATTCGTTGATAAAAATAAGTGACCATTCGAATGAAGTCTGTTTTTAACTTCTGATTCTGAGTCTTTTGTGTATCTCAGTTCAGATGAAAACCGCTGAGCAGTAGTAGTGCTGTTTGTGCTGTCTGCTCTCTTGTTAACGTAAAATCCACGTTTTATAATTCACTTCTAATTGAGGAAAGGACAATGCAGTTATCTCCCTGTTATAAAGGCTTAGATAAACGAATCGACCAGTGTGATATAAGTGACCACAGGTTCCTCATGCATTTCAATTTCCTTAAGTATCAAGAGAAATCTATAAACCTACAAGGTTTATCAATATAACGTTACTCTTTGATACTTCCAAAGATGATACACGGTTATGGCAAGGCCTCGATCAGTTTCGAACTTCTTATTGCCTATATATCCCTGTATTACCTCACGCAAATCCTGATTGCTTGGGAGGTGAAAGAAAAAGGTTTAGAATTTATATTTCTTTTTGCACATTTGACACAAAATTAGTAGGATGCAAGAAATAAAAGAGAAAAGATTATTATTTTTTTCACATTCTTCAATATATTTACTTTACTTTGATATGGTGGTTTTACTAAACACATCAGTGTCTTGTATCTAGGTTATGTAAATTGTAAATTAATTTGTATTATGTGATAGGAGCATGCAAAGCTCTAAACATTCTCACTTTTGATTTATCTACGCGACTTCAGGCGCATAGTCTGCGTGGCAGGCGCGAAGAGGGGTAGCTAGACGCGCGCGGCGCTCAGGGAGAGGTTCTTTGTTTAGTATGTTAACCTTTAACTTGTAGAGGGACTTCTGGTGGGGTTTTCACAGTGCAGTGGGCAGACAAAAAATGACTTTTTTCTTTTCTTTCCTCGAAGTGTAAATTAAGATTTTTCGTAAAGAATTAATGTAATGAATGAACGCTTATGAGATCAAGCTGTGTCAGACTGCACTGAGCTGTAAAAAAAATGCTAAATCGGTACATGGAGTGTTTGTAATAACAATAGATAAGAGAGAATGACTTGCATGTTGCAGAAAACGAAATGAATTTAATGTTGTAAAATATCTTGGGGATACGAATCTTTAGTCTTTCACATAACCGTTGTCTCCCCTTGACTATGGCTGTCCTTGGAAAAGGACAAATCTTAAAACAAAGGATCTGCAAGATTTTATTGTTTGTAATTGCTGTACTAATTTTGCAATGAATTAAAATATTTACACGATTTTTGATAGCAAGCGTTTTGTGATTCTGAAAGGAATGCCAGCCATGACAACATCAGCACACTGGCGAGGCTTGCGTAGACGAAAATCTTTAATTTTTATTTTGCGTGCCATGTTGTATATTCGTTCTCATGAAGCCAGCTCATGACTCGACAGTATACAAATAAATATTACGTTTCATAGTTAGTTTATTAATTTTTCCGTGATCTTAATCTAATTGGTCTAGTTTCCGTGTAACAAATGTTGCTGCTTAACCAATATGGAGGGCAAGAAAACACTTTCTAGATTTTTCTCGCGTTTTTCGTAATCTTGTCAGAAAAAAAGGCAGTTACTTGATACTGGCTACACTGGATAGTAGCGAAAGAGTTTTTCGTAATGCTAATAAGAATCACCCAGAATTCAGGCAACCAAACAGAAAAAGGAGTAGTTTTAGTGTTATTTTGCGGTATGAACTTTCCTGAACTCGATTTTTCTGACTTATAAAGCAGAATCACTGACTCACATCACTTTCACTTAAAAATGACATTGTGATAGATTATATAAATAACATTATTATATAGTATAAAATTGAAAATTCCATCCCACGAAATTAATATTTTATTTATTTTATTTTATTTTATTTGCCACACTAATTAAAAAAAAAAAAGGAAAAGAAAAAGAAAAAAAAAAAAAAAAAAAGAAGTGGCGAGGAGACCTAACAGAAACTATAGGAGCTTATGAGAGGTTAGGCCTCCTCGAACTATGAGCTAGAGCTGTTTCACATCAATTGAAGAGAAGAAGGCGAAAAGTCGAAGATGGAAAGATTTATAAACTGTTTTCATACTTACTCAATAATTTAATCTTCAGTTTTTTCTTAAAAGAGGAGAGGGATTGAGAGTTGATGATCTTGTTGTCAAGTGAATTAAAAAACTTAGGCCCTTGAAAAAAGGGCGAGAACTTCTTCGTGTTTGTACGACAATACGGTAGACGGTAGGCCTGGGAATTTCTTGTATTGTAAGAGTGGAATTGATTGCTTTGAGAGAAATTGTTATTAAACTTTGGAGGTAAGAATGAATTTTTGCAAGAATACATAACGAGTATAATAAAAATTAAAGCCACTCTCCTTGTTTAACAAGATGCTCGCGAACGGCAGACTTAAAAATGTCATTATCCTTGATATTCACTATAACACCGGGTAACTAGTTCCAGTGTCTAATAGACCATGGGACGAAACTATTCCAATGTCAACATTTCTGTTGACGACATAATGGAACGAAGTCAATCGAGAGAGCTTTCGTCTACCTTCAAGAGATGGTCATGCTAGTTTCTCCAGCATTTTGGTTACGACGCCAGGCTGTATTGAGTAATTATTAAAGCAGCATGTAGGAGCAGAACGTTGGACCGTGTCTAGCTGGTACTTTTCTTTCTGAGGATAAAGACACCATGCGGAACTAGTATATTCTAGTTTAGGTCAGAGTAGTACTACTAGACTATATTAAAGTTAAGATTTACACTGCCAAGAGTCTGCTTAGCACTTGAGGGAATTTACGCAACATAATTTGCCCATTTCAAGCCCAGTAAGAGTCTATGATGCCTAAATATGATTGGTGGTGGTATCTATCCACTGTATTACCATGTAAATGGGGTAACAATATTCTTTTTTTGTAGAGAGGCAGATTTTATAGCATCTTATAGATGCATTTAGAGGACAGATGTTTCCTCTTTATGCCAATACCACGTTCTATTTCTGTCTTATTTTTGTTGATTTAATTTCTTCTTTCCTGCACACGTCTTAAAAGAGGGAGATGACGTAATGGGGGCTGTTTCAAACTGTGGGGTGGCCTGGACTTGAGTCAGGGCTACTGTAGGCACGCGGGTGTTTCTGGACTTGCTCTGATCTGAAGCGAAACTTGTACCTTGCCTCTATATCCGCCATTTTTCACGTATTTCTACAAATCTTTCTGCGAAGGATTTCATCTACAGGTTAGTTTATAGGTCATTGCATCAGTCTTTTATATTTCTTGAATGTAGTTATTACATTTGATGGTCTATTCATCGCTAAAGTGTGTGGAGGAAGTTTATGATTACGTAGTTTAAATCGTCGCCATATTTGTTTCTTGTCATGTTTCTCGGACCCGGTGACTATAAGATTTCCTTGTTATTAAGCTTACTTAGAAACAGGGTCATGACTTAAACTAGTGATGTAGGAGAGTTTTACCATACTCATGGGACCGAAACAAGGGAAATAAAAGTTTTATTTTGAGTTTTATCTATCAGAAAATCACAAACGTTTTGACTGATTTTTGGATGTTTTATTTGGTGAAGCATGACGTCTTTGCATTTGATCATGCGTAAATTTGCCGCTACGTATTCCGCCTGCCAAAATGTTGTCCGTTTTCATTCAAAAACCCCTGCTTCCCATTGCAAAATTTTCACTGACACAACTCTTTATTTCGTTTGCATTAATTTAATGATGTTTATGTGTCATGTAGGTTTATCTATCGTTTAGCTTGTGATACTTAAATTTATTTGATGTTGTGTTGTGTGCCCCAAAATTGAAAGGTATTTTGTTGTTCGAATTTCCAACATTACCCCTGTCTGATCAACGAATGTTTTTGGAAAAAAGTACTTACATCGAATTAGAAGGTTCACGAATCATTGTTTTTATGGTTCTAGCGTACGCCCAAATAGATAGTTTTGTTTTCTGTTGTAAAAATTTACATAAGTACCTGAGCAGAACGAATGTTTGCTCGCAATAGGTATTTTCTTTATTTTTTAAGTTACTAAATCAATGTTACGTTGTTAACTGTGTTTGGAAGCCTGTGGTAGGCTTTGGTTTATAACTGTAAATATTACAAATACAGTTTATAAATTTAATCCTAAGGTTAAGAATATGGACAATTAATAATGCTTTACTCATATTTTGTAAATTTTTGTCTTTACTATTTTTTTTGCTTTGTCATTGGTTATTGATTTGAAATATGTACTTGTTTTTAAATCAGGAAAATATTAGTTATGTTAATTTTGTTAATGGATATTCAATTCAGCCCATCATTTACATGTACTTAAACAAATTACTTATATGTCCAAGGCCCTCTTAGTAGAGTCACATATTGAAGAGGAAGCCATGTCCCTGCCAGCATGTTACTATTATTTTTGCACTGGTGTTCGTCCCTGCTGCTGCTGCTGTTTGTCACCAAATCGTGTCTTTTGTTACTGTTTCAAGGCATTGTCGCCTGTCCAAATTTTACCCTAATAGAACACCATGTTCCTGTACACGTATGGTTTTACAGGTGTGATTTAAAATCATAGACTGTTAAGAGCTTTGTAAGGTCATCGTTTGTTATATTCTGAAGTCAAATACTTAAGAACTTCTTTAAACATTTTCAGGTGCATTGTTTAGAAGTCAAAAGTTGAAACTGGAATCTTAAAACTTTGGTGTGGCATTTTCTTCAACAATTTAGTTTTTTCAATGGCTGCTCGGGGAACGGCACAACGCCCCAATGGAGCTGTGCAGGGAAAAATCTGTCAGTTTAAACTTGTACTTTTAGGTGAGTGCTATGGTAAATTAAGGTTTAAAAGTGTTTTTATGCTGACAGCATGCCAAGAGAGTAGTGTCCCGTAGCCCGGGGCTAGTGGATTTTGCTATTGGGCTAGTGCATTCTGTTTTTAACTTGCCCGACGGGCAGGTGATGTTGTTTTAGGAGTTTAAATAACAGAAGAACTGTAATCAATCCTGCTCATCAAATTTTTTTCGGGCTAGTTGAAATGACTTTCGGGCTAGTACATGCTAGCTACAGCTTGCCCAAGTGGCAAGCTGTAAAACTGACTTTCTTTGCACCCCGGCTGAGGTGATGCGTTGTTCTTGGTGTACTTGTTTTAAAAAACACTTGAAAAATATTTAGGCTTGCTGGGAATAGAACCCTGATCTCACTGATACGGGAGGGCAGAATGCAGCTCTTTACAAGGCCTAGTAGGATTGGCTGTGAAAACCAGGGTTCGCAAATACGCCAAATTTGGCGTATTTTATGCCAAAATTGTTCAGATGACTCCACAGAGGTTACGGAGGGAGTCACTTCGACTCCAGAAATTTTCAGTAACAAACACAGTTTTATCCTCACCTTTTTCGCAACAAATACAATTTACGTTAATTGTAAACGTTGTAAATCTTGATTAAATCATCAAAATTAAAGAATTATATGGCACGACAAAGCAGGAAGAGGGTAAATTACGATCAAAGTTTACTCAATGACCGCTATCATGGATTTGAGCTTTCCAGGTCAGCGGACCGCCACAGCTACTTCGTGTATCCCTCACGGTAGTGTATACATGCCAGGAACACGTGCTGGAAATTCCGAAAATGGCTTTTGTCGTTGTGATACTTGACTCCAAATATTCCAAAATGACTCCAAAATTTGTGAAGCATAAGTCACAGTGACTCCACTCATAACAATAGACATAAAAATATAACAATGACTATCCCTAAAACAATGGAGCTGCTTTTTTTTTAGAACCAATGAATTTAGAGGTTTCTAGGAGCTGTGCACTATCCCAATACAGGTGCAGCGGTCTAACAAAATGAGGTAGCAAGCCAATAATGGGAGCCTGTCATTCCCAGTTGGCTTTCTAGCTCAATTTGTTAGAGTTGCACCAGTCTTGCAGAGGTCAGGCTTTCTTTTTGCAACTGCATAAGTTTTGGCCAGAACTGTATCTTCTTTACATTTATTTGCAATGGTTTTTTTTTAATTGTGAAAATTTCAGGTGAGTCAGCTGTTGGGAAGTCAAGCTTGGTTCTTAGATTTGTAAAGGGCCAGTTCCATGAATACCAGGAAAGCACAATTGGAGGTGAGATATTTTAATTTCAGTGATTACTCTTGGTTTACCCTTTTTCCCTACTGCTAACTGCATCAGCATAGCAGTAAAACTGCATTTTTATCGCCATGCATTCTAACCAGTAAAGTAGTAACTTGTGTAACACAGTTTGTGTTACTTTATATGATACATTAACTGATAAAAGGATTGACCTGACACTTGTAAAGAACAACTTGAAAAGGCTTGTAAAAGCTTTTTTACTTATTGGTGTCCTAATCAACAGCACAGTAATAATCAATAATGTTGATTGGCAACTTGTGTAGTGGTTAAGCAAGAACCATTGAGTCACTCTTTTATTTTTTGATTGTCTGTTTTCCCTGTCTTCAGCTGCCTTTTTAACACAGACTGTGTGCTTGGATGATACAACAGTTAAGTTTGAAATATGGGACACGGCAGGCCAAGAAAGATATCACAGTTTAGCTCCAATGTACTACAGGGGGGCCCAAGCTGCTATTGTAGTGTATGACATCACAAACCAGGATACCTTTGGAAGAGCAAAGAATTGGGTTAAAGAACTTCAGAGACAAGCCAGTCCAAATATTGTGATAGCACTCGCAGGGAATAAAGCTGACTTGTCAAGCAAGAGAATGGTTGAATATGAGGTAATGGCTGGTTTGCATTGAGTTGATGCTAAAAAGCAAAAGAGTGACATCCATAAATTTTTATGTTAGTACACAATGTTCATATGCTTTATTTGTTTAGGATGCTCAATCATACGCTGAGGACAATGGTCTTTTGTTCATGGAGACATCAGCAAAAACCGCTATGAATGTGAATGATATATTTTTGGCAATAGGTGAGACTGTCAATTCTTTTTGTAGTTAATTTCCTCTAGATTTCTTAACTACCACATTGGTTCATAGACACACCCTAAGACAAGTCATATATCTTAATTTAGCTAGGCCTTGACAATACTTTCAACTACTTCTACAGTTGAAATTCTCGTCATAGAGAGCTCTTTGTTACACAGTCTTGACCCATAGAAAAAGGATGCAGGACTCGTCTGTAGTGTAGACATCTAGCTTTGATAGTAAAGTTTTATAATTGTATTTGGTTTTTGTGCATTTTTTACCAATTTTAGTTTGGGCATTTCCAGGAATTTTGATTTTCAAAAACCCTTGTATATACTTTCTTGCTTTAAAATCACAGCAAAGAAACTACCGAAGAGCGATACCGCAGCTGCTGGTCCTGCTGGTGGCGGGCGACAGCAAAGAGGAGTCGATCTCAGGGAGACTAATGAGTCCCACCAAGGAGGCTGCTGTAAATAAATTCTCTCCACTGTCTGTCTACTTTGATTCAAATCATCAGTCTGTAAATCAACAATGTACAACTAAAATATGGGCAAGATCATACAAGCAAGATACACAAACTCTGAGTAGCCCAATCTAGGCTTCACTTCAATTCTGTACTCAATATTTGTGTCCCCTTTGTGGACTGTGATTGCTTGTGGTCAATATTAGTTGATTATAAAATATGTTAAGGCAAAAGCATTTTAAAAGTGGTTAATTTTACAATGGAAAATAACATTATTTTGTGACCAATCCATTCAAAATTACATTAGACTTGCAATTTAAGCTTTTGCCATAATGTGTTTTATATCATAACATTTATGGACGAATGTTTTGTTTTTTCGAATGGTGTGCTATAAAACTTACAGCTAAAAACTGTAAAATTTTGATTTAAAAGAATCATTTCTACTTTCAAGTGATACCATTTTAAAGCCTTTTATTCCTAAAATTCTGTTGAATTGTTTACAGTTAGAGAAGACAAAGTAATGTTAAGCTACGAGCACTATTACTGATAGGTTAGGTTGTTTTATCCTTTCTCCACGCTTCAAGAGTGTGATAATATTATTGTTAATCTTGCCTGTACTGTACTTTGTAAATTGGCTCATTTTTCATTTAAGTTAGTTGTATCTTTAGCGGTGAATTCTCTCTATCCCCTTAACCATTTTGTAACAAATTCAAATAGAAAAATGGATGAAAATGAATGCTCTAAAAATCTGAAGGGAAAAACATCCTGATTAAGAAGCAAATTTTTCTAGGGGAAGTTCTTCAGTATGCATTACAAGCATAAAAAAGAACTTGAATGTTTATCAGATGTCAGATGGGTCTTGAAGGGCTGTAACATTCATTATTTTGTAATCAAAGTAAACTTTCATGTCAGTCAAGGTAGGAGAGGAAATATGAGGAGATATAGTCATCATAAGATCAAGTTAGGTTTGTTTTTGTAGAAAGATCTCCTTTTGGAAGCCTTTTTGATATGGCCTTTTCTTGCATTCGAGCAGCAGTTCTCTTTGCATCTGAACAAACACAATTCGTGCAGCAGAGCGGTCATACTCTATGAAACCAGAGTTGATACCTTATAGAGGTGGGCAGGCTCCATTGTTGGCCCATTAATAATCCCATATTGGCCACCATGACACTGCATTAATAGGGGCGGGCCTATGGACTACTTACATAACTTGATTGATAGTTGAAACTACTGCACACTTTAGTCAGTGTATTGTGAGGAAAACGGGTTGGGAGCAAATGTGGCAGTACTAGCACAGTTTTGTAACAGGATTGCCAGTGATGTTTTTATTAATGGAAAATATTCCAGACTTTGGCCAAAACAGAATAAGTAGTGCTTTAGTTGGGTATAACTATATAAGCTAGTATAATACAATGTACTTGTCTAATAAAACTCTTAAACAGATTTGTTTGGCAGTGTTTGATTCGGTTCTTATTTTGGTATAACTTCCGAACTTTAATTATTTTTTTTTTTGTTTTGTTTTTTTATTTTAACGGGGCAGCTTTGCTAACTGTCCCTCCCTGACCGCTAACTGGATTTGTTCATGGTAGTCCCAAGAACAAATCCTCGACCACACTTGTAAATAGCAAACTGGTTTGCGTCCGGTTAGTTGGGATTCGAGGCAGCTTTGCTAACTGTCCCTCCCTGAACGCTAACTGGATTTGTTCATGGTAGTCCCAAGAACAAATCCTCGACCACACTTGTAAATAGCAAACTGGTTTGCGTCCGGTTAGTTGGGATTCTTAACCATTTGTTTCAGGTATTTACTTGGCCCCACTAGCATTAGTGCTATAAATACTGCCGAGGGTAAATAACGGAATTATTATTATCCTAGTAGAATTCTCCACTAAGAGATTCCTATATCCTGCGAACAGGTTCACTTGTGTGAGTTCCGGAAAACTTTTGGCGGGGGAACCGCAGAACAGAACGAATAGACAGCAGGTAGTGAAATAACTGTGTACTACTATTTTCAATCATGTTCACTTAACAGTAGTTATTTTTGAAGTTTTCATGACGCTAAACAGTGTATGAAAAGGAAATACAAAAAGAATATAAACCCAAAAACATGGAGAAAATGCCACTTTTTTGCATTTGGAGACCTTCCAATGGTTTCCTTAGTGGCCTCCAGCTGCGTGGTCTGGAAACGCGACTGGGTTGCGTGGGCGATTTATTCCAGCGATCTGCATACCACGAACTTGCACTTGGTTGCCCTGAATGATCCAGTCCACCTTAATGAAAACCAGATTTTGTGGTAATGGTCCAGCAGGACTATTTCCAAGAAGAATATTCAGATTCTGCAGGTCAATTTCTTCCCATCGTCCCTGGCGTCCGGCGCCCCTGTTGGCTGTGTTACGAAAGTCGTATGCCTGATGGTACATGATGATCACTAAGCTTCTTGGGTAACGAAGAGCCAAGTCAATGACCTACAAAGTCAAGAGGATAGGGCCCTACCAGATAAAGCGTTATCTAGTGGATAAGAAGAACGGTAAGTACATAATCTAATGAATGGAGATTGATTCCGTGGACAAGGCTATCCCCAGGCTATCCGGCTATCCTTCGGAATTTGAGAACTACAAAAGCAAAATGACACTGCATAATCGCTCGTTTTGTAATAGCACGACCGCGACGGGAACTAGCGCTAAGGTCGGCTACACAAAGAAAACACTCGTGCTGAGTTGGTTTAGCAAACTTTGTATCCTCTAAACTTCAACATTACAAGACAACTTAATCTTACACTAACTTGTTCTATCTCTGTTTTGACAGAAGCCTCTTACAGCTCCTTTTATCTTCACTGTTCATGACGGCTGTCAATCTTAACCATTTGAAGTTTAATCTTACATCAGTAGAAACCCGATTGGTTGTAAGGAATATTATCATATTTTCCCTTGAGATTGTGGAGTAATCAGAAAATCAGCTTTAACTCCAACATTCACATAAGTCCAGTTAGTGTCCAAAGTAATCTGAGAGATGAAAAACTAGAAAGAATGTTCTGTTGGTAAGTCAGTCCCGCCTTCTCAATACATTACTCAAAGATCATAACGAGTTTACAAGAGGAACTAATTAGCGTCTAAGTGAAACTTTATTTTTCTCGAAAAGAGTTTATTTGGTGACGGTAAAACTCAATTAAGGCCAACGGAATGTATCCTTTGTTTGACCACTGCAACCACTTCGTACAGTGGAACCCCGTCAATACGGTCACCAATGTGCCGAAAAAAATTGGCCGTATCTGTAACGGGGTGACCGTATTAAATAGGGTCTTTTTACAAGAAAATGTATGGCCGTTTTGCCAGGCGGCCAAAAAAAGTGGCCATAATAACGAGGTGACCGTATTCGTGGCCGTAAGGCGGGGTTTCACTGTATTAACAAAAATGTACAAGGTTTATTAATTGACCGCAACAGAAAATGCCACAACATACCATGATACTCTTTTTTGGTCACTCCAAAATTTTGCATAAGCATTGTTTTCAGTTTCTCTTATGCAAAATTTTGGAGTGACCAACAAAGAGTATCATGGTATGTTATGGCATTTTCTGTTGCGGTCAATTAATAAACCTTGTACATTTTTGCGTAAATAATAGACGTTAAACTAATTCAAAATACTGGTTGTTTTTGCGTACTTAAACAATTTGTAAGTGAAATAAGTATGGTCTGGCCACTCACTGTGATCTAACAAAATGAAGAAATTTGGTCATTGGGACAAAACGTCATGTAGTTCGGACATACCTGAAAACAGTTACAGCGTTTCTCGGTGCCCTCTCTCATCTGACAGGTGAAATTCTCGGTGTAGATAATGAACTCATCTTGTTGCTGTCGAATCATTTTAATAAGTTGTTCCTCGCAGTGTATTTGAGGTGATCCTTTTGGTACTGTGCGAAACTGCTGAGCTCCAATCTGTCCCACAGCGAACTGATTAAAGATCACATCACCCCTGACTTGCTGGTTTTGTAACCTGCCGTTAGCTAGCTCAGCTTGAAGCATGGTTCTAACCCAGACTAGCAAACGATCATACATCCTCTCCCCGGGTTGAAAAAAGTAGAAATCATCCCAAGCTCGGCGTGTGTTGGGATTTGCTGCGGCCATCTTTGTCTTCTTTATGTAAGGAAGAAAATGAAAAAAAATGATTCACGATATTATAACGCAAAATATTTCTAAAAATTCTCAAGAACTACAAAAAAGACAGCGTGCATTGGGCTGGTCATGATGTTAAAATATGACTTAAACAATGAAATGACAAAAACTGTTTCAGGGCAAAATAATCGCTGATTTATTTAAAGTAGAGCACGCTAACTCAAACTAATTTAACTTTACCTGTGACTCAAACTTCTGTAAACTTTAACCCGCTAACTCGAACCCTCACCAAGTTAAACCGCTCGTGTTTAGCGGTGGGAATTTCAATTAGAGGAGTTCTAAGGCATTAGTAAGTAGATGGAGACTTCTGTTCAGCTTACCTTGCTGTTTGAGAAATACGTTCAGGTATGTCTTGAACTGAAGTCGACGGATTGCCGAGCTTTATGGCTTCATACAAGGCAATTTATACCAGTTTTCAGTTACGCTTTGCTGGGTTTCCGCAAATTTCTATACAGGTGGTTTGTTCGGCATAAAGAATGCACTTTTAAGGACCTCTTGAAATTGTTTCCGTCAAAACAGCAATTTAGAAAATTTAAAAGCTTGTTCCCTTTTTAAATTCAAGCAACAAGTGACGTTACTATATCGAGGAACGGTAGTTTAGTTAGTATGTTTGTTTCTTTGTTTTTGTTCAAACTGATTTTAATCTTTACAAAATGTTGTACGAAAGCGTTGACATTATCGTAATCTTTCATGTTCCAACCGCACGGAACATGAATACAATTGAGATGACGAAGCACTTTGATTTTGTTTTGAAAAGAAGTTTATTGTTCGTAAAGTATTCCTTCCAAATTCCCGAAATGATGCCATTGGTCAGAAATTCAGTAGCCTAATTTCCGTAAACAGGATGTTATTTCATAAAGTTCCTGTGTGTTCAGAAAACAGGATGGTCTGCTTGTGAAACTGGTTATCTTAACAGGTAGATATCACATACGAAAGGCTATTAAACATGTTTGACTTGAAATTCGTCGTGAGTTAAATGCTTTGTTGTTAAGTGTGGTGTGAGTTATCCCACTAAAAACGCCCTAAGGTTAGGGTTAGGGTTCTAAAGCCGAAGACAGGTTGCAAAGCACATACTCGGTTTACTGGAGGTAGACAGTACCCCTGATTAACTCTTTAACCATTTTCAGACCTGAATATGGTCAAAGATGTTATATAACGCATCCAGTTTCAAATGTAACCATTTATCACAACTTTCCCTTTATGCGATACAAAACCGATAAGAAAATAACAGAGTTATCAAATTGATTTGATATGGCACAAATATCATGCATTCTTTCAGACTTCGGGGACTTAATGTGCCTATGCACCATACATGTGTCCATTGTTAAAAGCAACGCATACAAAACAAATTCTTCTTACTTGTTTACAGTACTGACTATTTTCGTAAATAGAACTGACATAGTTAAGGCTTGAGAAAAAAGCTGGAAATATTCGTCACAACTAAAGTTTAAGTCCTAACTTCTCCAACCCTCTATAGTTGATAATACGGAGTTTGGTTTTGGTAATTGAATTTAATTACTGAATCTTAAAAAGGCACCTTTGTAGCGGTAAATTTCCATCTGGCATGTTTAAACCGATCATACATGTATGACTTTGTAAAATATTTCCAGCACATTGGACTCTAATTTGAGTGAAATCTTTATTTATTTTGCGGGGAGTAAAAAAATTTCAAATTCTGATCCGGTGTAATGCAAGTTTATTCCTCGTCTTCAGAGCTGTCAGAACTCTCCCAATCCTGTCCATATTCAGAGAGAGTAGATTCTATTTTTTCAATTTTATCTCCATGTTTTTTGTCGTTTTTCTTCTTCTTCTTGCGCGCGCAGCAACAGAACGCTACTAAAGCGATGATAAGCAAGATGCCCCCGCCACATGCGCCCCCGATCATGATGGTCAGCTTGATCTTCTGTTTCTGTTCGTAGACTTTGTCTAGTACGCACTCAACTCCATCCCCTGCAAATCCTACTGCGCATGAGCAACGGAAGGACCCCACAGTGTTTTCACAAATTGCCTTCTCATGACACAACTCCATTTTCTCACATTCATCGTCATCTAAAAAGTTTCAAAGCACAGATTTAGAATTTCGACTTCCCTTCCTTCAATCACCACTTAGTCACGTTTAAAACAAGGCGGATAGACTGACAGGGTGGAACAAAATAGTTGCAGTTCGTTCTGAAGTAGCGTGTCTCCCTCGCGATCTGGTACCCAGATCTCTTGACGACGTATTCAAAGAGATCTGGGTACGAGATCAATGAAGGTATTCATGAACTGTTACGTAATGTAAGTTTAGGGAAAAACTGGAAAGTGGAACATGGAGAAGGAATGGAGGACCATCCGAGCTGTAATCTTAAAGAATGAGACTCTAAGTCGGCGTGATGTTTTCAGTCCCACTCCTGTGCCATATAGGGTGACCTAAACTTATTTTAATAGATCCAAGGAACGTTTTTGTGTATCTGCGCACTGCGCAATCAAAGAAGGTCAGGTAGTTGCTGGTCTGTGCGCTTCTGCTTCCGCGCTAAGTGAGCCTGTTACCAACGAAACATCTGCTTACCAACACAGTGTTGCTTGTGTAGGTCCATGTGAAATCCTTTTTTACATTGGCATTTGTATGATCCGTGGCTGTTCTGACATATAGCTCCTTTTCTCTTACACTGCTGTCTGAAATGCTTTTGCCTACATTCATCCACATCTGAAACAGACACCGGATAGAAAGAAGCATTTCGTTCTCATTCCAATACAAATATCTTTGCACCGAAACGAAACGAGACGCTGGTTGAACAGTTTGAAGTACTAATTCTTGGCATTGTCAAACATTTTGATTGGACAAAGCAAACGGCTCGTAGGGACTCTAGCGGCTATGCCTGATGTCTCCGATCGGCTTGGCATTCCGTTCAAAGTTTCCTTGTTATATTTTTGCATTGACCTAGATTATAGTTCGCAGTTTCCGATTATTTGTACAAGTTCATCGTCATTTCATCATCATGATTTATTTGCCTTAAATACAATGTAAGTTTACAGTAACGTCTTTTGGCGAGGAGACCTCAGGAAACCACCAGGGCCTAGTTGTTCAAAGGTGGGTTAAGATAACCCAGGTCTAGTGCGAGATTTGAATTCAGATTTGAAAGTTTAAAAAGCATTTCAGTTTTGAACACGAGAAAAAGAAACCCGGGTTAAATTTAACCCCGGGTTAAGCCCTAATCGGCTTTCAAACAATTTGCCTGTCTTTGTTCTTTTCATAAGTTACTATAGAAATCACCTTCTTACATGAAAATTAGTTGTCTGAAAATTACCTTTACAAGCACCTTCAATAGCCTGAAATCCTTTTACACAAGTGCAATGATAAGTGTCTCCTATCTTTTGGCATTTCCTTTTATATCCACACTGGCTATTTTGTCCTCTTGGATCACAAGTGATGTTTCTGGGTGATTTATCAAATGAAGAGCCTGCAGAAAACTCTTAAACTGAATCACTAGTATTCCTAAACGCATTTACACGAGGCTGGTTAGTCCCTAAAGGTAATGTTATACACGAGACGATTGCAACGACGATTTTTAGCGCAACACAGCGGTGCAATATCGTTGCAACATTGCTTCGAATGCAACGCTATGTCGCGCTAAAAATCGTCGTTGCGAATCGTCCCGTGTAACATCATCTTAAACTCGAGAGGGTCATCCGGCAATAACACTGCAGGGAGATGCAAAGTGCGCAGATCAGAGAAGCAGAAATCAAAAGGACCATTCATAAATGATAGCTGCATGGCAAGAGATCCTATTATGGCTCTTGTAGCTGATCAACATACTGCACGGAAGAACTTTTTTTTAAAATTAGTAAGTCAAACGAGATTTGGGACAGCAGCGCATAAAGTATTTGGTCACACGTTTTTCTATAAACCATTTTAGTCATTTTACACTCCCTTCTCTGTTTCATTCCTGGCTGTGTTGACTCTCTAAGACGTCGCTCGTACAGTTTTAAAAATATTTTTCAAACTATTTTGCATATTTTTTCTTTATACGTCAGTTATTCCAAGTAAGTAAACTCGTCATTTTGAGCATGAACACACTCGTACAAGCAGAGAGCCGTTTAAAGTCCTTTTCAGACTAAATATGTTTTGACCCATGATTCTCGCATTGTGTCAACTGGTATCGACAGTTCTCATGGGATGGTTAAACAAGTTTGACACTAAAAAAGGAACGCAGAATGGTTGAGCATTTTTTTTATAGAGAGCTCTCATATTTTTAAATATGAGTGCTGTTAAACAATCCCTACCTTCCACGGCGGTTACAGCGATACTGAGTAAACCAATCAGAAATATCGTCAACAACGAAGCTTCTTTCATATCTTCATCATGCTAATATCTATGTGCTGGAAAAGATTGTGAAATTCAGATTGGTCATTCTCGATAATTCACTTGCAGCTGACTTGCAGCTCAAGAAGAACCGTGTCAGTCTACGTGGCCTGTTTGCACTTGTCATTTGCGCGTGCCAATGAAGAAAGCGCGCACGTTTCCTCAAAGCGCGAGCAACTTTGTTGAGGTGATTTTATGCTCGCTGCAGAAAGAACGCTGCAATTTAACGGCAAGGATGATAAAAAGTCCGTTACGGTATTAACAGTTAATGATACAAGGTAAAAGTTTTCAAGCTACGATACCTTTTTTTTAACCCTTCCTCGACTGAGCTTTCTAGAGACATCTTCCCTTCCTTTATTCTACGTCACAAAAGTCATGATTTAATGAATTCATTACATTCTCGCGTCTATGAATGGCCAAAATTCTGTCGTTAGATCAATAAAATCAATACTAAATGTATATTTGTCGAAGTGTTGTCGGAAATAGAATGCAACAATAGAATGGAATGATAGGGGTGGATACTTGAACTAGGGAGATGCGAACTTGACTAATTCTTCTCCTCCCTACACACAAGCATGTTCCCCCACGTTATTCATAGTCAGTTCTTCTATGATCCTGGATCATCATTCCATAAGTCACCAAATTTACAAATGGCCAAAAACAAAAACAAAAACAGCAAATAAGCCTTCTTTCTTTCATGTTCTTTAATACTCAAAGCCATTTCCACTTCAGCAGAAAAAAATCCCATTCAGGAATTATGTTAAAAAGTTAATTTGGATGACGTCATTGCGGTCCTCTAATATGGAGAGCTATTTAACGAGAGTTATGTCAGCTGAAAGGGAGTTAATAACAGGTGAGTTACCACCAGGTCAACCATTGAAATTTCAGGATTTGACAAACTGGATATATGTTCGCGTTCGACGAAACGAAACCAATGGTACCTTTGTATTTCCTCAGTATTTGTTGGGACTTGAAAATTCAAATCGTCCGGCCCTCTCTTGTTTGTCCACAGTCCATTAGGAGACGGAAACCACCCTAACCTCCCCTAACCTTGTTCCCAAGTTTCGCTCCTACTCGTCCCGAAGGGGACCCTGGAAGCAAGGTTGAAATCACCCGAGAAACCTGGGATTGCCGAAAGCACTCGGAGATTCTCGGGGATTGTATTTTCAAGTTCGGAAACAAGAACGTTAACAGTTCTCGGAGAGAAAGCAGTAGCAAATGTTTTTCAACGTGACGGCCCTCATTTAAACAGAAAATTTTAAAAAAGAGATTCCCAAAAAACTGTCAGCCATGCTTTCTATAAACTCTTTAACTGAAAGAAAATCCTCCTGGTGGCACAGCATGAACCAACAAACCGAAATTAAGCCAAAGCCCGGCCTAATAACTGTGTGTAAGCTAGAGAAAGAGTTAAGTCAAGAGAAATGGAGGATACAAATTTGAAGTAATATATCAAACATGAGATGCAGTGTTTCATCACCAGATGAAACACCGAGAAGAGAGTTGAAAATACGACGCGCAGCGGAGTATTTTTGACGAACTTCGAGGTGTTTCATCTGGTGATGAAACACTGTGTCGAATGTTTGATATTTCTTCTCAAACAAAATCATTTTTGAAGGAGAAATTAAGGATGCAAATACTAAGCAGTGTTTCATCCGATTTCCAAACACTCATTAAACATTAATTTCCTTTGTATTTTCTTAATAAATTATTAATGAGTTTGAGAAGTCTACAAGAGGAACAATAGGGCCTTATGGTAAGTTTGCATTCCAATTTTTTGTAAAAACAGATACCAAGAAGAGTACACAACTTAAAAGTTGTGTACTTAAGCTCAATATTTATTGATTTTGCACGCAAATAAGATCGAAACAATTATACAAATGAAATAAGGTCATAGATTTGAACATTTATCAGCTAAATAATACACTCAATTATTCCAGAATAATAAAAAAAAATAACCCTTCAAATTAAATTAAACAAACTTGCAAACTTTCTTAAGTTTTATGCATCTATCTCAGAACACACCACAAGATAGTATTTTGTCAACTAAATTTTATTAAAACTTAACAAGTTTTTTGTCAATAATGAGATTGGCTTTTTTGGTTTTCAATTTCTTTGACATAAGTTCATAAAGGGAATATTGCTCTATTTTACGATAACCTGCGAAAAACCAATTAACAATTTGCTAACAAATTTATTACTTATAAATTGTATTCTTTGAGCTTTAAAATCTTTAATTTGTCATGTGGGTAATTATAATTCCACATATTTCAGATCAAGAAATTAACCAAAATGATTTGAGAATGTCATTACTAGCCATAACAAAAAAATTATTGCTTTCAGTAATTCTTTCCTAGATACACAATAATTATAATTTAACAATTATTTCACTCTAGTTACAACAATATTTACCTTGAAGTAAGTTAAACAATCTTCTTTGTAATGATTAATAGGTTAATCTTATCACAACAGAAACTGAATATTACATACCCTATAGAAGTGTACTGATAGATTATATAAGTGGGTGATACTATACACAATGACCCAATTGCTGCCGTTTTGCAAAAATAGTAATTGGTAAAATTTAAAAGAATCAGAACAGTCTCAAATTCAGAGTGAACTACCTACATTTTTACACAACTAGTGAGCATAATTTTGCAGCACTTGACCTTCACCCACAACAAAAACAAAACTACTCACAGAATCTCTGTATTGTCAATGAAAACTGGATAGCTGAACTTCTAAACAGAAAGCATAAGCTGCAAGGAGGTTTGGTATGGAAGGACAAAATTAATGATGAAATAAAATATTTTCACACTTTCCACTTCCTCACCTGTTGTGCTCCTGTTGAACTCTTTACTTCAGTTTGCACATACATAACAGTAAACAGAAGAGAAAATGGAAGGCTGTGAACAGATATCTAAAATTATTGATAACGACTGCAGCTTTTGGTTGTTTTCTTCAGTTTTGATGACTGGATGCCCACAATGTAGCAGGCTGTGTCACCTAGTAGCATGCAGCCTTGCAGTGCTTTTTAATAACTTACAAAAACTTTACACTTAAATTAATCCAACAAGATTTATTTTAGGAGCAATTAAAGTAATAAAAAAGCCCTTTAAAAACAGTACAAGAGAGATAAACTCAAAACCATGGAATTAACTTTGAAATTAATATCCTTGTTTCCTGTTGCATCTATCACTTACAAGTAACGATCAAGGATAACTATGAGATCACTACTCCTTATTAAGGTTTGTTAGAAAGGGTTTGCATGTTATTGAAGAAAGGGCAAAAAAGAGTAAAATCTCCCTGCTAAGTGGCAGATGTCTGTTCTTCAGTTTCATGTGATTTATTAGTGAGCTCCTGTGTGATCACTAGAGAACTGGTGTCTGTAATATGAGCAGCAGAGTGGTGCAAAGTTTCAAGGAAAACCATAACAGTGTTACACAGCCATATCAGAAATGATATGTAAGCCAGGCTCTGCAAGAGAGGGAATATGATCACATTCTCTAATGTAAAACCTCGCCTAACCAACACCACCTTTAGCTGGCCACCACCCTTTCCCTTCAGGCAGACACTTTTTCTGGTTCTGGGGTGTCCACCTACAGGACATTCATCCCCTTCTGATATAAACCTCCTTGTAATAAATGCCCCCCCCCCCTTTCCCACAAACACACACACACACACATAAAAACCCTGACAACCATTTTGTTATGTACAGTGGAACCTCGATTTAACAAAGGGCCAAGGAACTGGCAAAATGTGTTTGCTATATCAAGGTTTCATGTATCTTACTATGATTGGGATAAAGAAAATTGTTCATTATAGTGAGAACTTTGTTATATAGAGGTTCGTTACATCGAGGTTCTACTGTATCCCCTGTCCTTTTTTAATGTTATAATAAACAACTTTTTAATGACGGTTGTAGATGATTCAAAAAGGGAGTAATAGATCAAGATCTGCCACTGTCCCTATAGCTGATGATAAAAAAATTATATGCACCAATAACTAAAAGACATGGTGCAACTAACACTTCCCAAAATGTGCTAATCAACACCATCATCTGATGAAGACTAGGAGTGGTCAAAATATTGCAATATTAATACCAATGACTTTCCTGAAGAAAACTGTAAAATACATGGTTCGTATGCATCTTGAAAATCCTTGAAACCCTTGAATTTTAGCGTTACTACTTTTTCAAGGCCATGAAAGTCCTTGAAATTGTCTTTCATTTATTTTAGTTGTAAAAAAAGTCCTTGAATTTTAATTGAGGGACATTTTCTAACGTCCAAAAAACTTTGGCAAATACCAGTTTGAAGCCAACAGAATAAAATCGGCATTGAGGATGAAATTAAAGTCAAATATGAACAGCCTGTGATGCAAAAGGCTGAGGTCTAAAACGGTTACTGTGCCACTAGACCATTTTTCATACACGCAAATTTTAGATGACGCTGCTTTTGTGCATGATGAAATATTTTCATAGTTTCTTGGAACCTGTGATAAAAGTTAATTTATTTGGTCCTTGAAATTTAAAATGTGGTCCTTGACAGTCCTTGTAAAGTCTTTGAATTTCTGAAGAAGTGTACAAACCCTGAAAATAAGCTATGAAGTTTTTTAAATATATTATTTTATAAAAGAAACATATCTCACCACTGAAGCAAACAATGCTGAATAACTTGGCAAGAATTCCACACAGTTCTTGCACTGATCACGCCCTAAAGATGTGATTATACTGACTATTTCATCTTCAACTTCTTTCCTCAACTCAAGAAGGTTGTAAAGCCAGAGGCTTGTGCTTATGACAAGGAGAAATGCCATTAAGAGAGCTACAAATATCTCCTAAATAAAAAACAAAGCAAATAAGGAACTGTGAGGATACACTTGATATTTTTCGAACAATTAAAATTTCAAACCAATGCAGGAAAAAAAATTTACAAGTTGTTAGTGTATAGTCACTTCATATCTGATTTGATTACCAAACTTAGAATCAAAGAAAAATAGAGTACTTACAGCAATTAAAACTTTATTGGCCTTATCCTCATTTCTATGTACTACACAGCCTACTATCAAAGTTGTTACTGCAGCAAAGCAGGATACAACAGACACACCAACAAAGAGTTTCACACAAGCTTCAATGGCAGGGTCAAAGTTGAAGTTGCCGACAGGGTTGTCTTCACCAGTGAAGACTATAGTCTCGTTGTTATATTCAAAAGGGTATTTAACCGTAAAGTTAAGACTCCTTGTAGTGTTTGTCACATAGATTCCACCCTTTCCATTGTACGTGATGCATAATGGAAAAATAATCAAACCAAGGACCTGTTGAAAAAGAAAAATGGAAATCATGAGTTTTTGATCAGTCAAACCTTGGGAACATTTTCCTCATAATTCCCTGTAAACATCTTTTTAAAAAAATCATATTCTCTTTCATATTTTTAACATCCTCTTAAATTGTGTCTGGAATGTCATCACGCATCTTTAATACCCACATAGAATTCAAAATTTACACCATATTAATTAAGTGTCATCTGAAAAATTCCTGATTTCTTGAGCACTTGATCGAACGAAAGCGTGATGTTGGGGAAGTCGTGACATTAGAATCGACCGGTGAAATTGACCCGTTAGGACATGCTTTCTTAAAATAAACACTCTTAATAACCAAAATAAAGAGGATGATAAAATCGCAGTATGCAAGAAAAAAGATCAATGTGTCAGCTATAACGGTTAGGCATTTAAGAAAATAATTATGGCACAAATCACAAAAAAACTTATGTCGCGTAGTTTGTTTCTAACTTTCGGCAATGCATGGATCTACACGAGGCTGCTACATTTGATACTCTGTTGTGAAGTAATATTTTGAAATCGGATCAGGTTAAAAAGCAGGAAACATGAGCAAGGCAATTTGAATTTCGACACAGTTGGAGAAATGAACAAAATCGAACTGACAGCTTGGGCATTTTGGTATAAAACGGAGAGAAAAGTTACATCCTTACTGGAAACCCGCTCTACTATCACAACTTTTACGTGCGAGAATACTTGCACGTTGTTTATTTAAGAAATTACACAATCTTAATACGTAGCGAGTGTTACAAAAAGCAGGCTCTAGTAAATTCCCGACAAATAAAGTTTATATTTGAAAGATGATTTATATTGCAAGAGGATGTCAATTTTCCTAATAAACTACACTTCTGTAACACTTGTAAGCTTAAATGGCTACAAACAGAGACTTCCGTTCTGTGAACGCAGGAGAGAGAAAACCCCTCACTTACAATCTCGGCGATCTTCATCCAGAAAATAGGGTGCCTCAAAATCTTTTTCCGTGATTCTCCGCGATAAAGAAGCGCCATTATTGGTGAATAACGTTGTGGAAAGTCTCGCAAGACTTGGCTTGTCTACAACGAAGCGCGGGTCAGGCTGGGTCAAGACGTTTTGCAAAATAGGACTGGGACGGTTCGTACCTAGGCTCTCTCTATTTCACTCACGATGACCCCACCCACTCCTCGTGAGTATTCACCTGTGCATATCTCAAAAAACAATTCAAAAAATTATGTCCTTAATCAAGCAAATAAGAGTTCAGAAAATCTTGTTTCTAGTATTTTTTAGAGCTCCACCGTTGTCCTTTGCCCATTTCCTGACAAATGATATGCCGTTTGTTAGGCCTTCTCACTGAGGCTAGCTTGTGCAGTATTTTTAAATCAATGGTATTACATCTTGTTGCTACCTTGAGCTGATGAATACCAACATTACTGTCCTGTGGTCTACAGTAACTTATCAGCTGCATTACATGATCGTATATTATGTGGTCTTCTCTAACGCGCCGTGTACAAATGGCAGGTCTGGTTTCTTGACGAACAGTACCTCTTCGATCAAGCTAGAAGGCTCGCAGTCTACGATCAAGCTGGTGTTTGTCCTTGTGATTATCTGTTGTCAGTACTTTAGCATCTTTGAGTCTGATTTGATGTTATTTGTCCAAACAAAGGCCTTGCAAAAGACCTTAGAAAAATAAACACTTGCACACAAGCTGAGCGAGAAGCGCGAAAATACTAGCCGTAACAGAATACGAAGCGCGCGGTGAGCCGTGAATTAAGGAGAGACGCTGCTTGCAGTAGCGGATCTATGGGAGGGGTCCGGCCGTCCGGGGAGCTCAGGCCCACACCTTATTGTTAGGCCAAACGGGGACCCACAGAGCTAAGAAAGTTATGTCCGATTTTAGGCATTGCTCTTATGGCTTTGGATCTAGATATAGGGTCCCCCACAGAACTGCATTACAGTCCGCCATTGGTTTCGTAATGTTCCATTGCGCGTGAATTCGTCACATGACTATTCATTTATCTAATTCACTTCATTCATTACGTCACAAGCCAAAGTAGCGCTCACCGCGTCATCTACCATGATAGACTCAAAGTTAGAACGATGAAGAAATTCCTTTTCCTACTCTACTTTTTGCCTCTGTTCTGTTCGGTTTGCTTTTCAAAGCCAGGGAGGAAATTGAGCTGTTTTCAACAACAGAATTCGAAGCAAAATGTTAAATGCACTTCAACTAAATACCTCGACAGACGCTATTCTATTAAGAAAGTCGTCGGTTTAGTCTCAACGAAAGCTACAAAACTGTAAGTATCTTGGGAGGCAGAACCGCCAAAATAATTGTTGGGGAAATATGGCAGCACGTCGATAACATATAGCTACGTCGACTGTCTACAATGATAGTTGTATCATTGTAACACGAACCTGAAGAGCATGTTACTACGGCTAGCTCGAAGCATTCTTACCGTTCTCAATAGGGCCATTTAAATGAAGAAAAATAAGACGCGTCCTCAATATGAAGCAAACTGTCCCGTATGAACGACACATTTTGTCTAAAATAAGACGCTACCTAGCAGAGACGCATCTTATCTAAGAACAGGTGTTTGGGGTGTTCGTCGTATAAATGGCTCTATGTCAGTGATGATAATTTAGCGCCCACCCTCATTTCATGTTTTTTCTCAGGACAAGGATAATTATTTTAAAACAAAAATCAACGCCGGATATAAAAGAAAATTGACGTTGATAACTTGATATTTTACAAGCAGAGTTAATATCTATAGCTTCAATACTGTGGTAAATGAAAATTAAACTATTTCGTATATTTAAGGGTCTTAAAGGTGTACAGATTTATAAGCTCCTTACCTTGTACCCAAAATACTTCGAAACAGTTGGATTCGATTAATATTTAAACAAGGCAACTTATTTAATAAAGTATCTGAATTTCTTGCTGTGCTTTAAAAAGAATATCTTAAGTATTGTTTTGTCTCTTCATTTCAAGGGACCTCAGCAAACTCAAACTAAATCTTACAAGGGGGACCTTCAGTAATTTGACGCATTTAGAAGTGCTGTGAGTATCGCCTTTATATGTTATTGTTGTCACACTTTACCTTATCACGCCCTGGGCAGAAATAACTAGGGCAAAATAAATCGTTGCGAGAGACTTAACTCAAGGGGCATGTATACATCAACCCACGGCCTAGCCGCCCCAGTAACTCACGCATGCACACAGCTGTATCATATATCGCTCGGTTGTCTTGGGCGCTTACCACAAGTCAGAGCGAAAAGGAAGGCCGTGCCTTCCGAAATATTGGTAAAAATATATATATATTCCCAACTGTAAAATCAGCCATGCCTCTTTGGTTTTATATTTTCACTTATTGCTGCTTAGATCCTTCATTAGGATTCGGTCCTTCTTTTTTATAAGCTGGTCCTTGCTTAGCCCGCGAACAGTAGACGCATTTCCGGTCGTCGCTTCTCTCCCTCCACGACCGGAAATGCGTCTGCTGTTCGCGGGCAAGTCCTTGCTTTGAAAATTGAAGAATGGAGGAACTTCTGTTAATCCGTTTCAAAAAGCTTGTTTTAGATATTCATTGAGATTAACAAGCAATGGAAGGACAAACTTGGTAAAATATAATATAAAATAAATCATTAAGCTTATATGGAAGGACCCGTGCTAAGGTCGAATGTGATTTTTGAACTGATTTTAGTAAAAGGGTTATGACCTCTCTCCATTTATTTATTTCTTCGTGACCTCTACTTGAAAATTTCAGTTTACCTTTGTACCTGTTCTACTTTTCTTTTAGGAACCTCTCAGTTGCACATATATCTGAGATACCAGCGAACACCTTCAAAGGTCTCGCATCTCTAAAAACCCTGTAAGTATTTAGCTGATGAAGCAGGGCTGGAATTATGTTTTTTCCACTTTGTCCTTACTGAAACTTAGTAGACCAGCCCCAAATGAGCTCTCCACATGAATTAAATCGATGAGCAATATTCAAATTGGGGAAAAACAATGGCAAAGAGCGGCAAAGCAAACCACGAGGGCAAACCTCTGTGGCAATGAGACAAATGCGCATCCGCAAGGCGATCATCCGCTGAGGAACAGAAAATCTCCCAGTTAACCATGATTATTGATCGTCTCATTAAAACTTTTCTTGGGCGGCACTGTTATTAAACTCGGACTTTCAAAATCAGCCCAAGGTCTGCGCTCCAAAGTTTGACTTATGGTCTGAGAACTACTGACAAATAAGTAAATAGATTTGTAAAATGTCATAAGAACTGTTCTAAACGATGTTACAAGGAACTTTTGATTTGACAAATATCTATTCTCTCGTTATCACTGACAGGGATTTGTCTAATAATCAACTTGTGATGCTGTCACCGTCTTTCTTTGATGACCTGAAATTTAATAACATAACCCTGTAAGTATGAAGTCATTTTCCTTCAGTATCAGTGCAATAGATTAGGAGTTGATAAACATCCTCAAAGTTCATGCTCAGGTGAATATAAAGTATATGAAAAGTAAAGAACACTCGTTGTAGTCTGCGTTAAATCTGATTTAACTTAACTTATTTATTAGCTCAGCCAATACTGGTTGCGACAACGTATAGACCCCTATCAGTCCCAATACCCGCACCACCCATGAAAGATGAGGTTAACTTGTCGGCAAACACTCCATTAAATTTAAGCAAATCAACTCACAAGTATAAAAGTGATTTTCTACAAGGTACTTTGGCCATTATGAAACGATTGCGATTGGCACTGAGTCGGTGTTGGGTCCATTGCATTATGGGTTATTTTTGGACGAATTTTGACCCAGTTTCCTGCGCATCCTCGCAACAGCCCATAAAAGAAGCGAAAGCAATCCCATAGTGCAATTCGACACAAAATCATCCCAGTCTCCTTCGAATTTCTTAAACTAGTATCAATATTCCTTTGTTATTTCCGTAGTTACTTACATAACAATAGGTGGGACTGCAAATGCAGTGACCGCGGTCTTTTGACGCTGCTTAAGAAACATAACAACATTAAATTGGGATCTGCACCAGCCATATGCCATACACCATATCCACTCAAAGGCAAAAGAATTGATCAGGAATGTGGTAAGCTTCAAATCATACCTCGTGTGAACTTTTAGTTTAGTTGCCTTACCGAGTGAATAAAGCTCTTAGTAGATTTCTTGACTGTTGAGGTTTGGTTTGCAAAAAGTAAACAATTGAAATAGCAGGAACAGAGATCCTTACGTTTCTGCATAATATATTTATTTCTTACATGAGAAAATGTAACTAAGTGAATTTTTTAGACAGTTACCGAGTATCTAAAATACATCTATTTCTACGTTTCGTTGCTGGCCTACGAATAAACAGCCGTCCCCTCCTGAGAGCGTGTTAGGGGAGTGCTTGCAGATGTCTTCACGAACACACTGACAATCACGTGCCACCTTGGCGATGGTTAAAAGGAAAAACAACAAGAGAAGCAAATAAAGTCATATACTTTCTCTTTACAGACCGAGACGAGTGCATGGAAGAAAACGATTGTGATGATATGGCAAGGTGTGAAAACACCTATGAAGGCTACAAGTGTTCTTGTGCGGCCAGAGGTTTTAAAGGAACAGGGATAGAATGTACTGGTATGATGACTAACTACCAACTACCATTTTCACTACTAATTTACTAAGAATGCGAGGAAGACGCTAACACGCGCAATGACTGGCAATTTTCACCCTTTAACTTACTGTGACACGAGAAAGAACTCTATACAACAGCTTTCATATGAACTGCCAATCAGACTGTTTAGATAGAAATATATTTTTCTCTCTGTTCATGAAACATAACTTTGCAAGTTTTCGTAAATACGTTTTCAATTTTTCTTTAAAATCAGTGTTTTACCGGCTTTTAACGTCTTTAAACAGATATCGACGAATGTGCTGATGACAGCACGACACAGTGTTCGAAGATTGGAGGAAAATGTATCAACACACTGGGCAGTTACAAATGTGAATGCAAAACTGGATTTACTGGGGATGGTAAAATATGCAAAGGTAAACACGCGCAACAGAAAAAGATAAGAAATTTCTTTGTGATCTCGTCTTCACTTACAATCAAAAGACTAAATGAATATTCATAGCAGCTATCGTCTCAGTACTATTGACGCAAAGTTGGGAAGAAATTGGCTGCGTTTGCAGTCTGAACAAAAAGGTCTGAACACTTATTTTACCCGAGTCAACTTTGTGACTTACCGAAAAATTATCACTCTCGCCAAAGGCGGAGTTTCAATTTGCCACAGACGGGAACCGGAGTCGAAAGAAAGTCGTCCCGCAATGTTTTCTGGGATCGTGACTGGGGACGCGCCTGTCAGCTAGGGCCTGTCTCCAGTAACAAATCCCAGAAGTCTTTTCAAAAGTTGACTCGACCCAGTTTCCATGTCGTTACAAAGGTCTCACCCTTCTTGCAGTCACGTGATCTGTTCTAGGGTGTTTCCATTCTCTTTCGTTTGGTAGACTTGAATGTAACCTGGGAACGAAGTTACGTCGCACCTCTCTCACGTCGTTAACGTATTGCCGCAAAACAATATCTATTAATATTTGAGTTTTTTTTCTCTTCTTGATGATAGACGTTGATGAGTGCATGTCTATCGATTGTGGAATGGATGGTGAATGTACCAACACCTTGGGAAGTTTCACATGTGACTGTGATCCGGGATACGTGGCCAATAAAAGCAACATTTGTGTTGGTAGGTGTAACAGTGAAATCGTTCATGGTGTTGCTTGGCAAAGCAATTCCTACTCTGTTTTCCGGTCAAAAATAATCTTGCAACTTCCAATGTCCTTCGTTACTCTATGTGAATTGCTCAACAGACATTCTGCCTTAAGCCCAGGGGCCACACGCCTTTGACTACTATTGATTGGTTTATCATTATAGGCCCCGTCTGCAAATGTCAATGGCCGTTACTTAGCTTTTCGTTTAACGGGACACGTTTAAAAGTATTATTATCAAAATCTGGAAGATGTTTAGTTTCAAAGTAGAGAAATACAGTAGGAACGTAATGCTGTTAAGTTCAAGGGGCACCTCTTAAAGAAATTTATCAGGCTAGAAATTGTTTAAAAATGCGTAGATACTTAGAATTTGAAAGAATTTAGTTCTGATAAAAACTTAGAAACAAATTTGATAGCCTTCCCCTTTTCTGTTTAGACATTGATGAATGCGAGATGAAGACTCACAAATGTGACGCTATTGCAAACAGTTATTGCGTCAACGTTAAGACTATTTTACCTACCGACACCGGCTACACCTGCGAGTGCCAATCAGGATTCAGGAAAGTCGGAAAAAGCTGCATTCATGAAGGTCAGCGGATAATCTTTCAACTAGATATTAACTAGTTTTTTGAGTTGGTCCATTTTTAAGCTCGTCAGGCTATTTAACATTAGAGACGTACTGCTGGCAGACGGAGTGGAGAGAATTTTTGAACATGTTTGCAACTATCCAAGGGAAAGTACAGAGAAAAAAACTGTTGGTTTGTCAATCGTGGCTAAACTTAGACAGATGAGAGGCCTTTGAAAAAAAAGGTTTAAGGAAAGAGTTGTAGAGAGGAATGTTTTTAATTATTACAGGTAGCACAGGAGAGCTAATAAAGATCTTGGCAATGATTATTGGTGGATTTCTTGGGATTCTTTTTCTTATCATAATTGTCGCACTGGTGTACAGAAAAACAAGAAACAGGTAAGTGAATAGCTCTGTAGTTTCACAACCACTGACATTCCTTTGTTTTGTCACCGCCACCACCACCACAGTTCTACTAACAACGTCAAATAAAATTTGACTGTTACAGTGAACCAGAAGAAGAAGAAGAAGAAGAAGAGAAGACAGAGGAGAGCCCTGTAGTAGTAGCTCCTGTCGTTGGTATGCCTCCCCCTGTGGACTTTGCTTACCTGGAAATGCCTCAAAACGATCAAGGACAACAGGAGGAGGAATGGGGGGAAGATGAAGAAGAAGACACTGAGTAGCTGCTGACCAGCTGCGGTGGCTCAGATCTGTTTGCTTTGTTCAAAATAAGTTTTCTTTGGTTGTTAATAAAGCCAACGTCTGAGAACCCATGTATTCGAGAATGTCTCAAACGCAAAAGAATAGAGTTTAAAACACACCCAGTTTCTTTACATATCCTACTGCCGACTCTTTTGGTTTTTGCTCAGCTATACTGGACTAGTTGGATACCGTTGTCATAAAAATTGTCGCCTGTGATGGAATAGCACGACTGCAATTACTTCTTTGAATGGTTTCAGTCGGAGTCCGCAATATATTGCCGCACTCTTAGTTCATTCTAGTCTCATCGTGAACTGCAATGCCGAAAGTGCCGGAAAACCTTTTGATCAATTCCGTTTTCATTTTTATTTGCATCAGCTTAATTTCGTTGAGTTATGTCGGCCTCGACTCACAGCATCATGCTGTACCCTTATAGTCCTTAGGGTGGATTGAACACCCCTTGAAAGTCTCTGGTATCTTGGAGTTGTTCTCATGCTCATATCTCGACCTCGGTTGAATTTTACAAGGCTGATATTCATACATAAGATCACACTTGGATCACGGCTCAGTTCTACGTTCATATCGATCTGGTATGATAAGCTGTCAGACTCAGAAAGTCTCAGAGGATGGAAAGGAAATGGCCAGCCAGTAAAATCAATGCATCCCTGCCTCGTAAAATTGAAATCCCAGGTTAATTGAGGTTGCTCCTTTTAACCTTTATTAACATATTCAACAGCCTCTGAGATAAAACAGTGAAATTTCTATTAATGACAGTACTCTACTGACCTATGATATACAATCACAGATTAATAGTAGACCACCCGATCCAGATCCTCGTGGACACGTATGACTTAACCAATCAAGTTCATCGGCAAGTGCTCTTATAGCGTGGGTGTACAGTTTCGTCTTGTTTATTAAAAAGTGTCCAAGATTGAGAAAATCTCAACACTGAAACCCGTGTCACTTTACACTGGATGTCCTCTGTGAGGATACTGTAAGTACTGGCTCTGATATCGGCAGAACATTGTAAGTACTTATGTCGGTCAAAAATTGTTGTGGATTGAATAAGAAGTTTAAAAATATTTTTGCCGCTTTTAAAGTATATACCGTTTGAAAACTCCGGTAGCAAAAACATGCATCACCAGAAAAACGTTTCAGCAAGGTATACTGAAGCAAAGCGCTTTCCCAAAATAATGGATCTGAATTTCTTCTTTTATTCTGACATGCAAATTACACGGCAAATTTGTTTTGTTTTTCTTTTCAAGCGCCGACTTAATACGCCTTAAGGGCAAAAAATTACCGACAATATATCTTTTAACTCTTCTCTGTGTAAAGGTTTCTAAAATCCTTTCAGTTTGACAGGAAAACTCTCAAAGATTACAACTTCCAACAAATTCAGAAAATGAAAACTAAGAAGCATATAAAATATGTCTAAGAGCTGTCAAATTCAAGAACTGTTTGCTATTGCTCAAATAGGAGTTAATCGAAGTGTTTGCTTCTACACTGTATTACCTCTAATTAATTATAAAGGCCAAATTGTTGAATTTTTTTAAATCCACAGAATCGCTAAACGTTTAACGAACAGGCCAGAAACTGATTGCGTTTAGTTTTTAGAGTACTGCCATTAGGAAGAAATTAAACCAAAAAAAGGAATCATATTGTTTGATTCATATCACTTTTTTGGCGGCATTTTAATCAAGGAAATGGTTTTGTCTTTTAATTTCTTCCACGAGCCGCCTTGATGCGTCTTTGGAGAAACTGTTTTCAGAAACATTGTAAAGTACTTATTAATGTATCTGACCACCATTAGCAATCTACATGTTTTAAAACTTGGGAGACAAAACCAAATTTTGCTTTGCCCACAAAATTAGCATTTTTATTCAGTATTTTTAACCTTTTCATTCCCACACTGAGTCAATTACGAAGAGATGTGATGTGGTTGACTGGATAAAAAAACCTATTATTGATTTGAAGCCTCTTCTGTAGTTTTTTTTTCATGGTCTTATTTTTTTGAGTCCTTTACAAAGTAAAAGTTGTTTTTCTTTAATTGTGAATCAGATAATCAAGCTTCACAACACACGACAAAAGATGTTCTTGATGTAGAATTTTTCAAAAAAAGAAAGGCTGATGCAGACCTACTGGCAAATGGGGCCAAATAGGGCAGAGATGGAAGTAGCTGAGCCTGTGCCTCGAAACAGAAGGAAAATTTGTTTTACATCTGTTTATGCATACAGTTTTCAGCTGTTATCTCCTGAGATTGATTTTATGTTGTCTTGAAAATAGACCGCTGGCAAAAAGCTTCAAAACCAAAAAATATGAAAAGATTTGCAAACTGAATAGCATGGAGAAGCAGATATATTGTGCATTTTGCTGCCTATTTTAATAGGTATTGACATGAAGTGTTAGTCAGCCTTAATTGTTTATAAAATTTATTTATGAGAGCTTTATTTGTATTACCATACTATATAATGATATGGGTTACAGGAGATGTGAAGTTTTGAATCGATAGACCTCAGCTGGCCATTGATCTTTCAAGAGGTGATGTAACAGTCGCTTAGCAACACTGTTCCTATTTCCTGTGTTGCAAACATTCTCTGTACATCTGCGTCTAATTGTTCCTGGAGACCTAAAGGTTGGTTTCAGTGTAGTTATTGATATGCAAGTCACGTTTGTCTCTATAGTTCCATATAAATGTTTATTTTTGCCCCCGGGCATTTCTCATGTGTGCTCAAACAATAATGCCAACGAATTGCGAGTGTCTGGGCTGCCAAATCAACAAATGACTTGTAAAGTCTCGAGAGGAGGGCTCTTCGTGGTTCAGGGCGAAAATCAGAGCTGTTAAAATGAAGACCAGAAAATATTTCTCCGTTTTGTGCCGGAACAATCTCTTGATTGTCATTCGACTAGAGTAAGGGTCATTCACTCCCAAAAGAGCCGAGGGGGAGTACATAAATCAGTCTCGAACACGCTGTATCCAATTCTGTGTTTTGTGCTAAAATGGGCCCTAAAAGAAAGAGACAGATTGAACCACACAAACGTGGTTTTATCCGTCCCTGATGGGGCAGCTGCTTCATTCTTGTTGGAACTCATTAGTATTGCCTATCAAATGTTAAAATAAAGCCAGCAAAAATAAGTACATCTCACAATAAGCCGTAAATATACATTTATCATACAAAGTCAGTTTTATTACGGATGTAAGCTTTTTTTTCTTGCTCGTTATATTCTTGGATGATGAGATCTTTTCTAAATTCGACGTTTGCTGTGCTTTGCCTTTTTCTCTCAAATATAAGAAATCCGGCTTCGCTTGTTTCTTGTCAACCGCGAGTCGAGAGGCTATTGTTACATGTGCCATGATGCAATGCAATGAATTAAACCTGCCACAGTTGAACGCTTACTATCCAATACCAAAACAAGTCTTTTTGTTTAAGGTTACTTTCCAATGTCATCTTTTACCACATAACGAAGTTTATTTTAACCTCACTTCCTTCTATACATTTCTAATAAAGAGGAGAAGAGACCTGGGGAGAGCCATGAAAGGGACTGGGCACAGGCGTAAGGAGACACCTTTTCAGGTTTGACTTAGAGAAAAGCCCAAAGAAGCTGTTTCTTAGCAGTTATAGATGCTAATATCATAGAAAAACCAATTTTCAAACTTAGAAGGATTTTAACAGGCAGTGTGACTCAGCGACAGACCTGCCAACAGCTCAGTCACTCCTGCTAAGAATACATTCAATTCTCATGGTCGTTCTGATTACCGTTCGTGAAAGCAAACTCTTTCCAGGCTGTAATTTGACTAATTTGCTCTGACAGGATCTGATATCGACTCTCTGTAAGAAGCTTTAATTTGTGCAGTCACACCTCTCGTCCAATCGTCTAAACGACATAACGACAGAATCGAGACCAATCGAAGTATACACAGCTGGAAATAACGATCATATTTAGTCATTCAAATCGTCATATCCTCTTTTGACGAAACCATCTAGGAACTGACACGTTTCTACTCGTCTTCCTTTTGCACACGGCACAAAAGCGAGAGGTGGGAAGCTAGATAATCTTTTTATTCATAATAATTTACTCTTAAGCCTGTTGTATTTAACTACAAGTGTGGTTAACTGAACTGGGCACGTGCGAGAGAATCTATTTCGTGAGTGGAAGCTCCTGGCAGCTGTTCAGAAGAATCGTTTTTGGTTTGGTAGAACTTTCGCAAGGTATCATTAGCCGTCAGTATTTTTATATTTAAACTACATGTATTGATGATGGTCACAAGGATTTCTTTGATTTTTGGAATGTCTTATATGACGTTCACCATAGTTGGAAAATTTAAACCTAAAGCAGTCAGCCCCCCCCCGGGGGGGAACTCGGCATATGAAAGGGGCGGGGATGCTCGTCGTCTCGCTTACGGGTATAAATTTCGGAAATAGGGTGTTCTGGGCAAAACGCCATCATATTTAGCCGTGAAGGTCTCGTTTAGGGTTGCAGGCGAAAAAATATAAAAAGACATATTTGATATGTATATTTTTTGGTCTCTTTTAGGCGTCAAAAAAAGCTTGGGCTACTCCCAGGTCGGTCTCCTTTAGGGGTTTAATTCAAAATTTCCGACGAGCATCCCCACCCTTTAATATGCGGAGTCCCCTCCCCCCCGGAGTCAGCCATGCAACAACATTTGCCTCCAAACTGACGTAATAGAAAATTTTTAACACAACTATTTCAACTTTTTCTGTGTCAACTATTCAAAAATATATCTTTGATCCAAAGAGATGAGATGCATATAATTACCACCCAAGGAGCATATTATAATAATTGATTAGAGATAATTAATAATTAGAAATAACTCGAAAACTCCTACGTGCTTTATGGTAGTTCCACAGGTCTCGTGATCGGTGATCTTTACTCATGAGGGCACATCAACTCAGGAGTATCGAATTGTCGAGTGCTGTATAAAAGATAACAAAAAAATCAATATCGCTTCCTGTATCATGTCAGCGAATTATACTTATATAACAAAGTTAACAAGGTACTTCTAGTAGTGTGACGTTTGGTGTGTATTTTGTGTGTGTCATTTTTGCAGCTGAGCTATAAAAGTACGGTATTGCGCAATTCCATTGCGACTGTGAAAAAAAAGCGCATATCAGCAAATTTCATTAGAGTGCGAGGTAATAATGTACGTGTAGGTATTACTATTGTGACTTGACCTTGAACCAAACTGAATTGACCTTAAATTATCAAACCATCCGGAAATAAAGATAATAAAAAATGGTTCGTTTAAACACGCGTACTAGCTTTTGCGGGGGAATATAAAATTATTTTTTAAAAATTTTAAATACTTGTTGCCAAAATCCCAAAACATAAAGCGACTCCCGAGACCCCGTCAGAAGATATAACCGTCTGAATTTAAGTGAATCACGTAGGCAAATACTACATGAAATAGGAGCTTAAGATAACAAACGTAACAATAGCTTTATAGAATGTGGGTTTATCGACTGAATTTTAAAAGAGTAATCGATCATCGTTCTTTTTCTGAAGATTAGCCCTACCAGCGAAAAAATAACGGTGAAACGTAGTTTTGGTGTTAAGCTATCTACTTGCACAGCCGACTGACCACAATTTCTGCACAAGTTTTTTTTCTATTATAGATTATTATTAGCAATTACTCAAAGTCAACGGCAATAATTTTTAAGGAGCTGATGTTTATTGTTCATGTGGTTTTCCTTCTAGTTTTAGCACACCATCAATTGTTCATCCCATCTCTCACGAATGAGTCAAGTGCTTAAAAGGGACTTCACAGCAATTTTTGAGGTGAAGCAAATATCACCACAGGAAAATGCTGCTAAGAAGCTTTTATCCCATTAAGCAATACCACTGAAACTTGTCAATTACAGACCTTAGTATGAAATATGAAAAAAATTGTTCAAAACCCTTGAGTTTGTGGACAAAATTCTGTGGCGTGACCCCATTCGAAATGAAATCATGTCTTCAAATTTATTTCATATCCATTAACTTGATTTTTGGTAGTAATTTTCAGTCCCCTGGAAAGTAAATACAAAGAGGCCTTTGATGGCCACGCCCCACAAGATGTCATTTTCACATCGCCACGTTTGCTAGCAGTGAAAACGTGTTTGAAGCAGGCGATAGACGGGAGGGGCTCGAAAACCTCAAAACCACAAAGAAAATGTGAAATTTAGCGAAACTGATGAAAACTCTAAACTCACAAACACTGGAAACATTTTAACTGGTGATTACAATTGTCTATTACTTGTTATAATTGACTAGTTTTGTACTAACATGAGCCATTAATGAGCTCCTGGTACAGACTGCATAGTGAATACCATACCGGAAAGTTATCCTTTACCAGAATTTTTTTCTTCAAACTGTTCTGAGGCAAGAATCACTCAGTGGTTATAAAGTGTTCGGTTATTCCGTAACGGAAACGTCAATTTTTGTCCACGTATTTATAGTAATAATGACGTTTTTCTTTTTCCTTGGCCAGATTTAGAGCTGAACTTGAGTTAATCACTGCACTATGTTTATTATCCTTATCACCAGTAATATTACTGGAGTGCATTGGTATTCTTTTCAAATTACTGCGTACTCAATTGAAATTCGTAACGTTCGTAGTCGTTTGTTTGAGTAAAAGGGTGAAAAGATCAAAATACACCGGATGCGGAGAGCATCAGTAAGTATGGACAAGTTAGCCTATGAACAGACTTTCTGTTTGGGGAAAGGGTGAAAAAATCCCGAGTTCCCCTCCTCGACCGAAGGTCTGTTCACAGGCTACAAGTGCGCATGCAGTGTTTCATCATCATAACTGAAGGCGAAGTGCGTTAGGTATCTGGTAATGAAAGGGCGTAATCATTCATTGAACGCATTGATTTCTCGTGATCAAATACAGTTCTGCTGTTCCAAAATGGATTCGATATGCCTTGTTCATTCCTATCCGTTTTCTGACCCTAACTCCACCAGGAGTTGATTCTACAGTAACCAGAGTAGGTTCAAAGTGAGATCTTCTCTTTAACGAGAGCTATTTAACCTCAGGTTATCCCGCGTTGGTGGCCTAATCAGCCCAGCCTATTGTTAGCTGGGTTCAATTTTTGAGCGAAACTAGTCACCACACTTCTCGCGGCTAGCCCATGGTGAGAGGAGGAGGAAAGCTATAGCTTATTGCGTTGGTCCACCTCATCAAGTTAGCTAGTGTGAACCGTCCACCTTTGATTACATCTTTATGCCTCTTTTGCCGGGCAGTATCACACAAGCAGGATTCTTATTATCACTGTATGTAAAGAAGATATTTGCCGTCTCTGAAAATTATGAGTACTTGTCTTTGGCTTTCTCTAATGAATCATAAAGAGTTCCTACGAAAATTTCTTAACAAAAAAGCAAGAAATTAAACGAAAAATTCCAACCTGCGTCTGCATAAACATAAACTCAGAGTTAGAGCGGACCATGAATGCAATGATCCCTACGATGAACAGCGACAATGTTGCTGCCCCTGAAAATAATTCTGGGGTGGCCACCAGGTTATAACTTGTTTCATTGTCCAACCTTTGATAAAACGCAGGGTCGCGTGACAAAGCGCTTGTAAGCACGTTTATGTAAAGGAAGCAGTAAAGGGGAAATACATTACATTGAGGAATTAAACCCTTCATCTAAGCTGCGTCAGCGCTGCAGAAAAAGACTGCTAGCACAATTACGACAACGAAGCTCTTTGAAAGTCATTTGGAACAGGTGAGGAGGTAACGTTATTTCTCAAGTGATTATAAAATAGGTAACAAGATTTTGACACTTAAAGCAGAGCTTAGATTGTGCTGCTTTACGATATCCAGGGGTTAAAAGTCATTTTTAAAACGTAGGGGAAAGTGGCAGAGTCTAGCTAAGTATGGATTCGTCTGCAACGCAAGAGTCGCATTTTCCTTTCGGAATTTTATTGTGTTCAGCTTAAAAACTATAAATGGCTATTTATACGCGTACACTTCAAATGAAAACCACCCGAAAAGTCTATAGTGACTTGTTTTCTTTTGAAACAGGTGCAACAGCTTTAGGACCGTTTAGTACGTTTTGTCAGTTCACATCTGCTCAATCTAATTCCATGGGTAATGCTTATGCTCTATAACTTGATAAGTTTCTAAACATAAAATGCGCCTCCAATTATTCGAACTTAATCGATGCTTCTTCCCCTATTATAAACATAAATACTTTATACTTTATTCTCTTGTTTTTAGGGTAGCATTGCTACTCATTCGTTGGAGCTTCTCGGAAAATAAAATATAATCTGAAAAAAAAGTACAAACAGATAAATTTATACATAATGTTATATCGGATCAAATTCGAGTAGCCACCGGGCAGAAAACTGTCAGTTGATCTCGAAGAGTAAGTGCTGCAGTCTTGCTGCAGCAAGGGTCTTGTTTATCTGAAGCATTTTGGTTATTTTGACAATTTAACGCCCTTAATAAAAAACAGTGAGAAACGCATTTTGTATGTCTTGTTAGTGATGTCCCTTATAATACTTTGCTACACTCGGAATTCCAACTGTAGTTTATATTGGCTCTTCTTTATTTGTTTGGACATCCGAAACTTTGAAAATCTACATACTAATAATGGCAAATGGTGGAAAGAGAAAAAAAATCATTTCGAATCACTCTCTTCTATCGCCGAAATTCTCCAGTTCACTAGTTGTTGCAGTTTCAGCGGTTTCTTGTGCAAAGCCGTACGATTCCCGTGTTACCGAAAGCGCAGCTTTCTTTTGAGCACGTGTGTGAGTGTTAAATACATCAGCGTTCTGATTTCCAGTTTCCGGTGTCTAGAACAGTTCAGCAAGTTCCTACAAAAAGGTTGTTTTTCCGCTTAGTTTTCCTGTCATTCCAGAGAAACATTTGTGCAGGCCAAGTATATTTTTATTAACTCCCAGATCTGTGAGCTAAGCATGAAATGAATGGCAAGGATTGGCTCTGCCTGACCTGGAAAAATGTATTAGAAAAATACAACACAATCTATCACAAAAAAGCGATCACTTAGAAATAAGGCGCATGGGAACTGGAAAACAGCTTATTATCCAGTTTCAGGAAATCAGTTTCAAACATTAGTAGTACTTTGAATGAAAAAGAGGCTAATTCATGGTCATAATTATCTTAGTACACATGGCACGTGGCACGTGTGGGCCTGAAGTACGCGAGTGACAAAGCGCACGAAATGTTGTTGTTGAGGTCTTTGCACGTGATGATAAAAAGAGATCCTCACGTGCCCATAAAAAAACTGTAAAAGACTAATTGGTTTAACCGGACAGGAAAGTTATGATGCGCCTTCAATAATTTAATGATATATTCCTAAGTCGTAGGCAGAATGCCTAAATTGTTCATAGTCAGAGGACTAAGCAAATGGCCGGAGTAGAAACTATGCTTCCTAAATTTAATATCAATTCTTCAAGAAGAAACTTCAAAACTTACATTTTTGCCCCAGTCGAGTCTGGGCTCACTACGGACACATTCAGCAGCAAAACTGCTTCTCCGTCCTGGATTCTCGGAAAATTAAGTGTTTCCGGGGCTATGTTCACTCGAATCTGTTCAGATTTGTAATACAAACTATTTTTTTTAAGTCTATTAGAAAACTCACATGAATAAACGACGATAGTCTTTATGTATAACAGCCCCAATTTCATGTGCTTGCAAATTAAAGCCGTAAACATAGCCTAAGGAACTTTTCTCCTAGAAGCAAATTGCTCCTTGAACAAATATTATGATATTATAATTCTTGACATCCCAAATCCTAACCTACACAATTTGTTACGGCCAGTGTTTTGAGTGTTGCTTAAAGTCATGTTAAATCAATAGGAGTGCGTATGTGTGATCTAGTTTGACATTAATATTTTGCATAAAAATAGAAGTACATTAATGTTGGCTTTCTAAAACTATGGGGTGTTGAGCCCCGAATCTTCACATACCGGTTAAAACCGCCTTTAGGTAGCCTCCCTAACCTTGGCTTTAAAAATAAACGCCTTGTAAACAAAACTCCGTGACGTAGTGAATATACCAAATACTGTGCACTCATTGGATGAGAGCTGTGGACCTAGCCGCCAAAGGAGGTAAACATTGATTCTAGAACTTCGAGAGATGCATTCATTTCTTCGATTTAACTATTTTTCCCTTTGAAATAGTTTGACTTTTGGAGAAACATAGACTGTACCGATAAAAACTCTTGACATTGCATGCAGAAAGAGATGCAAACTGTGTAAATGGCAGTGAAAAATACATTGTGTATATTTGTGCCAAAGGCAGGGTTCAGCGTGACGTCATAATCGCCTTTGCAATCTAAGGATTGCAATAACAAATAATTTGTTTCGACTGTTTTGAGAAAGTAACTTGGAAATAGAAAATGTTTTCCAGAATATCGAGAAGTTTGTGTTCTCAGGCTCCATGAATCAGCGACAATGTATCAGAAATTGCCCCGTGTTAACTCAGCGATGCAAATACCACAGATGCCTTGCAATATGGAACATTCAATAATTTGATCCGGAAACAATTGAACTGATTATGATAATTTATGAAAATTTATTCTACGCACGTTTCATGGTGTTGAAGTCACGGGAAAGTGAACCACTTCGTTCATTAGAAACCATCACGCGAAGAAGGGATAATCGAGCCATAGAGCGATAAGAGTTTACTTTTACAAAAAGAAGCGATTTTGTAAGTGTGGACATACTTTCTTTATGTTAAAGATTTGTTTATATCGCCTGGCGAAGGAAAAGAGAAAAAGTTTGTTTTTCGACGATGGATGGGTGATTTTACAAATGAAAATCAATCTGCAACCTGCGTTTAACATGGCGGCTGTGTGTCTTCTTCGCTCCATAGGAATCGCTGCAAATTGATTCTCCAAAGGAACGGATTCCACGAGCAGTTTTAACTCGTCGTTATTGAATCCTTTAGCACTACCAAGTGAAGAAGGTTTATTGTGCATTCCTCGGCAGGGCTTCGAGATTGTGCGGCAACTTTCCAAACGGGATACAAGAACGACTTCTAATCAGAGACACGACAAGGAGAAAGAGAAGTTATCAACATTTGGTAAAATGGCTTCCAAGACCCTCAGAAACAGGTACCAAACATTTCATTTTACACTTTAAGTGTTAATTTTCTAATTGTGTCTATTGAATGGTGCTTCTCAAGGGATTTAACGCGCCTTGAAAATCACCAAACAAAGGTTCGAGACACATTCGAGAGCGGAAGGATTATAACCCCCTTGTCACAGCTGACTTCTTTTGCCTTTTACGCAATCAAAAATTCGAAAATAAAATCTAGTTTAGCGGCCATTTTCAGCCGCTCTAGAACATTTACATCGCACGCTTGTCGCATTGGGTTCGTTCTGTCTTTGCAAAAGGTTTTTTTAGCGATGGAGTCCTAACCCACATTATCCTAAGTCTTTCGTGACTTCAGCGTATGTAGCACCTAATTTACCTGTTTGATGCACAAGTTTCTCGACTAAACAGGAAAAAAAAAGATGAATCGCGATATTATATTTAGCACAAAAGTACTGATTTAAAAATACTTGTAGCTTAAGCGTTGCGAACGAAAGATTTCTCAATGGGAGAAATGGAGTGCAAACGTTTTTGACATATGCCTCAGTAGAGTAGTTGCATCAGCTACGTAAGGATTAATGGCGAGCATCAAAAGATCTCCGTGATCGAGCTACTGGCTAGAAACTGTTAATTATTCCCAACCTCTTTAAATGGCTTAGATATAGAGTACATACCAGTCGTACAATATGTACTGTTTTAGAGGCCTTTAGTTAGAGTTATCTTTCATTATTGCATGAAGGCAAATGACACTTGCCATCAAGCTTTACTAGAAATATTCGTTTGATTTTCACAAGAATACTTCTAGCTGTTCTGAAAAAAAGGTTAAAAAGTCTTTTCCAACGTGTGAAAGTGGTTCTTGGAGCACAAATGTTATGCGCAAGAATAACAAATCTTGAAAACGCGAAATAAAGCATTTGATCCTTTTGTAAGGTTATCCTTTTATTGTAATATTATCTGAAATGCCGTGTTGCTTTCACAAAGATCCATTTCATACATTTTGAAAAGCTTCTATTGAACTGCTGAATGTCATACACTGATTGTATGGTTATGCAAGCAGCTCTTTTGTCATCATTTCTTGCAAAACCGTGTTTACATATAGAAAAAGAAATTTGTCTCCTCTTGCTGTATTTTTGTTTTGTTTTTTTTAACATAATGATGTGCAATGATTCACATTTGAAAAGGGGATTAAACCTCACCTCTGTAGAATATGTACTCTGATCTTGTCAGCCCTAGAAAGTGACACTAAATATTACTTGTTATGACATCAAACAAAGTTGATCCGTTTTTTTGACCATTTTTTTTAAAATTAATTTTTGGTTAATTTTAAGAGCAAATGATAAAAATATCAGTGCTCTTTTTACCAACGAAGCAGCTTAATTCAAGGTGCCGCACAGAATTGTCCCCCATTAATAATTTAGAGTGCCACAAACTGTGAGTAAACAACAGCCGCAATTTTAGCAAATAATTTGTTGTCAGTAATTTTAACATGTTATTTGTGGTTACAACATCCAATTTTATTTCCTTACTTGTCTCAATTATTGTTTTTGACAAAAAATGTCATGAAAGTAGTATGCCTGTTTTCTTGTGTTCTTATTTTGTCAAACAAATTTTTTGATGCTTTTAGTAACTATTCAAAATTGATATGCCCAAAATTTTACTGAAATGTTTAATTATTCAACAATTACTCGTGATAAATACCAGGTGTAATCATAACAAAAAATATGACTGCTATTTAAAGGACTACTTTTTGTGTCAGCTTCTGTATCTAAAGGATAAAAAACAGCATAGTCAAAGTGCATTTGCTGATTTACATCATTGTTTTGTACTTTGAATATTTTGCATTTTTGCATGACTATTTCAGGGGTGCCCACTTGGAAATAATGCAGATCTTGGGGCCTTTAATGTGAAATGTTTAGTGCTGGCATTGAAGTCATGCCATTTTTTCCACAACAGATTTTTTATTTTAGGAATTTCTGGATAAATAGTCATTTTTTGTTGATGGTCAGTTATTTACTGCAGTTTACTACTGGAGTTTTCTAGAAGGAGAATTATGAACCATGAGACCATAAAATGATATGCTATTTGGAAAGTACTGCTTCAATTGTAGCTTTAGTTGCAACTTTCAGTAGCTTTCAGAGAAGCTAGTAGAACAGTGGTTGTTGTGAGAGAGCACTTCAAAAACAAACTAAGACAGAGAAAGTTTCAGTTGGTGTAAGATTGATTGATCAAGTCTGGTTAAGGAAGGAAAGGTGAGAAGATTTTATGCCTTCAATGAGCAAACCTGAAAATCTTTTGGTTTTGAAAATTTCAGACAATTCAATGAGATATTGAGCATGTAACAGGAACTTGTACTGGGGAGCTATACCAGCCACTGCTGGATGCATTAACGTTAATACTTTTGAGATTTCACAGATAAAGGCATTAGTATATTGATCACTGGCTGGTAGCTGTACAGTCATTAGTACTGTCACCAAAAAGCTCTTAGTCATACTTGTGTTATATAACATGAGTATTATTCACGTAATATAACATCCAAATTGCTTGTGTGTAAATATTTATATATAAAATGACAAACTAAGTGACAGTTGTAGAGGAAATGTTTGTTATGAATAGTAATGGCTACTGAACAATGATGATAGGAGGTGAACTCTATAATTCTATTGGAAAGACAAAGCTAGGGTTGTCTGTCAAAGCTGACAGAATCTCAAGTGTGAGCATTTTTCATGTTAATAAGTATTTATTGTTATTCAAAGAAAATGGCTCTTGTGCTGCTGACATTCATCACATTATTTTATTCTTGTGCTAAAATTCTGCCAGTATTTAATCATTGAATGATAGAAGGGTACTTTTGATGGAATTTTTTTGGGTAAAAAAAAAAAAACCGTGTTCTGAATTTTTGGTTAAGTTGTTGTACAGATTACAAGTGTGTTAGCTTATCAAAACGCAGAATATCCAGCTGAAGAGTAGCAGAACTTTACTACTGCTACTACTACTGCTACATAATAGGACTGACTGAGGTCCAATTCAGTCTTTTATCACCTGAGTGAATTACCAAAATCAGATTAAACAAAGTCAGAAGTGTGCACAGTGGGAGTCCAGTGTGTCTCATGATCATTAGCCTATGATTACAGACTGCGAAAGTTCTGTTACTAATTAATCATGCCAAACAATGTTTAAGATAATAATTTGTAACAATTTCAATTTTTAATGGAAAGACAAGAACTTCTGAGAGTTTTTTTGCAGAAGAACCCATTCAAGACCAATTGATCTATTGTAGCATTCACAACGGTGCGAACTGTCCAATCACTAAGGCATGATATGTGCTGTCCTATTGCACTGTGCTACCCATGCTAAAATAGCAGGGTTGCCAATAACCAATCAGATTGGAGAATTCTGTTATTGTCATGATTATATAATTTTATAACATTAGAGGTGTGGTCTAGTGATTAACATTCAGTCTTCTAGGATATGTAAGGCCATGCAGATTCAATCCTTTCTTTTATGTTATTTCATTAGAAAAGAAACTTTGTTCTCATTAATCTTTCTCCACCCAGGTCTATAAATGAGTGCCTATGATATATTTCTAGGGGGTAACCCTGCAAAAGACTAGCTTCCCATCTGGGGGTGGGGAGGGTGGGTAGTGATTCATTACGGAACGGCGCCTGTAGATCCGTGTTGCCCGCAAAATCGCGGGTCTCATGACTATTTGCGCGCTCACAAAGGGAGCCGACGCATGTCGCGTCCTTTGATTCAAGACTCAAGTGTTAGGGTATTGTTTCCACGATACAAAGGTAATTTAACTTAAGAAAATCTATAGATCGAAGCTTTCGCGCTACTCTCTCTTTTATAAGGAAATGCAAACGCTCAACTTGATAAATATTTTGACTTCATAACATATTTGAACGATTTAGGCCAGCAGAATGTATAGAATTCTAGGAAAACAATTCAGGAAGCCGAACGGTTTTGAACGGCGCTAGACGTTATTTTTATCAGTATGCAAATCACCTACCCAATCACTTACTTTCCATCGAATTGAAATATCCTGACTTTTTTTTACCACTTTTCGATTTGATTCGTTTCATTTTATATCATTTTGTGCAAGCTGAGCTCTTTCATGCGAATTTACGCTTTCAAAAGGAAAAAAAACTTTGAGGAAACGTTGTGTTTACAACCACGGCAATTTGTATCTATTTCGCTTCACTCACGCTTACATGCAAATTACTGTTCATCCGCCGGATTTCGCTGGAGACAAAAATATCGATATTGAATTCCCAAATGCTTGCCTTTTAGGGCACCCCTTTTATTTTGGCTATCAAGATTTTAAAAGCTAAGCTTCAGACTTTTTATTCCAACGTTTTAATGCGGGAAAGCTAGGAGAAATGCTCCAACTGATTTAAGTCACGCAACACGCTTTAAGACCGCATAACTTGATCTCTCTGTTATCTTTTGTTCTTCTATTGTCTCCAAAACAATAACGATGTTTTACCAATTTCCACCTACAAATAATAGGACACATTTGATTGACAGAAAAATTTGCATTTACTAGCGACGCGTATCTACAGGCGCGATTCCGTAATGTCTTGTAGGTGCTTCATGGTATTGAAGTGGGCATGGGCCTCACTGGCTTTAGGTATACCTTTACCTTACCCTCTTATCTTAGTAATATTTTAATTAAGATTCTCATAGTCTTTGATCTGGGCTGAGCAACTTCTATAAACGGTACATTAGTAGTAGAATGTAGTTCTTTTCATAGTGTAAGAGCTAATCAGGTATCCTTAATTAACTTCATTGACAGTGAATTTCAAAAGAAGAGACGATCACGAGATGCTGCGAGATCAAGAAGAGGACAACAAAATGATGAGTTTGTCGAGCTGGCCAATCAGCTTCCGTTACCACCTGGCTTGTCATCTCAGCTTGACAGGCTCTGCATCATGCGACTTGTTAACAGCTACATTAAAGTAAAAAACCTTCTTCACTCATATGTCTCAGAAGGTGAGGGGTTTTCCTGGCTTGTTAGACTTGATTCTTGGTACTTCCAGAGTTATTAACAAAAGCATTAATTGGAGCAATTTTGCAGTTGTATTATTGTCTCTGAACATAATCCTTTGGGTAGAGCAATAAGATTCACGTTTTAGCATGGCAGTGTTCTAGCAGTGCACGGCGACCCCTGGGGATTAACAGTTGCCTTTAGGTAACAAGGAAACTTAATCTTTCCACAAAAAGTATAAGACAACCTAGACTTATTTTATGGCTTTAGAGCTTTTGCAGTTCTTACACCATTCCTTTTGAGACATTGGATCCCTATGCCAGTGTTTGTTTTTTTAGTATTATTACAGCTGTGGATAAAGAGTCTGAGATTAGTCGGCCATTCAGCTATAGATAAAGAGTCTGAGATTAGTCTGCTATTTACCACTCTAAAAAGGGTTAAGATAACATTAAATTCTATAGTTTTGAATTCAATTTCCTTCAGGAGATAAAACTGTAAAAAAAATTAATGAATAATATTTTTATTATAAACACTCATATTAAAATTGCCAATTAACCTTTGTTATGTTTTCAGACATGAAGAAGATTGTTTCTTTCAATGTGGCTGACAGTCCACAATATGAGAAATCTGCACTTCAGGTTAGCTGTCTTGTTGTGCAATTTATTGTAAATGTATTAATTTGTATTTCACTGTGGCTTAGGTATTTTCAAAATCAAGCAGCAAATCTTGAGAATTTAGAAACCAATCTTCAAAGAGGAATTACAATTCAAAGAAAAGTTTCTGCCAAAAAAAAATACGGTTGTTCTGTACAGCATTGACTCTTAATTGAGGTTTTCTGTTGGTAACATTTTTGTTGGATGGTTTAATATGTCCCAAGCGGAACTACTTTGTATAAATAAAGTGGACAAGAAAAGAAAGGCCTGAATGACTTTTGATCTTATTTTAAAATCTCCTGATGTCTCATAAGGAAAAGTAAAGTAACATTTAACAGGGGTCACTTAAAGTTTCTTTGGTGACACCCCAATAAAGCTGATATGAGGCATCTGCTGATGATGCTGCAACTAAATAATGTATGGTAGACCCGATCATTCAGGATGTTAACATTAGAGTCCAGTTTGGGCTTGAGTGAAGTCTTTTTATTAGTCATTAACTGGGATGAAATTAGAGGATTGACAACAGCATTCTGGGTGGGGAATTAAATTGGAATAGGGTGGGGATTTTGGGAGTTGAAACCAAGATTTTCATGGCAAATTGCCACTGATTGCAGTCTGGTAATAATGAAGGGTTTTAAGGCTTAAAGCTGTTTGTTGTTCTTTATTTTAGGCACTAGATGGCTTTGTTTTTGTTGTCACTCCTGATGGTCAGTGCATTTATGTATCTGATAACATCACTCATTACATGGGACTCTCTCAGGTAAACACCTACTACTTTTGAAATGATTTTTAAGCTTTTTATGTTTTCATCTCCAAGGTAGAAGAATGTGTTATGTCACAGTCTTTGTAACACTTTGTTTACCCTAGATCTCTTTAAAAGTGAAAGGCTCTGAAACAAGCTTTAAATAGCTGAAAGTAAACAATGACAGCATTATTGCTCTGTAAGTCCAAGTAGACATCAGTAGATAAGTTGTGGAGGTAGGTTTGGAAGGGGGTGGGGGGTTACCCACCCTCCTTCAGGGGTGAAATAAGCATACTTAGCAAGGAGGAAAAGTTTGAAAATTATTGTGTGTGAAATGTTCATCCAAAAATGGTCTGAGCCCATTTTTTTTTATCAAACAGATTGAGGTGACTGGAAACAGTTTCTACAAATACATCCACCCATGTGATCATGAAGAACTAGCCAATCAGCTTGGAGGACAGATTCCACTTGAAGACATGGAAATTTTTGATGGATTGTTTTGCTCAGATTCAGTTTTCATGATGAGCAATCACTTGAAAGGAGGATCAAAGAACGTCCTTCATCAGAGTCCTCATAAGTCATTCTTCCTGCGCATGAAAAGCACTTTGACAAGCAGGGGGAAAAGTGTCAACCTTAGAGCATCCACTTATAGGGTAAATATGAAATCCAGATTTACAACATGTAGTTCTTTCCTTTAAGTATCCTGAGTTCAGGATGGTGACCTTGTTGATGAACAGTAATGCCTTCCTAATACATGTAAATATTACTACTTTATTTAGGGTGCTCAGAAGTTGAAGTCTTATCCAGAAATTTTAAAATCGTAAATCACAAGATATTTCTCTGGCAGTAGATTATTTTTTGAAATTACAGTAGACAGAATAAAATAATATTAGGTTCTGCATTTTTTATTTTTTAAAGGTTGTTCATTGTACTGGTTGCATGAAGATGACATTCAGAGTATCTGAATCAGGAGAGGAGGAACAAGTTCCATTGTTCATGGTAGCCATTGGTGTTCCTCTTATGTTTTCATCAACATTTGAGGTTCCACTTGATAGAGCAACCTTCACCAGTCGTCACAACCTTGACATGAATTTCCTGTCCTGCGATGAAAGGTTTGTTGTTGCCTTATTATCAAATTAAATTATTATGATGCGTTATTTTGGTTCCATATTTTTCTGCTAACATAAACTATTTATATTATTGTACTGGTGGTACGTTTTTGTTTTTATTATTGAGTAAAAGATAAAAAAAAAAAATTCGTGAAAATTATGAAATTTTGTGTGTGATAGAGAGCAGCTGTACTGCTTATACCTTTGGTGGATAGTCTATAAATACTTCAATACATTCGGATGTCGTTTCTCTAGCGTCAAATAAAGGGGTGAAAAGTAGCTCTTGGTAATGTCTGAGTAACTGCTAAGGTTCCCTAACTTTAAATTGCCTCATGTTTGCTTGCTAGGCAAGGGAGAAATATCATATAAGAATGAAACTCAGTTTGGGACTTTTTTCTATGCACCCTGTCATTCAAGATAAGGACATTGAAATATCATTTTATTTAAGACCTTACTTATAAACTTGTAAATTAGTACCTTAAAAAGGCGGCAGTAAAAAGGAGGCTAAGAGGATTTTCAATAAGATATTAAAAAGTATGATATTATTGTTCTTCTAACAGTGTTGCCAGCCTGTTGGGATTCAATCCTGCAGAGATTGTTGGCAAGTCTTGGTACCATTTCCAACATGCCTGCGACTTGGACTCTACCCTGGCCTGTCACAAAACATGTAAGTTAAAAAACCTTGATGCCATTACAGGCAACTCTTTTCTTCTGAAGAACGTTTAGACCACTGCTGTACATTTGATTTATCCATAATAATAATTATTGACTCTTGAGCAGAAAGGTTAAACCCTATGATCTTAAAGGTCAACAGTAGGTTTTCTACTTTTATTTCAAGTGTTAATGTCCTTTATGTTATGTTTTTTTACAGTGTTGACCAAGGGACAGTCAGTAAGCAAGTATTACCGGTTCCTGGTGCGCACTGGAGGCTGGGTGTGGCTACAAACAAAGGCCAATATAGTGTATGACAGCAAGTCTTGCCAGCCGCAGTTTGTACTCTGCACAAACTACATCATCTCGTACGTGTTGCCTACTTTTGTGTAGAACTTGACTTGTTTTCTTAAAACTTTGTATGTAACCAGCACTGCTTAAAAAGTACATTTTCTTCAATATTTAACATTTTTTGCTGAATGAATCCTCGTTGGATTAAGAAGTTAAAAAACTGTGACCTTGAACTGCGTGAAAAGTGGGATGACTTTGAGTGAATATGCATAGTGGTTTTCTTACACAAGCTTGAGAGAGGGAACAACGTAATATAGTACCATTGTATTCCAATTTTCATAGACAGGAGTCAGTATTAATTTAAACATGATCCTCCTTGTTACAAAAACACTCTTTAACATTCTTTTTGTGGGCCTTTTGTAGGAGGGCAGACCAACCGCAGCACATCCTCTCCACTGAGCAAGTAAACCCTATTCCAGCTCCTCTGGGACTGGACTTAGTAGTGAAGAAGGAACAACCCCAAAAACATGGAACAAGGAGAAAGCATTCTATTGTTCTGGAAGAACGAACCAAGGTGCTGAAGGCTGCAGCGCATGAGCAGAGAGATGTTGTAGCTAAACAGGAGGTGGACTTGAGCAGCTGTTGTGTGAAGAAAGCTCCCACAAGGATTGCAAAGAAAACATGTAAATGTTTGGAAGATGTTGACTGTGAACACATGAATTTCCAGGTGAGAAGATGTGAAGTTTAATATTATAGTCATAATAATCAATAAAAACAGTTATATTTTTATTCATAAGTATAAAACAAAGCTAAAAAAAGGATTTTGAATATGGATTGTTAGGATTCAATGTTCTTGTTGTGGTCAAAGTAACTAGTGCTTAAAGCTGGTAAATTACCGCCTTTTCCTTCCCAAACAGTGTTATAACAAGGTTATTTGTCACCCTAAGTTTTGAATCAGGACAAAATCCCATGGAACCTCTTTTGCAGAACTTTAGACATACAAGTGAATAAGGATATTTTAAGATTAAAACTGTACTTTGTGTCTTTTTACCTGCTAGAACCTTTATCGAACATAATAATATGGTTTTTTTGGCTCTATAGGATTGCCTACCAGTAGCATGGGACACCAATGATGACCTCATTGAACAACAGGAGAAGTACGAACAGATGCTACGTAGTCACTATGGTAACAAGCCTGGTACCCCTCCAGGAAGTAGTGTTGGAGAAAACAGAACACCATTTATTCCGTCACCAAGTGCTGACCAGAACATCAGTTCTGACAAAGACAAGGATGATGATGAGGTGGAAAACTACGATGAACGAGCGCCATTCATCCCACTCACAATTGACTCGGAACTGGATTGTGATGATGAACTACTAGTTGAAATACCATTCATTGATTCGCCCATGACGCCATCACCCTCATCCTGGCTTCTTAATGCAGATGAGAGTATTCCTTCCCCAGGTAGTGCATCCACATTTTTGCCACCAATTTTATCGAGCAAAGCTATCAGACCAACAAGCCTCTCTGCATCATCTTCACCAGAGACTGCACGAAAAGGAGTTCCCACAGCTGTGAAGAAAAATAGTTATGTCACAAATGAAATTCCATCAAAAGGAAAAGCTTCTTTCCCCTACGTTTCGTCATGGGATGCTGAGGTGAATGCACCTGTTCAGCACTGTGGACTCCTGCAGGGTGATGAACTTATTAGAGCTCTTGAGTGTGGAAATTTCCTGTGAACTGCACACTTAAAACAGGAACGTTTCAGTGGGTGATTTCATTGACACCAGTAGTGGTGATTGGACTTTACAACAAAGCTGCAGTTGTCTTGAAGACATTGTAGATAGGTACATTGTATACTTGCACTTAGTCATAAAATGACTAGAAAAATTTAGTCATAAACTGACTATAATCTTGTCAGGGAGGACCTAAGAGGGGCCCTGTTGCATTGTATAATAATTTCCATACCTATACCATACTTACCGTTTAGTTTTGAAGTCAGTCTGGAACGAGTTTTCTTCAGTTGTCAATGTTAACATAGTTTATGGTGTTAAATTGTATGCAGTAAAAGCTCATGTACCAGAACCTATATTTTCCAAGGTTATCCTCATAAGGCTTTTTTTTTGTATTTTGCTTCTTGTCTATTGAGAATCAAGGCTCCTTTTGCCAAACGTTAGAAAAGGTGCTTGCTGCTGGTCCAAACATGTTCCAGGTGTCCTTCTAAGTTAAGAGAAACTTAATATTATGTCTAAAAGTAAATCCTACTAAATATAAGGCTACGTCCCTATTTACCGTATTCAAGTTTTCCAAATAGAACCTTTTTGGTGGAACTCGCTCTCATTTATATAGGGTTTTGCCTACAGTTTCTTAATCACAAGGTTCTCATAGGTGGGTTTTACTGCATTGTTGATGTGCATGGAGATGCACTTCAATGTTTAACATTTACAGCTATATCCCAATGTCAAAGGATTTAAATTCTTCTTTGTTATCTCCATTCTTTCAACGCACAGTACAAATACATGTATCAAGAGAATCCAGCTGTTGATTCATGATTCACAATACAACAAGGAGAAGATTGGTTTGATCCCTGTTAAGATTGAAATAGGGTCATGCATTTGTTTGTTAATATTAAAATCCAGCAAAAGCAGTCAAGTACAACAGACAAAGAGGGGACCTAGCAAAGGTTCATGACAAAGAACAATTAACTGTCCATGTTTTTAAGATTGATTGGAATTTTTTCCTAGTATGACTTTAAATCAGTATTTCAAACAGTATTTCATTATACAGTGGAACCTTCTCTGGACAACCTCCAAAAATGTGACAATTTGCTAGTCACCTTGCAAAAAGTTCTTACAAATTATATTAATTTTGTAGATTTGACTGGGAATAAAAATTGGGAGTGTTTTGGGTAATATTGGTCGCTAAATAGAAGTGACTCTACCTTGTGATACATTATTGTGTAGTCATCAAAATTAATACTTGTAGGTAGTAACAACAAAAGTTTTACATCTGGTTTTATGTAAAATTATTTTTTGTCATTTCATGGGTATGAGTAAGGGAGTTAAATTTATTTGGTTGTTGTAGGATCATGCTGACATGAGAACATTTTTTTTTTAGCTTTTAATAACTGTAAGAGAGTGTTAATGTGCACAAAATATGCTATTTTTACTCTGTGCTCTTTGTCTTGAGAATAGGAAGTTCTACTGCCATAAAACAGGTTTTCTGTTAGTTTATGAGTAGGCTTATCTTCTCTTTGTGTTTTTTTTTTCAAACGTTAGTCTTGATTACTCTTAAGAGTTACTATTATACAGCATTTTTTACAAACGTACACCACACAGTTGCTTTTATCCTGAAAAAAAATTTTATTACCGCCATGCGCTATAAACAGAAGTATATTTGACTCGTATTTAACCTCATACAGATGTGCTTTGTAAGGATGTTCTGTTCCATGGCTGTTTAGTATACACCTATTTTGTTATAACCATGTTCCTCTAGAGCTTTTTATTAAGATTTCACTTTGATAACAGAAAATTACATTAATGGTCTACTAGCAGTTAATACTATTAATTGAGGTTTTAGCTTTTACTATGTGTTGTAATAACATAATGCCCAACCATATAATTCAGTGTTCACATTATAAGGTTATGTTGTATTTGAATGTACTCAAAGTGATATTAAATACATCAGTGATAAATTCTGCTATCTTACTGGGTATAATAAGATATATTTAAGCCTACAGTGCTAGTTTGCCCATTACCCTGTTTTTTTTTTATTATTTCACCAGTGGAAAGTAGGTAAAAGTGAAGAGGAGCTCCCCTAAAAGTTTGTCGGCCGACAGTATACCAACAGTTTACCAACACTGAAAAAAAAGAGGTGTTCCCTTGCGAAATGGAATTGAGAATTCCTAGGAATTCCTAGGATTTTCCTAAGAATTTATTCTTAGGAATTCTTAAGAAATGTCACTCGACCCTTACTATGCATTCTCTTAGAATCTGAGTCTCCCAAGAATTGAGTAGGGGTAGGTAAATTTGATTCTCTTTGTAATGGTGACAAATGAGTTTGATTCCCTCTTCCTGGGGGATGTTAGTGCAGAGAGAACACACGTCTAATGTAGCTAAAATTCTTCATCGTAAACGGTAAACGACAGGCGACTGTTGGCCAACAGTTTTTTGGGGGAGCTGTTCTTCACTTTTTCTGGAAAGTACAGCACATGTGGTTTAAGTTATAGGAATTGGCTATATGTGTAGTAGCCAGTACATGAATGATTTGTGTGTTTAAGTTAACTTTGAATACACTAAGGCTCTTAATTCAAATTCAGAACCCAGTTCTCAATTTAAGGGATATCGTGTCATGCGTGAAGGGCACACAAAAGGAGAACTTTATCTTTAGGCTTTCTTCACTTGTTACTTGAAAAGGAAAGCTTGCTCTCATGCAACCCAAACTCTTCCCAAAACCTTGTGAGCTAATTTTTACCCCCGAGTTATGGCTTATGTTTTCGCCTAGAAGGTGCTTGTTTAGTACCAAAGGTTTGTTATTGCCATTTCTAAGAGCTAAAACCTGTACATTCCTCCAAAAAAAAACCACAAAGAGAGTAGACTTGACTTGGAATAACTTTGCTTTTCCATCTGCTATACTCTGACCCATTTCTTCAGGTAAAAAATTTATTCTCCTATGTTCACTAATAATATTATTGTTTAAAGGTATGGTGCATTAATGGTGCCAGTTTCACCTCTCTTGCAGCCAGTGGCCTGTAAACAATAATTATTAATTTCGCATTGGAAATGCTAAAACTTCAATAAATGCTGCAGCGTTCAAACTGGTTAATAGGGCAGTCAAACTATTCCTTTAAAGAAATGTCTCTTCCAAGCTTCCTCTCTCTTTCTCTAAGATCTCTTAAGATGGGGATGTCCTTTAACATTTGTGGTGTGATTCTTGACCACTGTATTCCAGTTGGCCTTAGCTGTCTTTCCACTTTACAATGGATTACTCTTGTTGGTGTTATGATGTAATCCACCTGTAAACAACGAGAAAAGAACAATGTGTGACCACATGCCACTAGCTAGCATGGTACTGTTATTTTGAATTTTCATTCTCAAACACTGCTTTGCATAATAATGATGAGGACAGGCCCTCATGCATTATGCTGGCAGGTGCCTGCCATGTCGCAAGGATATTGCTGTTTTAGGTCAATTCTGTACTGAATGCATGACATATCCCCTTCAAGTGCAGCCTCATTATTGGCCAAGATGTCGTCGTGTGCCAGGTTTGTTCAAAATCATCTAACCTCTGCTTAAATGTAATTTATTGAGGGATTAAATGATCATTAGTTTTTCATGTTACCTTAGCGTGGTGATTTGACTTTCATACATTTTTTTCTTTCACTTCCTTGTGGCAAAGTTGCAAACTACTTTGTCAGTTAGTTAAGTCTCCAACAGAGTTATTCAATCCTGACAACCCTGAAGAAAATCTTCTGCAATTATTCCAATGACTTTCCCCAGCTAATCTCAATTTTGAACATACGCCCTAATTTGTGTCTAAAGATTCTCTCATATAGAGAGCCATTGCCATTAAAGTTGGGTAGGAAAAGTAAAATAGACATTACTGCTGTGTGACCATGGATAATTTGTGTTTAGTCAAAATTTCCTACCAGACAATTGTCTTAAGGATCTTACCTCTATGAAATGGATCTCAAAGTGTGAAAAGTGCTAATTGCTAAATTCTACATCCTGTTCATATTTTCCAAATCTTTCTGATGTGCTCTTGATCTACAGCAGATGCCAGAAGCCTTTACATAACCCGATTCCCATGGTCACTTATGACTTGTGAGGGAGTTCACCCTTAGCTTATGATCTAATGGACATTAGCTGATAAATTTTGATTTACCGTCAAATCATGATCATCTGTCAGCTCATCTGGAATATCCACTATTTGACAGTCATGGACAGTTGTAATAACAACAGTGTTGTGATTGACAGCTCCCATGGTAACCATCATTGCATATTCCATATCAGCATATCCTTCACCTTTACCAATGCGATACCCTGTAAGTTGGAATAGAAAAGCTAAGGGATAGTTAACTGTTTAAGTCACAAGAGTGACCAATGTCAATTTTTTCCCAACAATATTTATATGTTATCAAGAGGAAAGCTTATGAGAGTTAATCAAAATTATACAATACAATACTTTATTCCAGAGATAAAAACTAAAGTTACAAAATATCTCTTGAAAGGGGATATCTAGAGGTTAACCCTATATGAGAGATTCCCCAAAATAAAAGATGAAAAGGTAAAATCTAGAATCTAAAACATTATAATTATACAGAGAGAAATATCTAAAACCTAAAAACTGAAATGAAAAACATTTGCATATCATAATATTGAAACTATTTACCACTGTATTAATCAATATTGATATGCGTGTATAACACCTTTATAGGCAAGTTATTCCATGCATTAACGATCCGTACCAAGAAAGAATATTTGTAGCAGTGGTCAAATGGTCAAATGAAATGGTCAAATGAATAATAAAAATAATTAATGCTTTGATCCTTTATCATACTCCCTCGACTTATTCTTTAAGATATTATAATGTATGGAGATCAGTTCTTAGAATATTGTATTTTTATATAGGGCTTAATTAAAAGGTTTAGAAAACAAAAAAGAGAAACATAATGGGCAAAAGCATTTAGGGATTGTTCATTACATAGAAAGAATGGAAAACATGAGAGTAGAGTTGAACTTCTTTATTCCTGCCTCAAGAATGTTTCATTCTTTTGCATATATTGGCCAAATCAAAATACATCCATTAAGCTCATTTGGTCAAGATAGCTAGACATGTTTGCATGTTTTTTCATAAGGGGTAAAGACTTTTCCTCACTCCTGGGGTAGAATAATCCCTTAAATTTCTCATGGGGCCTGACTGGTTCTAGACAAGACACCTTTGTTCTGAATATAAATATGCTATCTTCATTTGACTGTGAAAAAAAATTACTGAATGTTTCAGGGAGAAATCTTGAAATGGTGCTCCTGGAGTGTCGGGGAGGCAAAACCATACCCCGTCATTTGGCTCATCTCAATATAGCCCATATAATGGGACTACCCCCGACAGAGCACCCTCGGTGGGGTATCCTGGAGGAGTACCCCCTTTCAGGTCCCTATTTTTCCTCATAAAGTAAGCAGTTTATAGTTTTCATACGTGCTAGTCTATTTTCCCTGCGGAAAATAAGAGGCTAATAATTAGAAAAAAAGAAAGCTTGTCTACCTATTATTATAGTCTAGCTTTCATTTTTTCCTGCCCCAAATACAAATTTCTAGCCATGATCTAAGACTGTAAGGGTCACTCAAACTCCCTTCTTTCCATAAGACCATTTGAGAGTGACACTACATCAGAATTATTTTGCATGGCAAGCAATGCTTACACATGCATGCATGTATGCACAATAATTCTTAAAGAGCTACAACTGTCTTTTAACAGTACTTTACCTTTTGTTGACACTGCAACGGACCCTATAACAATAAGATCAATGTTGACTTTATGATCCAGACCAACAGGAGTACTATGGTTTGTAATACCCTCTTTAGTTGCACACTTCTTAAGCGTGGCAGTGTTACTATCAGAAGGTGGAACAATGCGATTGAACAAACCATTTTTTAATCTTGGCGTAGGAACCAATAATACTTTATTTTCCTCTAATGCCTTGTATCTCACAAATTCTTGCGGTTTATCTGGGTTAACCTTCACAGTTTTAGCATTTTTGAATGTTTCCATAGCAACAACCTTTTCTCCAGCTGCGTTTGCACCCTTAAAATTCGGGATTCGGTGGTGAACAGGTCGAGGATAGTTGGCAAGATTGTTCCTTTCCATATGATCCCATATACGCTGACGAATGGCAGCTTTTGTTGTTGTGTTTGCTGCCTTATCGTTCATTTTGAATAACAAAAATACTAAAGAAACACTTTCTATGGCCAGAAATGAATTTTTTTTCTTCAAAATTTTAGAGGAGCGGCGCCATATTGCGGATGTGAAAAGTACAAAAGATGAAGTACTGGGTTCCAGTGCTTGGTCGTGCCTAGGTCTCCGCGGGGCCGGGCTGGGTTCAAAGTTTAATTAAATCAATGCAATAATAATTAGAGATTGGAAGGATAATTACCGAGCAAACAGCGGATGCCTTAACAAAGGCCGTCAGTGTTTTCAAGGAAGTTGACTCCGAATTTTTTTTTGACAGTTTACCATTTTCACACATAGTAAACATTGTAAAATACTCACTTACACCTGAACATGTGCACTGATACTCCTCCCATTCTATAAAATTACTATAAAAATTATAAAATGAGAAGTTCTGTATTTGACAGATTATCAAACTGTAAGTAGATAATTAAAACGAAGCATCGAAAAAAGCAAAACAAGACCTATCTCAAATGTGTTCAGACGGTTTCAGTTTGACCCATTCGTGGGTGAAAAAAAAAAAAGACAAAAAAGGCCTTTGGGGACCGGAAGGTTTTCTGGACTTGAAAACAGGCTCACGTGTTTGGGTTTTGTACTGGCTGTGGTGCGAGGAGTGTTCACCTGGAAAGGTATTTTGGGTGTCTCGGGATAAACACAGGAGACAATTATAGACAGACATTGGGAGCTTTAGCAAAGGCGTTTTTGAGCGACGTCCGTCAACAGGAAGTAAGACCTTTTCTCTTTTGACCCGACAATTTGGGCAAAACGTTTCCCAGGAGTGCAAAGAGTATACCACATGCGTCGCTTAAAAACGCCTTTGCTTATCTAGGCTTCCATGTGTCGACCGGCGAAGCTATGACCATGGAAAAAAGTCCCCTTGCTGTTCTCGGATAGAAACGCCGGTTACTAACCAACCAGGTTTAGCATGAAAAATTTTTAACTTTCTTTCGGAACCAACATTTGTCGAATCTCAGAAGAAAGACCGAGCAAGAACTGTCCGAACTGTGGCAATATTGTTACCTAGTCTAGTGCCTAAAAATTGTTTCTCGAAGTTTGAGATATGTCCAGCTTAAAATTGATATTTAACTGAGAAATTTGGCTTTGGACAATTTTCCATCTCCTTGCTGTTTCTGATCGTTTTGGTATTTTTGTCATATTACGCATTTCTTGACGTGTCAGGTGATCAAACTTCGAGGTAAAAAAAAATTGATATGAGACTTAAATCAAGTAGATTTTGGGACACATTTTTAACGCGGCAGGGCCTTCAATTAATCTGATTAATTGGGAAATGAAATGCGATTAAGTTTTTAACATGACTGATAAAGACGTAACGTGAAAAAGCAACCTTGTATTGCACGTATTTCTTGGTTCATTTTTTAAATATCAATAGCATGATTTCACTGATCATTCCCTCTTTTATCTCAAAGAAGAATTCCCATATCTCTCAATTCTTTCTTTAAAAGCCCCAAATCTGAAGAAGATAACGCCAGTCCATAAAATCAGTTATCTCTCATTGCAAGATCAGTTATTACTGGATATGCCAAAACTTCTCGTCTGATAGACCGAAGCAGTGTGAGGGACAAGTCACCAAAGGGAAAAAATATCTTTTTTAAAAAATGGAAAACACTAACTTTGACCTGTCTAAATCAAGTCATAGTAATTATGATCAGACTAAAACGCAGTAAATTTCAAAATAGATCTGATTATTTTTCGTGTTTGACGTTCTTTATTACTTGAGTGAGCCTTTTTTCAATCGATGTTTTATGCTAATTTAAATTGCAGATAAGAATGTGGTTTCGACAGAGAAAGGTATAAACTTTTAAAGCCGACTAATAATTTATATCGGGATAATTTCTCTCGGTTCCCGACTGAGAACTAACGCCCCGTAACAATGAATTAACCTGTCAGCCAAAACAAAATTATCGATAAATACTGATAAGAATGGATTGAGGAAAGATTTTTTGCGGAACACCTGTCTCGCATAAAACGTTCCGGATACGCGCAACCGATCAGCATCGACAAGGCGAACGAATAGACCCTTTAAATACTTCTAAAACCGGCAAGTTTATAGAATCACCAGTAAATGCATTATCTGTGTTTCGTAAAAAATTACTCCCAGAGATCGACGGAATTATGTAGGAACATTAACTATGATAACTGATTTAAACGCAAGCCATTAAGCGGAAGTGTTGTTTTCTTCTAGCGTTGTTTGTTTATTAGTAGTTTTACTGTTCAAGATACAAAACTTTACCCTAGAACATTGTTTTATCTAGAGTTGAAGTCCTTAGCGATAATTTAACACGAAGATGTGATAGTCGTTAAGGTTTCCTCGCTTTTGAAAATGTTAGTTGCTTTAACTGTTTTTCCGCCAAGCTTTTCTTGATTGCTGTTAAAGTGAACTCTCTTTTTCCTGCGTCGCTTTATCTGTCTAAATATGAAGCTCAAACGGGGATTTCGCAACGCATATATCAGTGGATTAACACATGAAGACGTGAAGGCGAGGCATACGATTAATGCTTTTACCTTCGTTATTTTGAGGCCAGCTGGTTCAGGCTGTCGATGTAACGAGATGTATAACGACACTACACAAATTGGCAACCAGCAACAAAGGTGAAGAATCGATATAAAAAATATAGTGCGAGCAGTTTTAAGTTCCGCGAAAAAGCGAATCGTTCGCTGATTGCCAACACCTAAAGGTCGTATACTGTGAGTACCTGTTCTAAGCGTCCTGGACATTTTTAAGAATAATGAAACCATTAAGGTCGTCGGAAGTAAAAGACAAATGATCACATAGGTTATGTTGAAAATCCTTAATGTTTCTTTGCCTCGATAGCTTAATAAAGGAAAACAAACAAGTGCATAAGAAACATTTAGAGCTGTTGAACACTGATCCTTAGCTGATTTTTCTTCTAATACAGCCCACACAACAGCAAAAACCAGGGCCCATAAAGATGCAATAAATATAACCATTCCCGTTTTTTTTGCAGAAATTTTTTTACTGCCTGAATGTTTTACCACGTAGTACCGTTCAATAGTCATAAGTGTAAGAGCAAGGTTCGAAAGTGCGGCGAACCACTCGAAGAAAAATCCAATAAAAACGCAGAGCCATTGATTGGACAAAAGGGATCCATTGCTCAGCGACACTGCTCTTAGATACGGTGGTATTGAAAACAATGCAAAGAGGAACTGAACTACTGCAGTATTCACAAAATAAGCGTTGGTCACCGTGTGTAATTGATAGTGTCGTGAAACTATTATACAGACAGCACTATTACCCAAAACACTCAAAATCAAGATGACGAGCAAGAAAGTGTTCACGGCCGTCTCCGAGAATTCTTGCGGCACATCGTCGCAAAGCAAAGTGTCTGTGTCCAATGCGACCATCACTGAGTTGTTTATCTCCGCAACGAAGCGAGCCACGCAAAAAAGTTGAGAAATGCTTTTGAAGGTGAAGAATATAATACGAGTGGATTCGCGTTTTGAAGCCACCAAGAGAGGATACTCAAAAATGACACTGAAGACTTTGACTTCGCCGGGCGGCGTTCAGCTAGAACAGTCTTGCGTTGTGAACAGGTTCATGTGCGGTGTGATTTACGCGATGCGGGTAAAAATAGTGCTTGAAAATTTATATTAATCGAAGGAAGTTAGCTAGCTTGGGTGTTTTTTTGTAAATTCAAAGCAAGATGCACAAAAAATAAGGAGGCAAAATTTGAATATTGAGCTGTCAATGAATAATAAAAAGTGACGTCAAAAATGGAAAAAAAAAAAAACATTAGAAGATTATTGGTGGATAAACACACGCAGCTCGCATGTGTACTTTTTCATTGAAAAAGGATTTTATTATAATGTGAACAGATGTTAGCAAACAGGAAACTGTCAGGCGAAAACTAATTACACCTAATACCTTTGAAAAGCTCTAAAAATATACACATGGCGAAATAAAAAGTAAAATCTGAACCCCTTTCGAATTTTCTTGCTTAACCAATTTTACTTAGACCAATTAACCATATAAAGACAAGAGGTTATAGAAATGTGGGTGCAAAATTTTCCCACGCTGAAAATTGATTTTGTATTAACAATATTTCATAAATTATTTACTGAATTTTAATTTCACCTTTTCCTTTCTTCTCTTTGAAATTCAAAAGGGACATATGGCTAAATGCAGCCTCTTTTGGCCTTTGAAGTTTCCCACCATGCAAATTTGGTTCTCTTAATGTTTGCTAGGATGATTACTCACTATACTGTTTATGAAAACGAATGCTTCGGCGTATATCTTTTGGCGTATATGGTAAAAAAAAACTGAAGGCTTATAGATAAAAGAATCGTAGATAAAAAAACAAATAAATAAATGAATAAAGATCATATTTTCCACCTCCTATGTAAGCAATTGTGTTTCCCTGTTTTGTGATATTTATTAAGGTTGCCAGGGAGATCTTTTTGTTACCATAGCCGAAGCAGCGATTTAACTGCTTCCCAGTTCCTCAGCTGATCGTTTCTGGGGGCGAGCGGGACCGAAGGGAGAGACGGGAAGGGGAGAAACCCGCTCGTGCCTCCTCGTGCCTCGCGCTCGTCCGAGGAAACAAACGACATGTCACGACGCCACTACTGGTTTCCCCGCGCAAAATGACCTTTGAGAAACGAGCGCAATACTGATGACGTGTTACTACCCAGATCTGGGTAATGCTTCTGACTGGCAACGTTTTTGTTTGTCTGACTGGTTGAAGCAAATTTCCCATGCGGCTCGACCAAAAAAAAAAAACAAAAAAATTCTTTCTTTGAGTGTCAATGCATTTAGCACGAAAGTACTAATTGGGGACACTATTTTTACGTCTCCTACTGGAGACGAGACCGCCATTTTACGTGGTCATCCAAGCCACGCGAAGGTCTAGCCATTTGCAGAGCAAAGGCAGTACCTTCATTTCTCAGTTATTTTTAGACCCTGAGTATTGATCCTGTCCCGGGAATCGAACCCGCCACCTCCAGCTCTGCCATCAAGTGCGCGCTCTACCGACTGAGCCAATCCTGACGCGGTTGATCAATCAGAAGTACTACCCAGATCTCGAAACTCCTGAAATCTCCTGAAATCTCAAACCTGGGGGAAACCAGTAGTAGCTTCGCGAATTTTGGCTGTTTTCCTAGGCTACGCGCTCGTTCCTTAGGGTTAGGAAACTGAGTGAATCACGTTTCAGGTCAGTTTTCCCTTTATAATGATCCTAAATGGAACCTGATTCTCTTAGTTCACTAGCCTACGTGGCCGGCGTTGAAAGGGGAAGGGGAAGGGGGAATTTGAGCGTGCGCGAGAGCGTGTGGGGCGCGTACAGGGGAAAGGAAAGGAGCGTTCCTTTCCTTTCCCCCTCGCGCGCCCCACACGCTCTCGCGCGCGCCCAAATTCCCCCTTCCCCTTCCCCTTTCAACGCCGGCCACGCAGGCTATTAGTTCACTAAACTTCAGCAGCGAAGTCAATTTTGGGTAGTCCATTTGGGTAGTCCAACGGGTCAGTCCATGGACTGGTGGTCAGTGTCTCGTTCTAATTTGCTGGTTTTCAAACTTCGGAACTGTAGGCCTGGATTCAATTTCCCCTAAGATAACACGTTTTGATCCGATTCGAACAGCTTTGGTCAACTTTGTTGGACACTTTACCACGACTTACTTGCGGTAAATATTCTTCACCAAAATCAACTGCTTCCGCTGACCACAACTGCCTAATGGCTTTGCAAAGAAGGCACACCACCACTGCAATAAGTGCAATACAGCGTCTCCAAAGTAAAACGCTTTAGTTGTATTTATTTTAGCCAAACATTTTTAACAGTTTGTAAGAACTAAACTCAAAATTAGCGTTAGTCAATTATGGCAATAAGATGGACGCAAGAAGTCGATGGAGGCCCTCGAAGAGTAAATCATGCTGCGGTGTCAATTCGGAATCGTTTTATTTTTAGCTTTGGAGGTTATTGTACTGGAGAGGAATATAACCAAATTGTCAAGATAGATGTGCACGTTTTCGATACAGGTGAGGCTGTATAGTTACAATTTATACAGCGGAGACAGCGCCTGAAAATTGATGACGAGTGTTGGCTAAGTGTTTTGCGGAACGTGTTGGTTTACATCTTAATTTTGAGGAGGGTCGAAAACGTACCGGAAATGTATTGTTTTCGGACTATGCACAACAAATATTTGCATAAAATCACTGCTTTGTGTTTTCAGAGGTTTTAACAGGTTGTTGATAATTTTCAAGCCTACATTCGTATCCTATTTAGATATTTAGAATTTTCCTAAACGTCCATTTTGACATGTGAGATGCACTTGAGCGAGCGTGTTTATTTCGGATTCGAAGGCTCTCAGCTTATTAGTTTGTGATTAATAAATTATGCCACCACAAGCAAGTGGGCAGATTGTGTTGTTTTTGTTCGTAAAAGAATAGCACATACTAGGTAAGATAAAACACCGCAATTATTCGAGGCATAAAAAATGTTCAGACTAGCTATTTCATTAAGTTGTTGGAACATTTCTTAATCTGTTTGTCACTAAACATTTTTTCTCGTGGGTGCAATACTCGTCTTATTATGGATGTGAATCAAATCGTTTATGCCGAAGCTGGATAGTTATTTACTTGCTCAATTCACAGCTTTGTGTCTTTAAGTTCTTTTGAAAAGGTTATTTTTGCTTGGAACATTGATTTTACGATGTGAGTCTTAGAAAAAACTTAAATCAGTGAACTTTCAATCAGATTGTCCCATGCATCTCCAAATTTGTCATGCATCAACAAAGTTAGTAACAGCAGCGTGAACCTGTATATAAAAAATGTGCCATTATTATTTTACTGATGGAATTCTTTTTCTAATCTCCACGTCTGGACTCATTAGTGCTTTCTCTGATTTACAAATACTCATAGTAAACATATACATTCCCTTAAATTTCTGAACAGTGCCATGCCGATGGATGAAGATCTCTGCTTCTTCTCCAGAAGGTTATGAATCCATTCCATACATGAGATATGGTCACAGTGCGTCAGCTATTGGGGACTTAGTTTATATATTTGGTGGAAGGAATGACACCTATGGAGCCTGTAATACTCTCTTCTGCTTTGACACAGGTGATCCTTTTGACTGAGGGCCTGTTTACATGGAGGTGGGGGACCCCAGATAGGTGCGGTAACATGTGGTGGGTCACACCACCTATCGTGTTAACGCGATCAAAGTAAAATGAGAGATTATATGGACAGGCGGGTTACCCCACTTAGGCAGGTTACCTCACTTACCAGGGGTCCCCCACCTCCCTGTAAACAGGCCCTAATTGTTAAACAGTACTATGGTTCTATGTCTAGTGGACTTAGGTTATATTCACACTAAAGCGGATAGCTTTTGCGCTGCCACAAAAATCATAGCGGAAAGGGCTTGTGCTCACTCACAAGAACGGTTGTGGTGGTGCGATTTCTGTGATGGAGCAAAGCTGCACAGTGCTGATCTCGAGTGTAGAGGGCACATATTGGATAGTTGGTTTTTTGCCATACTTTGGTACAGTGTGAACACATATTTGGCCCATCACAGAAGTAAATAAGTAGCAGTGAGGACTGGAAATAATTAGGAGTGAGAACTGGAATTTAGTGCACCAAACCCCCCTCAGCCAACCACAGCAGCGCGATGTTCAATGTGTGTGAAAGACTTGTACCACCCCCAAGCTGTTGCTGTTCTTATTTTACCAGATAGCTTTTTGTAGTACCATGAAAAGCTAAAATGTCAACATTGGTCCTGTTGTGTCACTCTGCATGCCTGGGACAGCGGAGGCTGCTGACCAGCATTGTTTCGCATTTAACTTAGCTTAAATAACATTTGACCACATCATAAGTTATTGTTGTTTCTGTCATACTCAGAAAACTGTGAGCACCTGAAGTATTTCAGAAATGTTTATTGTGTTGTGGCCAAACAGAACAAAGATCAGGACATGGGGGGAAGCCACAAAACCACAAACTTATTACCGTTGTTAATTGCAATTTAGCTTTCTGACAACTGATTGACTTTTTCCTTGCAACTCAATAAAATGAGGGCATAGCCAAGCGGTTAGAGCAGTTAGGGCACTGTATTTGTTATTTTGAAGCCCCAAGTTCAAGTTCCCTAACTAGACTGCTAACTAGATTTGTTCTTGGTAGTCTAGAGTTGAAATCATCGGCTACGCTTGTAAAATAGCCAACTGGTTAACCTAGAACCAGTTAGAAATATTAACCATGTTATGTTCCATTTAAATTATTTGTTTTATTTATCCCTGGAAAGCCCCATAAGGGAAGTGGATAATGAACTATTTAAATATCTCTGGTGTCCATGATTTTCTGAGTTTCACAATAAAGTTTTGTGACCTGTTTGTAGAAACTTGCAGCTGGTCCAGACCTAAAGTGAATGGAAGACCTCCAGCTGCACGTGATGGACATACAGCTTGTGTTATTGATTCAAGGATTTATATTTTTGGTGGTTATGAAGAAGAGGTATGATCCTGACCCTTTCTTGTCTACATTGTTTGCAGCTGATGGGGAAATGTGTAGATTTTAAGAGATTACTGTTATTAAAGTCTGTGTCAACTAAGACCTCTGGCTATAAGGTTTACTAATTTACTAAGGTTTACCAATTTTTGGCAGGGTTACTGCAACAGTGTCAATACTACACCGATGTACGGGCCTGTAACAGTCCATCCCCCCCATGAGAGATAGACCACACCACCGGGGACTCATGTATGTCCCCTATTTTTTATGAGCAATGTGTGGGTTCTTTTATTAATGTCCCACGGAATTGAAATTTACATGTGCAAGGGTTGTGAGACAGGACCTATGGTTTATCGTCCTTACCCAAGAAGACAAAAGACCCTGATTTTTGGTCTAGCCAGGGTTTCAACCAGCCGCCTCCCCTTCGGCAGGGTGGTGCTTATCCAACTAAGGTATTAACTGGGTGGCAGTAAAGAGGAACGCCTGACTAAGATGGTCACTCAGTGCCGTTCCCAACAGGGTCCGTTTTAGGAAGAGCTGAGTCTCTACATGATACTAGAGCTGTGAGTTAACTGTAGTCCTTAAAGGGGTTGTGTTTTGGCTGGCTACTTTATTTTGTTTATAATGCCAGTTATGCATCCATATTTTCTATAAACAAACTCTTGTTGGAATGTTTGAAAAGGTGGCGGCAGCTGCTTAATAGAGGTTTAAGTTCACATTCTTTTCTACAAAAAAATTATATTATTTCGAGACTTTTATTGATGGCCGCTTAATAGGTGGCCACCTAATGGAGGTTGACCTGCTCTTACAAGTTCTGGTTATACCTAATCCTTTAAAGTTATAACTGTGTGACTCTATTTTTTAAGGGGGAGTGTTTCTCCAACACTGTTGAATATCTGGACACTCAAACATTAACATGGCATGCACCCAGAGTAATGGTAAGTTTATTGTAAAATCTTTCTGTTGTGGCTAATTTCTTTGCAAGGGTATTGATCAGTACTTAACACCCTAATCACTATTGTCAGTATTTTTACATACTGTAAAATTCTGAAAATAAGCCCCTCCATGTATAAGCCCATCCAAATATAAGCCTCTCAAAATCGTAACGCAAAAAAACCCTCTGTTAAATCGTCCCTCCAAATATAAGCCTCCCGGGGGGCTTGTACTTGGAATTTGCCCTTGAATACAAAGTAAAACAAAGCAGAAATGGTAAATTTCCTTCCCACTACAAGCTAGCCCAATCGAATTTGAAATGCAAATTTCCCTCCGTACATAACCCCTCCAAAAATACGCTCCTCAAAAAGGGCCTTTGAAAAATATAAGCCCGGGGCTTATTTTCGGAATTTTACAGTAGGTTAGAAAAATCAACTTAGCTTAAATCAAAATTAACCTGAAATCAAATTAGACCTGTAACATATATTCAGGGCAAAAATGATGTACTGGTGTTTGTACAAACTAGCTTGAATAATTGGAGGAATTCTTTGTTTCTGTTCTTCAGGGTAAACCAGCCAAATGGCGGGACTTTCATTCAGCAACTGCTGTTGGAACAAACATGTACATTTTTGGAGGAAGAGGTAAGATTGTATTCTCTGTTCAATGTACTGTTAACAACTGAGTGTACAATCACACATCCTTGTAAACCACCCACATGTACTACCCAAAATACAAAAATCAGAAATTGTTGTCAGAACCTCTTAGGACATTAGATTTTGTCATATTGGGTGGTCAATACTAATTTAGGGAAATGTTTTCTTATTCATAGAGATCACTGCTTTTTTTGTTACAGGGGACAGAAGAGGGCATGAACACAGTGGTGAAGAAGTTTATTCCAATTCTGTCAGAGTGTTTGATACAGGTGTGTTGGGTTTGCTTGGTTCCATGTTATTGGCCAGCTCCTGGTACAAACTGTCTAACTTGGGCAACTGCAGAAAAATCTGACTAGCAGGAATTAAATGGCACAACACTTATCTGAGCAACACTATTCCTTCAGTCTAGACATAATTTGTATAGCCAACCAAAAAGATTTACATGTGCTTGTAATGTCATTGACACCCAGGGAATAAAGACTTACATGTATGAGTAAGGAACCCATCTGTAGAAGAAAAACTGCTTGGGGAACCATTACACAGAAGAAGATCCAGGAATCATCCAGCTGTGGTCTTTATTGATCAGTTACAATCTAGAATGAGACACTTGACTACAAAGACTACTTCGTCATTCAGCACATGTGGTAACGCTACACAAATAAATGTACATTATATTGTGTGAAACACTGTATTCTTGGTTTCATCTTTGCAGTAAAAAACTGTTGGTTTAAACTGAAAACATCTGGAGAGGTACCAGTTGGACGACGCAGTCACTCAGCAGGTTGGTTAATTTACATAAAGTGGTTTCTTGGGAAAAAATTGCTTGCCCTTCTGGAAAGCTGTTGATCAAGTTTACTTGCCCAGAGCAGTCACACTGGCCCCAAACTTTGTTTTGCACTAACATTCACTTATCCCAGCAAATATTGCTTGCCTATTGAACAACTTGTTAGTAATTAAAAGAAGCTAGCCTTATAGGGCACGCCATTAACCCAGAACTATCATGCAGCCATTTATCCCACTCCGCAAACTAAATAATAATTTTTATTTATATTAATTTGTTTTATTGTTTGTTTACAGTTGCCTATGGCAAACACATTTTTGTGTTTGGTGGTTACAATGGACTTGAAAGGAAACATCATGGAGAGGTGTATAGTTTAGATGCAGGTGTGAATTCAGTGAAGCAAATATAGATAAGAGTGCTTTTTTTTTGAAAATCAGTGTTTGTTGACATATTTTGGATATTTATACTATGCTGTAGCTGGAGCAAAGGACGTTTGACCAAGGAAAGATTTTTTATCATCTTTACTCACATACCCATGCAAAGGTCATCTGTCTGTTTGTGTGACTGGTTTTTAAAGATCCATCAGTGTTATTTATGATGTTTATTATTATTGTTAGTTTATCAGGCATTTACCTTGAGATACTTTCATAAATACGTATTAATAGTAAATAATATAATATATTCTATAGAATAATGTATCATTAGGATATTGGATATTTTCTGTGAAGAAGTTATTCTATTGACTGGTGTACAACAGCAATTAAAAGTCTTAATCTGCAATTATGAGGGACAAAATATTGTTGTCCAGGGTGCGTTGTGTAACATAGAAATCTTTGATCTCCTCTCCACCATTCTGAGAGTTGGTTTGCTTTTCAGACCCCACAGGCCACCTGACCGGCAGCGTAGCATTACATGATGGATTTTAGGGGGGGAGGGAAGGGAGTTACACTTTTGATTACTTGGGGAGCCAATGTGGCTTAGCGGTTATAGCGCTGGATTTGTGATCTGGAGTCTCTGGGTTCAAGTCGCTCCCTGACTGCTAGCTGGATTTGTTGTCGGTAGCTCTCATGCATCCTCATCCATGCTTGTAACAGAGCCAACTGGTTTGCTTCCCACCAGTTGGGATTCTTAACCATGTCATTTTCTATTTGAATAATATTATTTCTTTCATTATCCCTGATAAGCACCAGGGGAGAGGATACTCAGTATTTAACTTTTAGTTTACTTTGTGGCAAGTTTGAATGATTGTAAATAATGATTTCTCTTTTTTGCTGTTTTGTCTTAGAAACCAAAGTGTGGGTTAAGCGGAACGTCTCAGGCCATGGTCCGTGTCCACGCCGAAGACACTGCTGTTGTCTCATAGGATCAAAGCTCATGATATTTGGAGGCACAAGGTAAGAGATTAGCCTGATTATCATCAGTAACATAAGGAAAGGGATTGTACTCTTCAAACCCAACATCAATCACCTGCTTACTATCAGGTGCCCCCCCTCTTACAACCCCATCACTGACCTGCAATGCAAGATGAGTTTGTGTTTTTACAATTTGCAGCCTTTTGTAGGTTGAGAATTAAACTTAAGTAGGCCATAGTTTTTATTTTCAATTAATGTTTAATGCTTTAATTCCATATTACCTGTCTCAGTTTTTGTCCACTGGAAAATCATACACATACAGCTGTAGTATGAAATGATGGATGGCCCCAGGGAGGATTAGCATGGTTTTAATAAAATGAGTGAAGTGCTTGTGAGCACTTTAATACAAAATTCTTTGTTGAGCCTGGTTTTCTTACTGTTGCTTGTATTCATAGAATGGCCTCCTGTTCTTTTGCATGTTTCCTTAATTTAAGCACTTTCATGTGGAACACCACTTGTTAGCTTAAAAAAGAGAGAATGAAATGCTATGTTGTCTGTGGCTTATGGTACAAGTACAGCGCAAGTACTGTTTATTGTTACTATGTTGCAACATATAAATAATGCAGTTTTTGTTTATGGAAATTTATTTTACCGGTTTTTTTTATGTTATAGTCCTGTCTCTGGAGCTCCAATTGATGATGAGTACAATCTTCAAGATCACTCTGATCTCTACATCCTAGATCTTGGTAAGCAAGGGTTTAATCTTAATAAATTATGATTTTTTCGCTAAATCCGGTTTTGAAGACACTAGAAAAAGAGTTATTGAGATTTTAGGCTGGTTTGGTCTCAAGATTGGATCAAAATAGTGTAATTAATCTCAAATATGTATTGTAGTTGGCAACAGAAGAAAATACCATAATATTATTTAAACTGTTGTTTGGATGGTGCTTCATGTGAACCTGATATTTGCGTGGTGGTTTATTCTTTGTATGAGCTGCATGTGCAGAGTATACCTGTTTACAAGAAGCTGATGCCGCATTGCACATGTAAACCATGCAAAGAACAAAATAACCTTCTTGCAAAAGTGGCTTTGCATGAAGCACCATCCAAATGGAAATTGTAATTAAATGATACTATAATATTTTACATCTTAGCCAATCTGTAGCAGTGCCAAGTAATTTACTATGCCTTTGATATCTCATGTCGACAGAACTATTAAGCTTGGACGATTTTCCAAGAATTTCTGATGTCATCTTTTGAAGATTTTCAATGTTTTGAAGTTGACCAAAAGTTAATGTTTCTATCATAAAAGAAGTGTGAAAACTTTTGAGTGTTTTTGAAACTGACTCGAAGACTTCTGATGATTGCTAGAATGTAAGAAGAGCACAAGACCATGCTCACATTATCTTTCCGAACTGCTGACAGCTACGAAAGTGGATATGTAAAGTTATGTTGTTGTTGTTGTTGTTAGTGTTATTTGGAATAAAATAGGGGCTTTCAAGGTAACGGCTGTTGTCTTTTCTTATCCCATTTTGGTATCTGTTGTAAATGCATCTAAAACATAGCATGTTCTACTTCACAGAGCCATCTCTTCGAACATTGTGTAAACTGGCAGTTATTCAGTACAGACTAGATCAGACACCATTACCCAAAGTGCTCAAGTAAGAGGATAATTAAAACACATTATATAGCATTGTTAACAGCTACACTGGAAATTAGTGTTCAGTGGCTTTGATTTAAATAGTCACACTATAGGATTTTATCCACAGAATCAAAAGTTATACCCACTTTGTACAGCATAATAAACAGCACCACAGGAAAGCACTGCTCAGTAGCGTTCATTTGAATGCCATCACACAATAGGATTTCATCCACAGATTCAAAAGTTAGACCCACTTTGTACAGCATAGTAAACAGTACCACAGGAAAGTACTGCTCAGTAGCTTTTATTTGAATGGTAACACCATAGGATTTCATACACAGACTCAAAAGTCTGAACCACCTCATGCAGCATCATGACATCTATTACATTTAAGTTCTTTCCAGTCAGTCGTCCAGAAGCTTTCATTCCAATGGTTACATTTTAGAAAACTGTCAATTCTCCTTTTGGTTTGAAACCCACAATGCCTCAAGCTACAAAGGTAAACCATTGTCTATAATGAGTTTGTTTCTTTTAATTACAGGATGGAACTGAGTATTATGGAGGCTGGTAGGAGTTCAGTGAGGTCTTCACAGGGATAAATTGCAGCACAGAAGAGGTTCATTCAACAAGGATCTGAAGAGATTCACACTCCCACTGGCTTCATCAGTCACTGTAAGAGGCGCGCAATTCCCAGAAAATGTCATTTGGGATTGTTTTAGAAATCTTGTAAGGGGCAAATTTATAGTCAGTTACAATGAGGAGTTCTTCAGTCACTTTCCAAAGTCTTAATCTAAAACGGGTTGATCATAACCTGTCGACACAATTTTTAGGGAATATTCATCCTGGGCTTTGTTTAGAAACCAGGAAATGGGAACTAATGTATGGCGTTAAGCACTCTACAAGGCAGTTTTATTGCCTTATTGTAGTTTATTAAAGAAGAGCTGGGATTTTTTTACATAAATTTATAAATAATAATATTATTACAGGATGCTATATGCTTTGCACATAGTATTTTCTTATGAAAGAGCTATAAAATTTGTTGTTCCGCTGCATGCTTCATTTTCTGTTTAAAATCAGTAGTTTTTTATACTTGATTCTCATTGTCGACATCATGACTTTGTATGCACTTGCTGACGTCACTAAGTTCTTAGTGACATCACTCTTGAGATGATGTGTCATTGACTATTTGTACTGACTTCATTGTTCATCTTTACTGTGGTATTTTGCCAGATTTACATTACCAATTAATAGTCTCCTTAGTTGGCCTCAATGACATCATAACATTCAGCCATGTTACGTCACTATGACATGCACTTTTTCTAGAAAAAAAACACTTCAAAGCAAACTTTTCTATCTCCCATGAAGTCTGTCGTTACTATTTAGGTATCATTATAAACGTAGTTAATCATTCAAAAGAACTAATGTATTTGTTAGGAGAAAATTATTATTAATCATTCGCTTGGGGAAAAAATTTATTTTAGGTGAAACAGGACTTAAAAAAAAGAATTAAATTAAAAATAATCGTATTAAGCTTGAGATCTGTCACACAGAGGTTTTTGAAAGTCCAAAGTGGACTGCGCTACCCGGTGGTGAAATAATTTTTTTTACTTTTCTACAACTGTATTTGCTAAGGAAAATAAAATTGTAATATATCTTAGAAACATACCTGTAATGGGAAATTCAATTAGGGGCTTAATTGACCTTTTTAATTGTATTATTTGTGTATAGTCTGTATAGTTATCTTAAGTAAATAATGTCTTAACAAGTTATACGAGAAAATTTGTAGATTAGCTGAAATTGTAATGTAGAACAAAGTATCAGCTCCCACCATTTTTAAGTGTAAACTTGTGGCTTAACTTGTTGCATAGTTTATTAAAGGTCCAAACAGTATACTAGTTGGTTGTGTTAGGAGGATAAGAAGCGCTCTTAGATTGCTGGCTTCTTATATTCAGGATAATCGTTTATCAGTAGAAACTGAAAGTCTCTTTTTCCCCAGAATGAAAGGTGAGTCGCACTCGAACAGAAAATATCAATTTTCAACCTTTTTATTGTCTCCATTTTTCTAATCCTCGTTATGGTGATTATCATGGTCATCACCACCATCGTTGCGTTCCTCACCATCATTCGCCACCATTGTAACAACACTATCAACACCATAATCAACACATTATCATCATTCTCGTCATTATCCTCGGCGCATCATCGTTTCTATCGTCATCATATATGGATTCTAAAGTTCTGGGAATCGCGTTTATCTATTCTTTGTACTTTTAAACATTCAATACCGAGGAAAACCTCAGTGGCCGTCAGAGGCAAGACTGAAAAACGAGGCCGGTGAACATTTCTTCCACCACACAACATCGCCCAGGGCGGAAAGGGCGAATCGCCTCACTTTGGGCCCTGAAATTTTCTTTGGCAGCTGGAGAAATCGACTCAGAGATGGCATCTATACAATACTGTATTTGTTTTTACGATGGTAGTGATATTAAGTTTAGGATTTTTCCTTTGACAGCTGTTTTCATCCGTGTATCTGTTATATATTTTCCGACCCCGAGTTATATGGAAAAATTTAATAGTCAACATAACTTTTAAACTTCCCGACTTGCCTTCTCTTCCTTAACTTTAAAACCAACCAAGTGCTGTGCTGAGAGAGTCTGGTCCGGAGCGAAAAAGTTGTCGCGGAACTTTCGAGAAACAGATCATTGTGAAAATTTGACCTGATAGTTTGACCGAACTGCTGTTATGCTTCGATCGGCTTCCGCCTTTTTTGTGAGCCAATCAGATAGAAGCTGATTTTCTCGGAATCTATGAAATTATTCTGAGAAAGGCTCAAGGTCTTTTTTATGTACATCGCACTATGAGGATTGTTGGGAATGTCGCTGTTATTTTCGATTTCTTCCTTACATGTTAGAGCAAGAACCTGCCAACTAGGCGAAAGGCACGCGGAGCATAGGTAAGATAAGAAATTGCATTTATTGTTTAGTGATAAGTTTGCTGTTATCTTGCTATGCAAAGAAATAACCTCAAGGAAGTACGTGTCACTGAAAAGTTGCCAAGTCAAACAAGCAAGTAGCATGAAATAACCTTTTCATTGATGAAGTATAGGCGAGTAATTTCGCCTTCTGCATGTTGGGGAAAAAGTACTTAAAACTAGTTGCATCAACTTTGATATTTATATCATCGCTTGATTGCTGTGTATGGTTCGCTTATCGCTGCGAAAATATGGAAATAACTGTTCGGCGTCGGTCGCCACGATCTTTGCCACAGCAGTCGGTGGCTTCAGTCGAATGTTTTATTTTAGGGGCTTGTTTTCATATAATCGGTACGATCGCTGGATTGTTTTAGGATATGTACCTGAGGGTCATGACATGGAAACTCGGTTTCGCGTGCGGTGGACTTTGAAGTGTAAGTAAAAAACGAAGCGAAGAAGTTGGCAAGGGGGATGACATAGCCCGTTTTTCCTAATTATTCCTTGTAAGCGGGGTTGTACGTTGCTCCATAGCAATTTATTATCGGGACTTTAAGATCCAACGACGCGGACGGCAACGAGGGCGTCAAAAAAACAATTAGGTTTTATAAGCAAAACAATAACTTCGCACGTGCACCACGCTTTTCTGTACATTTCTCTGCCCGTTTTTGTACGACTACGACGTAAACATCCCTAATTTCGCGTTTTACGCATGGAGGACGTAAAAAAGCAACGACGAAATTTTATTTCTCTTTCTGTACTTGGATATGGTCGCTAGGAATTCAACTCCAGAAGGGTTCGCCTACATTTGATAAAGTAAGTCGGTAGGAATAATTGCGATAAAGACTGAAGGATTGCAAATTCACTTTTTAAAACGTTCTCATTGCCGTCGCGTCATTGGATCTTAAATTCCCTACTGCCTTTACAGCAAACAGTGTGACCCGCCATGATGTAATTTTTATCGAGGCGTGATGCTCACGTGATAATCGGTTGGATTTGGGTTTCCTAGCCAATCAAGTTGCTCACGGTTTCAGCCAAACCTTTTTCGGATTTAGTCAATCCAAACTGTTTGGATTTTCTAGCCGCGACAAAAATCTGAAAATCGATCCATACAGTAGCTGGCTGCTGCACTGATATTCTTCGTAATTCCGATCCCTGACATCGATTTTAATTTTTTTTCTCTAAAGAAGCGTCCTCTCGAAGAGCAATGAAAGGAAAAATGTAAATAACTTTTGCCTGAACTGGTCTTGACCCGGCATGCTTATCGATCACCTGATGGACGAGCCCATTCTTGTTTTTCGCTTAGGAGAAAAGGCTCTCAGTAAAACGCTTACTGGGTGTCAGGGTAGAGTGAAGATATTTGCAAGATATTCTGGAATGCAGCTCGGCTTATCTTACCAATCCCGCGTTTCTGATTTAAGTTTATGCCAAATAACGTGCTTAGCTCGTTGAAAACAAGTGAAAAAGAAGGGGAGAAGTAAAAAGAAGAACCATTACTTTGGTGGAAAGATTACTTAGTGGTAGTTCAGACTAGGGCAGTCACGTTCCTACTAACATTCTTCTGCATTTCACAGCACAGTGTCGTTCACCCACGAACAACTTGAATGATTTTATGCCAGGATAGACGATGGCATCAACTAGAAAGAGATCGAGACATGTTTCAATAGCTGAGCCTTTAGCTGAGCCGTCAAAGCGAAGACGGACAGCAGATGATAGCAGCTACACAGATCAAGAAAAAGTGACCCGTACTCTTGGGTACCAGGCCTTGTTGAAGATTTGTGAATCAAACTCTCCTGAAGATGGGATTTTGAAACTTTCGTTCAAGTCAAAACAATTCGAGGTCCTTCTTAACTCCAAAGAAATCCGTCCGGATCTAATGAAGCTTATTATTCGGGCTGTCCACCTGTGCACTTTGTCACATCAGGTAACCCAACATGCGGAAAAGATGCTGCGGATTGTGATTAAGACAAATTTTCTGGCTTTGCATCTCTCTAGTTTTGTGAGGCAAATTCCATTTCATTCAAGAACAAACGACGGGTTTCAACCCGATCTTGTGATCATGCACTTGGCGGAATCTTTCCTCGTGCTGTTACAAAGATTTGGAAATCAAGTAGTGGACGTCACTCCTGTTGCCGACCTCAGTGATGCACTGGAAAAGTTGAAGAGTGATCGTGATATTCCGTTTCAGGTAGACACGGGAATGTTGGAGCAGAAAGTTAATCGAGTGAAAGAGTTACGAGACGAAATCAATCGACGAAAAATTGAATCTTTGCGAAAGAAAGAAAATGAAAGTGAACTTGAGCCACCTCAGAATTTTAGAGAAGTCAGTGTTATTCCTCAGGCGGCGGACCTAAACTTACACTACAAACCGTTCCTTCGAGCTAATGTCGTCGGTGGAAGTTACAAAGACCTGGAGCACTATTTAGATGTACAATTTCGGCTCTTGAGAGAGGACTTCATCCTGCCTCTCCGCCGAGGGATAGAGCAGCTTCGAAAGGACAATAGTAGCCTAGGAACAAGCTCTGTTAGTGACAGCAAACACGCTAATAACATGAGCATCTACCGTCACGTGACAGTTCTTTATCCTGTTTGCAATGGCAAAGGAATGGTTTACAAAATCCGTTTTGACAACTCTTATCGAAGTCTCAGACGCGTGAAATGGGAGAAGAGTAAGAGGCTCAAGTTCGGCTCCCTTCTTTGTCTTTCAGCAGATGATTTTTACAATCTCCTGTTTGCCACGGTCGAAAATCGTGATACAAATGACCTTTACTGCGGTGAACTTGAAGTACGCTTTGAGGGCGTCGAGTTAGAGAGGCTAAGTCAGAGTATCGAACAAAAGGAAGAGTTTGACATGGTGGAGTCTCCAGCTTTCTTTGAAGCTTACAGGCACGTCTTAGAAGGCTTGCAAAAAATACAACCTGATGAACTTCCATTCCAAGAACACATTATCAAATGCAATCAAAATGTGGGACCACCTGAGTATGAGACGAAGACGAAGGGCTTCTTTGACATGAGCGACGTAATGAACAAGGCCACGGAAATTGGTGTGAACGATATCGTGCTTGACAAAACAATGGAAGAAGAGATCCCTGACAGCATGTCGACCTTTACGGACGACATATCATCAGATGATAACAGTGAGGAGTCTTCAGACAGCGATAGCGACCACAGACGATTAAGATCACGGGCGATTACTAGCAAGTACGGACCCAAAGATGTGAATATTTACGACCTTCAACTTGATCAAGTGAGTTCCAGCTTTAATGAGTCACAGACGCGTGCATTTAAAATGGCGTTGACCAAAAAGATTGCTGTCATTCAAGGGCCACCTGGAACTGGAAAGACGTACGTTGGTCAGAAGATTGCGCGCGTGCTTTTACGGAGTGCCTCTCTTTGGCAAGAAGATGGAAATCTTTCGCCGATTTTGATGGTTTCGTATACCAACCATGCTTTGGATGAGTTTCTGGGAGGTCTGCCAAAGGAAGGTAAGCTACATTAAAATCGTCTCTGGTTTGCTTTACTGGTGGGACAAGAGTCTCAGAAAGGAGGCCAGGCCACTAACTACAATTCGTGACATTAGAACTTGGGTCAGTTTTACTACTTACAGACATTTTGCGTTCAACTCCTTTTCCCTCTGCCGGCCCTTTGAATGTTAGCCTCAAGATTGGACAAATCCATCGGAAAACCTTTATTAAACAACACTGGAGGGGAGAAAGGGCGGTACCAGATCTTTGTTACCCAAGTAAAATGTCATGATTAATTGTAGGCTCTTAAAAGCTTTAAATTTAGTTCAGCTTTACTATCTAGGAAGTGACATTAAGCTGTTTCAATAAGTTGAAGGGGGACAAACGTAGGCGGGATACCATACCATATTAAGTAATATGTTTTGATGCTTTACAGTGTCTGGTGAAGTTAAGTAAGTGAATATCTAAATGGTCTGTGAATGATAGTAAGTTTTTGTTTAATAGAGTTAGTTCCAGTAGTCGTTGGTTTGTAAGATTCCGCGGTCTCCCAAACTGACGAAGTTTTTGTTGTTCCGTTATGAGATCTTGACCACTGATAAAGCGTTTTCATATTGCCCGCGAGGAAGGAAGCCTTTCCAGATCTTCCCAGCATGTAAAAAAAGAAAAAGACAAAGAGGTTTTTCGGAGAAGGGAAGCTATAGCTTTTTGTTGTACAGAGATTGATGACAAAACGTTTAGTTTTTTCGAGTAAAAATAGTATTTTCGTCAGTTGTTCTAAGCAGCTTCACTTTCTTTTCACTTTTTTTTAATAGGGATTGTTCGTGTTGGTGGACGTTGTAGTGAAGAGATGAAGCGCTACTCCCTAAAATGTAAGAGAGATGAAGCTAGAATGAGGAGAATAGTCCCCAAACAAATAATGTTGGCAAGAATACGCGTTCGAGATGACCTCAGGCAGCTACAAGAAGGAGAGGCCTGTCAACGATCATCAGCAGTGCTAGAATGTTCCCGAAGGGGGATACTCTCCTTCCAGGTGCTAAATCATTTTATGGAAGGTTTTCATGTTACATGGTTTAAAGACAAAGCGACCGAGGGCACCAAGGCTCTGTTTCTAGATTGGCTGGCCATCGAACTTGTTGCTGGGAAAGAATCAGAACAGAAAGTTGATTATGATGTGGCAAGTAGCGAAGACTTTCAAATGCAAGTATCATTGCGTGAATTTGCGAGCGACGAAGATTTTGAAGATAAAAATGGGCTAAAAGTATTACAACCTTCCGAAGTAGTAATATGTAGAGCTGAAGAAACCGTTTGGCCAGATAAACTCTGCAAGTATCTTGAGAGTAATGAAATCATGACTGAAAACGAAGAAAAACATACTCGCGACCTTTGGAAGATGTCGCCTAACAGACGATGGAAACTTTATAGGTTGTGGCTTCAAAGAGCAGAGAAACACTACTTGAAAACACTTCAGAACATACAGTTAGATTACGAAAGGATATTGGCTCGTCAGCGTGACGTGATGCAAGAAGAAGACCTTCACGTTCTTCAAGACGCTCGTGTAATTGGCATGACAACTACCTGCGCCGCCAGATACCGTCAAATACTGCAGCGGATTTCTCCCAAAATCGTTCTCGTGGAAGAAGCTGCAGAAGTACTGGAGGCTCACATAATTACGTCGTTAACAAAAGGTTGCCAGCATTTGATTTTGATCGGAGATCACCAGCAGTTAAGGCCTTCAAACGCAGTCTTCGAATTGGCCAAGAAGTATAAACTGGATGTATCGCTATTCGAGAGAATGATCACTGTTGGAATTCCTTGTGAGAGGTTGTCTGTTCAGCATCGTATGAGGCCTGAAATTGCTTCCCTTATGAAGCACATCTACACAGATCTTGAGAATCATGAATCTGTAGAAAAATATGAAGACATCAAAGGAATAAAGAAGAACATGTTTTTCGTTAACCACAGTCATCTGGAGAATCATAATGATGAATCGCACAGTCACACCAACGAACACGAAGCTACATTTGTAGTTGCCCTGTGTCGCTACTTACTTCAGCAAGGCTACATTGCTGGACAAATAACACTATTAACTACCTACACTGGACAGATGTTTGCAATCAGAGACTGCCTCAAACAGCAAAACGACGAAGAACTCAAAGGTGTTCGCCTAACGACCGTTGACAACTTTCAAGGGGAAGAAAATGACATCATCCTTCTCTCCCTTGTGCGCAGTAACAAAGACGAAAAAATTGGTTTCATCAAGATGGTGAACCGCGCATGCGTGGCGTTATCTCGTGCCAAAAAAGGATTCTATTGCATTGGAAACTTTGATCTTCTTTCTAAGCACAGTGAGATCTGGAGCAAGATTGTGAATGATTTAAAAGCGAGTGAGAGTATCGGGGATGCCTTGCCTCTTGTTTGTCAAAACCATCATACAGAAGAAAAAGTTGAAACAGCAGACGACTTCCGTGAAAAAGTTCCTTCTGGGGGATGCTCACGGCCCTGCCAGGTTCGTCTTTCGTGCGGTCATGCATGCAGACTTACTTGTCATCCTAACGACCCAGAGCATAAGGACTATTTGTGTACCGCGGAGTGTCCCAAAACCATTGACGGTTGCTCCCATCCGTGCCGTAGACTTTGCTGGCAGGAGTGTGAAACAGTTTGTCGTATGACTGTGGATAAGACGCTTCCTTCTTGTGGCCACAGGAAAAGAGTTCCGTGTGTCCTGGACGTGTCCAGGGTCAAGTGCGAATTGGATTGTGAGAAATTCCTCCCAAAATGCGGACATCGTTGCCAAGCAAGTTGCGGCGAACCTTGCACAACTAAATGCAAAGAACGCGTCAAAAAAAGTGATTGGCCATGTGGACATGACGTCACCACTACTTGCTCGGCCATACCAGGAGATTGCCCATTCCCTTGTGAAGTCAAATTGGAGTGTGGTCACAAGTGCAAAGGTACGTGTGGGAGTTGCCGAATGGGTCGAGTACACAAAAGATGCAGCTTAAGATGCGGCCGTATTTTGGTTTGTTCTCATGTCTGTAAAGCGCCCTGCACCAATTCCTGTCCACCATGTTCCGTCAATTGTGAAAACCGTTGCGTACACAGCCATTGTACTAAAAAATGTGGAGAGCTATGTATTCCTTGCGCTGAGAAATGTCCGTGGGAGTGTCCCCATTACAAATGCACCAAGCTGTGTGGTGAGCCATGTGACCGGCCAAGATGTAATGAACCCTGCAGGAAAATTCCGGAATGCGGAATTAGGAATGAGGCTCATCGTTGTCGTGGTTTGTGTGGAGAGCCTTGTATTTGTGCTTTATGCGACAAAAATGACGTAACCCATCCCATCTCCGAAATTTTCTTCGGTGGCGAAGACAAAGAAGATGCGATGTTCATTCAGCTTCCAGACTGTAAACACATTTTTGCGATGTCAGATCTTGACAGGTAATTGAGTGTTACTTGTTTAACTATTTTTAACAATAAAACCTTCTTAATACAGACATCAAAGGAACAGACCCAACTCAGGCCTGCATTACAGTGGTTTTCGTTCCATAGCGTAAGAGGGTAAGAAATATAAGCCCTTTGGCTTGGGATGTACCGAACTGTCCGTAATAGAGAGATTTTCCTTATCATAGAGATGTCTGTATGACGTGGTTGGCCTGTACTTTGTTTTTCAGTGGCTTTTAAGGACACCTGTTGAGCACTTTGTCAAGCACCGATACTTGAACCGGGGTGGGGGGGGCATGTGCTTTCAGAGGACAAACCACATGGTTTTTTTTTAGAAAAGGGAATTAAATATTCTTGTAGTTAAGCCGTCCCCTTCTCGACAACAAAAATAGCGTGGGGCGAGAAACAAAACTGTAGGATTAGAGAAAATGACCTTTGGAGGTCAAATCTTTGCCGTTTTGGTTTGAGTCACTCGTCCAAGTTATTTAAAACTGTCAGATGAAAGTTTCAATTAATTCAATTTTAATCGTTTCTCAGCCACATGGATACAGTACCTCTTGACAATTCCATCAAACTAAAATCTTGCCCGCGATGTTTGACTGCAATCCGCCGAAGCCTGCGATACGGTAATGTGATTAAACAGCAGCTTCAAAATATAGAGGAAGTCAAAAAGAAGGTGATTGGTCACTCGTCCGAATTAGAGGAAGCGAAAGAAAGATTGAGGAGGCGTTTGATTGACCTGACAAAACAATTTGACCAAGAAAGAAAGATGGAGGAGTGGAAGAGGTTGGAACGAAGGGTGGACCGAATGTCAAGGGGAATCATGGCAGCTGTTACTGAAAACCAGGTGACTTTGATGGAGCGTTATTGCCGTATGAGCGACAAACTTAAACAGAGTCTTCTTAATGATGTTGCTCGCCGTGAAGCCAGCTCAGAGAGTCGTTTGGAAGGTAAAACATTTTTTACGGTTTTTATAAATGCGTATGATAGTGAGAAATATAAGCTGGCTGGATTGTGAACTGTACATAAGGTGGAATTATTGGTTGTCTGAGTTTTTCTTGCATGTCTCACTTGGATTGTGTTGCATCACTATGATGATAATGAAATTCTTTAACAGGCCATTTTGCTATTTTTGGTATTACTTACCCTTAAAATGATTCTCAGGGTAATCTCTTTACTTGTTGGTCGCTTGAACTTTCGTTGGGCGAGAAAATATTAATAGTATGCTGACCTTCGTCCGTTCATTGGATCTGCAGGGGGTGTAGTGCGTTGGACATGCTAAGTGGTTGTTACATCAGACTGAAAATATGTTTCGCGTACGAGAGTTCCTCACCTTTACTTTGATCAATCGAAGAGTGTTATGCATACTGAGATATACTCCCTCTGAAAAACTATGTCGTAAACTTTCATACGCAAGTGAGCTCACGTGACTACAAGTTCTTCAAAGGGCCTATACCATATGGAAATTCCTTAGAATGCTATTTACGCACACATTGTATTTGTATCAGAAATCTCACTTGTTCGCTGCCCGCATTCGTTTGGTTTCTGATACATCAACAACTTGTGCGTAGATCCCGTAACCCACTTTTCATGACTTACTTTCTATATCTTATTGTTTTTGCTTCTATTTTTTCCTGCAGGTTACTTACTTCAGGAAGAATTCGATCACTTTAAAAAGCGTTTCATGTCTGAATTAGCCTCAGAAAAGGAACTACGAGACATAAATCTGGAGTTCACCCGACTTAATCTGCGACTGGAATTGTGTTTGTTGAAACACGATGTGATGAGGTTAATGCTTACATTAGATGAGACGTCCAGTCACGTGATGCAAGAAATCCGCGATGATCTGTCCAGCGGTAAGCTGATAGAAGCCGAGAAGCTTGATAAACTTTTGGAGAAGCTGGTGGAGATCAGGTAAATAGCTTACATGAAATACCTGCTCCCTTGCAGACTTGTAAATTGCGGTAACTGAACTGTAGTTATGTTATCCCAATTCTCATATCATAAAACGGTAAATTAAAGGGTGGTCGGAAGTGGATCTTGTTATTTTAAATCTCGAGTTGAATGAGCTTGTTATGCAATTTTCTTGACACACTTCTACTTCTTTTACTGTCATGACCAAAAACGAAGACAGTATAATTTATCTTGCTGTTATCCTTTTGCCTGTTATGAATAACTGTTTTATGATTTGAAGAAATGTGGTGATTTTCCAAGATTACCTTAATAAATTCGATGATATCGGCCTTGAAGTCTATAGTAGTCACTTTGATCAGTATGACCAGAGTGTGACGCGTAGAATTTAAAAAACATCTCTGTTGCGGTCTAGTTAGATAGTTTGTTTTGGTTTCAGGAATGCTTATCCCGCCCTTGGTCCACTGACTCCAGAGGAAAGGAAACAGATCGTTTCGGCAGTTGGTTTAAAACAAGGTCACTGGTTTAAATGTCCCAAGGGACACGTTTATGTCATTGGTGAATGCGGTGGTGCTATGGAAAGAGGCACGTGTCCTGATTGCGGGGCTGTGATTGGTGGAGCGAATCATGCACTTGAAGAGGGAAATGAATTAGCACCTGAAATGGACGGTGCAAGACACGCAGCCTGGTCTGAACAGGCAAACTTGGAAAATTAGGTCATTGTTGATGAAGCATAAAAATGGTTTTGAGAAGATTCTCCTTTTACTTTGATTCAAAAGTTGCTATGATGCCAATTAATTTTTTTTAAATAAAGATGTGTTCGTCATAGTGGTAATTGCAATTTAAGCAATTGTACATGAATCCAACTTAAAAAAATTCGGGACTTCAACAGGGCTCTTACCCATGGCCTCTGCGTTAGTGTTGCAGCTGCTCCCAATTTATTGGTCTTCTTAGCTCAGTGGCTAGAGCACTAAAGCACCAGTGCAGAGGCCATGGGTTCGAATCCCGTTGAAGTGCTGAAATTCTTTTATCGGGTTAATTTGCAGTTGCTTAAATTGCAATAGCCACTGCGACGATCATATCTTCATTAATTGTCTTTTCGCAGTTCACTGCATTTTCATACTATGCCAATTAAAATCAGTCAAAGAGAGTTTTAAGATTAAGGATCTTCTTCCATAATATAGCTTTTCCCCATTTTTTGACCACGAAATTCTTTAAGAAAATAATAGTTTCTATTTTCAGTGATTAAAACATCATCATAATCGGCACCAGTCCGCTCTACTAATTTTCCTAGGGTTTAAAAAGGAGCTTCAATGACGACGTTACTGTTAAAAAGAATTTGTGTTTATTCAAACTTTGTTGCGTTTATGCTAAATGTAGGTGAATGTTTAGAAAGGAAAAGAAAAATTAGTCGTCGTGTGTTTACGGTCCTCCATGAACGTCGCCAAGGGAAATTCCACTTCTTGGTCCTGCAGTGATGGCAAAGAAATGTACTTAAGCATGTGCAGCACGTGTGCAGCACGTGTAAATTTGGTTTTTTTTTTGCTCACTGCCTATAGAGCGTTTTCACATGACGTCACGGCGGCTATATGGCTGTTCCAAAACATGTTCCAAAACAAGGAAACGGCCGCCATGTTTGGCTATGTTGGTGTACCAAGAAAATCTTCTGTGAGTTGAACGGCTGTTCTTATGTTCCGAAGCTTTCTTTTGTTCCAAAAAATTAGCATAGATGCTGGTCACGTGAGTGAAAACGTTCTGTTGATTTTTTGACGTTCTTGTTGACGCTCCCGTAGAGGTCCTTCTGTGCATTTAAGATAACTGGGGCTGATTCGGCTGCCACATTAGAATTCATTAGAATGTCTGTTTATTGAATAAGTATTATAAGTAAGGACGATCATTAATTGTGAGTGGTCAACGTATACCTGGAAAGGATAGTTGGCGAGTTTTTTTAAAACTAGAAAACAACAGTTTATCAAGGTATCTCATTTTTGTGGTCTGGAAGGCCTTTCTTTCTTTCACTGCATGCCCATATTAGTTTTTGTATAATATAAAACTAAAGTAATCATAACTTGTTAAGGATACGAGAGGATTTGTTGATTTACAGAATAAATTGTGCAAGAAACGCATAATTTTTCCTTCTTGTTAACATTTTCTAGTGATTAGTTTAATTACGTCAATTACTAAGGAATGGTTGGTTTGATTGCATGATTAAATTAGCCAAATTGATAAATTGACAGGTTGATTAATTAGGAGCCAAAAAAACTTTTTTGGAGGGGAAATTTTAAATCAAACTCAGTAGCCGATTACGTCCTGCTCCTGTCAAACAACATTATTGTAGGGTCTCATCCCCAGCGCCCTTCGTTTCTTTTAGTCACGTGGTCTTTGAAAAGATCTTTACTGCCTGGCCAAGGATCTATCTTTCTCCCCAAGTAAGGGAATACGGGAAATTTTTGCCTGTGGAATTCGGAATCCTGGGCCTTGGATTCCGGAATACAGCAGTGAGAATCCGGAATCCAAGTTCCACCGAAAAAGACCTGGAATCTGCAATCCACGGCGTGGAGTCCAGAATCCAACACTGTATTGGATTCCTTTACACGGGGCGATGTCTTGTGAAACGAATTACAACGAAAAGAGGCAAGACTGATTTTGTTTCCAGTGAGGAATATAACTGCCAGTAGAACAAAAGACACTACCTTTCTTCTTCCATTCTTCGGGGTCTTACAAATGACTAAGTAAACTAGATATTAAGACGTTACAATTTGAAACTGGAAGGATAGTGTGGAATATGAGACATTTTTAAAGTATTAAAATAACATGACTGCTGCATGAGTGCTTCTATAGTTGATTAGGTGCTCCTTTAGGATCCGGTGCTTCAATTTAGTCACCGTCGGTCCTTGCTTCCTAACGTGAAACGCATTAGGGTAGTTAGTAATCATACAGGGTTTGACTAGCTCACACCCAAAAACTGAAATGCATTTTAAGAAATTTCCGTTGTGAAGGTAAGTTGATCAAAACTGAATGTTGTAAACGGGCCCTTACTGAAATTTCTTCGAAACCAAACGGAAACGCCTGCTACGCAGGCTACGCGAGCGGAGAATGATTATTTTTCTCATTTTTGGGTGAGTAAAATTTCACGTCTTTTTATGAATGGTCTTCAATCAACAGCTTCAGCTTCAAGAAAGGTGAAAAAAAGCTGTCATGATCATTATATTCATCGTGACTGGAATGTAGAAAACTCCACGCTTGCACCCATCGGCCGCGCCTTAGGCCGCGCCCTATCCTGCCTCGAACTCATGCGCACACGTGCACCGCCAGTTGAAAGGCTGAGCTACCGCGCTTGTGATTCAGTTAATTTCTTGTTCGGGGACGTGCGCGTCTTTCGCCGATTCTGGGCCTTTTTACAACTTCAAAGGTAAGAATGCACACGGAATGTTTTGCCAAACATTTAAAAAGTATTTTGCTGGATGTTGTGATGAATTGCATTTTCCCTATAATTTGTTTTTAAACAGATATTTGACAGTGACATCGACGTCGACATGAAACCGGACAACGCCATGCGAAGCTGACACTAGAGGTCAGGCACAATCCTACTGTTTATACACTGTTAGGTGGTTAAATTTATAAATATGAGCTTTAAAACAAGACCATGGCCCTTAAGAAGCTTACCTAATCTACTGCAGAGCCTCGGATACATATGTAAAACTGGAGGGAGCCTTTAGGATAACTTATTGACACACTCCTTAAAGCTTGCTGAAATCCCTTTTCAAGTACGTGATGAAATATCCATTGATATATGTTCAAGGCAAAGAACTACTACCTCATCAAATACCCTATGGCTTCTTATACGGTACACGTACACCGACTTATTGCTGCGGAGCGACCGAAGGGAGCGAGCAGCAACATAATCAGGATTTAAAGGAAATATGTAAGGGGCGACGAATTCTCGAACTCATCACTTTTTACCACAATGCATTGCATTTAACCACACTTTTTACCACAATGCATTGCATTTAACCAGAGTGCATTGCGCCACGAACAACTCAAATAAAAACACGGCGAAGTTTGTGGGTGAGAGCATCGTTCGCTGCTCAGACTTAGAGTTTTCTTTGTGGCAAATTTTCTACAGCACAGTTAGCGGTCTTACCAAATTTTAAGACACGCAGGAGTCTTTCAGATGAGTACGATGGTTAACTTGGGGATTGGATTTCAATTCAGGAGCCTTTTTTGCTCTTCGACTCCGCAACACGGCGGATATACAAATTCCAGCTTGCTAGAAGGTGATGTGAAAGTGAGAAAATGTCATGCAATGCTATTCTTAAGAAACTGCATGAGCCGAAAATGGATGTGATTTTGACCATTCGCTTCAAAATAACAGCGGAAGTCGAGATAACAAAACATATGTTTTGTGTCCTACTTTGCAGACGAGGACGTGTATCGGCGTTTTGAAAAGCATAATTATGTTCTTTCATTCATTTATTGCCATGGAATATGCGTTTACATTGTTTTTTCACTGTTAATAGCTCGGTTAATGCGGCTGGCGATCATCTTGCCGGCGGAAGTTTCATGGAAAAGGAATGAAATGAAAGACTTTTCCTAAATACTACGTAATCAGCCTCTGCGGTGTAGTGGTTAAGTGTAGTTGCGTCGATTCGAAGGTGCCGGTTTCGAATTCTACTGAGTTGTTTATTCCTTCTTTCTTTTTTTTCCCGTTTTTTGTGTTGTTTTCTATAAATATACAGCTAAATCAACTGTTACTTAATAAAGTGCAACAAACAGTAAGAAAAGTATTGTGTTTCCAGAGAAAATATCGTGCACCGTATATTAAATATATGGATAAACGATCTGAATTTCTATTATTTCCTACAATTTACTGTGGGAAAACCAGAGTTGATAACCCCTTGATCATTTTCTAAACAACGTTCCCACGAGTTCTTTCTAGACTGATAGTAATTATTCTAGTACTTTCCAACATGTAAATAGGACATTCAATGTCATTTTTGATTCTTTTAAGTCTCACTGCCTAACTAATGCCAGTATCAACAGAATGTGCCGCAGCATTACTATCTTTTAGATACCCTAGTATATTTGCTATATCCGTACGGGATTCTTCTGAAAGTACTGATTAGGGTTAGGCACTGGTCATGCTGATAAGGGTTAAGCCTCAGTGAGAATAGTGATTAGGGTAAAGCCCTGAGAATGGTGATTAGTGTTAAAGGAGCTGTGTCACGAAATTCAGCCAGAGTAGGTAATTACAAAATGCCCGTTAATAACAAACATTAAAGGAAGGTTAAAATAACACAACAGACACAACAGATTCCACGGATGGGCTAAACTGAAGAAGATTGAAACGGATTGAAATTATGGTTTTTGAAAACTGTTCAGCCTAACAGTTTTTCAAAGTTGATCTCTGTTGTTTGCAACTTCAAAAATAATGGTCAAGAGACATATTTATTTGTCTCGAATCTCTGATTTTGTCATTTACATGTAATTTCTTTGCCTAGTTTAAGTTCCATAGCTATTTAGGGCGAGTAATTGCCAAAATATAAAAGAATGAACTGGACTGCCGTGACACAGCCCCTTTAAGAACTGACCACACTGGTTAGGGTTTAGACCTGAGAATTCGTTGAGAGAATGCTGAATAAGGTTATGCAGTGATTTGAAATGGTTAGCTTCTTTTTAGGGTAAGGGTTGTTGCTATACAGCTTCAAATCAAACCCTTCATCAGCAGTGAATCCTGAGTAGTCTAATGGTTTATGCAGTAGACAGCAAACCCTAGCTCTGGGTTAGAGTCCTACTCATGCTACTTGAAATGTTTTTCCTTGAAAATTGAAGAGAATAACACGTCCATGAGCATTTGTTGGGCAGAAATTTAAAAAGACATCTTAAGATGGTGGAACACATTA